CTCACCACCATCATCATCACCATCATCCTCAGCAGCAGCGGCGGCAGCAGCAGCAGCAGCAGCGGCGGCGGCAGCAGCAGCGGCGGCGGCGGCAGCAGCAGCAGCAGCACCAGCGTCGCCATCATCCGACTGCAAATCTATAGACACAACGCTGAGCTCTTCAAAGTTGCTCGGATCAACGTGATTGCCAAGTCGGTGGCTTACACCGTCGAGTTGATCCAGAGGGCTCTCTGGACAGCACGGCTGCCCTGACACGCAGTTATGCTGAACAAGTAGCCCATTGGGCTGCGGATGGCTGCCGGATTGGAAGACGTCAGATGAGTAACGGACTGGCGAAGACAGAGGAGACGGGGAGGGAGCGTCCCATGTGCCATCTTCAATCCGCTCTCTAAACTCGGCGTATATCGAATCCACCTCTGGTGAATGCAGCAGGTTGGGCCGGTGAGATGCGGGAACATACGGCGAAGAAAAGTCGCATGGGCTATATGCACGCTGGACATGCACGCAAGCATCATCACGGCTAATCTCACGGCTATTCTCACATGCGTCATCACGGCTATTCTCACATGCGTCATCACGGCTATTCTCACATGGACTGGAACAGTCGGCAGCGCCACTGTCTGTAGATCCTGTCACTTGTGCTACCGCCGTATCCACACGACCGTGCAATGGAACGATGTCCTTGCTCTTATCTACGACAACCGCAGCGTTATCCTTACAGGTATCGGCCACGGCAGCAGCATCATCATCACGGTCGGTATGTTGCCCGGGTCCGCAATGGTTTAATGTGACGGCCTGGAGTTCACGAATCACTTGAATCTGATGAGGAACAACATGCCCGGTGGTGCCACTGGATAGAAGTGTAGGCTCGTCGGCGGTACTAGATAGCCGAACGCGCTTGGCTGAACGATTTGGTGATGGTAAGTCAGCCCCAGTTGGACAACGCGACCGTTTTCTGGACAGCCTGAAAGGCGTGAACGCGACTGGTGCTCTGCCGTGCGGAGTGGGCTGACATGATCGCTGTCCAGAGGAATGGTCTGATGTTGGAGAGTTGGCAGAGCTCATCACTTCATTCGACGCCACGGGACGCCAGCGGCTGCCCGCCAACGTCAATGGCTGAAAAGGTGACATCTGATAGAAGGCGCTTGTTGACTCCAGCAGTTTACAGCTGCCATAGGTCGTGTGCGTTAGTGACGCCTGCACCGGTCCGGGTAGGCAAGTGGGAAACGCGGCGTTCATAGCAGCAAGCGGAGACCGTGCAGCAGCAGCAGCAGCACTGACCGTTGGGGCTCGGACACATTTAGAGCGCTGTGATACATATACTGGCCGCGGTGTTAACACTGCATGTGCGCTGCTAGCCAGGATCGGCATGCTGCTGCTGCTGGGCTGAGCGGCTGAGTGCTGCTGGGTCACGTCGTCTCGACAAGACGCAGCGCAGGCTCGATCCCATGCCAGTTTAATGATACCGCTTGCAGTTGCTTTCAGGTTGTCACCATTGCGTGTATCCAGCATGCCGGCAGCCGCCTCGTCTGCATCTGCTTCAGGAAGCACACAATCACCGTCCTTAAAACCATCACTACGTGTAGAGTGGACTGAGTCATTCTCGTTGTCGTCATCGTCGTCGTCTTCAGCAGCAGGATTGCCAGGGCTCGCTGCAGTGCAGCGACGAAGTACGCCGTCAGATTCAAGGTCACGGCCGCGTGAGTCAGGTGACCGTGATCTCACTTCCTCTTCAGCCGTGTCATGAGTGGTATCGGCCGGGTGCACTGGCGGTGACAAGGATGACGGCGGCGGCGAAGATACCGACGATACCACCGGCAGCGGGATGGATGTTGTGCTGCTGCTGCTAACTTTGTTGACGGCGTTTGGCTGATGAGCTACGTGGGAGACGTCTGCAGGAGAACAAACCTCAACGACAAGTTGGACATCGGTTTGATCAACTACAGGTGATGAGCTGTGCAGAGTGTGGAGTGAGGAACACTGACCAGCAGCGCCGAGCGAGGAATGCCGTCCAGCAGTGTCGGTACTGAGGTCCTCTTTTACTGCCAATAGCAGCTGCAAGCCACTGGCGTAGCTGAAGACCTTGGGAATAATAAATACTTTGACCTTGGACGAGGTTGACGGAGATGACCGGGCTGGACGTAGGTTGCACACTGCAGCAAACTTGACAGAAGCTAAATGTTGGTGAGTGGCCGCCAGACGACCCGGCTCAGCTTCTTCAGAAACTTTAGCTGTCAGCCAGTGGAAAGTCCAGGATTGGCGAGTCAGACTAGAATTGGGTTTGGCATTCCACACATCTACCGGCAAGCGCTGCTGAAGCTTGTCAAGGCGAAATCCCTTCGTCATATGCAGCTGGTCACCAAGCAGAGGTGGAACTCTTGAGCTGAACTGAGGGGACTCGGAAGTACTAGTAGCACTCAGCTCCACTTCCAGCTTGCAAATTCGCTTGGAACCGCTCGAAACAAGATCGCCGCACCACAGATTTGTTTGAGCTCTAGGAGGTTGCTGCACGCTAATGCCACTTTCATCTCTCAAACCGGTTATACAATATGCTTGGCATCCCGTGCGTTCTTGCTGCACTAGACATGGCCCGGTTGATGCAGCGCTACCTGCAATGATAGGCCCTTCACTTGTAGCATCGGCCGGGGGCTGTGCAGTACTGGATCCAGGGGCAATCTGAGCCAGTGTGCGCTGAGATGGAGATGGCACCGGTGGTTGCGGTGGTGGTGGCGGTGGCGGCGGTGGCGACGGCGGTGACGACAGCGGGGGCTGCGGTGGTGGGCATGTCTGCGATTGCCGGCAGCCCATCCGCGTCGGGTCAGCTAGCAGTGACTGCTGTGCGTACCGGCCTAGAACGTGCAGAGCGTGCATGATGGCTGATGATGGTGTTGACTTGTGTAGCTGGCCAGTCCCGCCGGGCATTTCTAACCCTACAGATGTTCGAGGAGGCGAGGATGGTGTAGGTTGCCATGAGCGCTGTGCGGCCGGCTGCTGCTGGTCCACGACAGCAGACAGTTCCTGCTGCACTGCCGCTTGTAGCTGCAGTGGTGAGGCTTGCCACAGCGTGACTTGCTGTGTACTGCTGCCGGTGATTGCTGGTGTCATTGGCGTTGGTAGCCAGGTAGCCAGGCTGGACTTCTGTGAGTGTGCTGTCGTGCCTGAGGATGACAGGACCGTTGATGTGATTGCAGTGGATGGGCCGGTATTTGTAGACTGATCCGCCATGCTTGCTGCCCAAACAAGGGCGCTCGGGCGAGGGTATGTCTGCTGTTGCACTAGGTGCCCCTGCTCTGGTTCCTGACACTGCTGCTGCTGCTGCTGCTGTCGCCGTTGCTGCTTTCGTTTCTGCCACTGCTGCTGCTGCTGCTGCTGCTGCGGGGGCTTCTCACGTGATTGTGGTCGAGGATCCTGTTGCCTATGTTGCTGCATCTGATATAGCTGCTGCTGCTGCTGCTGCAGTGGCTGCTTCAGCAGCTGTGGTTGATGCTGCTGCGGCTGCTGCTCCCTCTGTTGTTGCTCCTGTTGCTGCTGCTGCTGCTGCCATTGCATCCGCTGCTGCTTACGCCTTTGCAGTTGCTGCTCTTCATCCATTTCCTGCTGGTCCTGCTTCTGCTGTAGCTGTTGTTCGTTCAGGGCACGGGCTCTTTGCTTTCCAACACGACATTTCAGCGAATGGTAGTACTTGTTAGACATACCCAGGGAAAGGGTCAGAATGGCCACAGGCCAACAGTGACGCGGCTGAGGGCGGGTGCGGCATTCCTCATCATCAAAGTCAAACACATACTGCATGCGAAACGGCAGCATATCACTCGGTAGATCATCGGGCGGCTGAAAGTTGCCGATGTGCGAATCAAAATTAGGTGTTGGCGTGCAGCCATACTCCTTCGTGTCCTTGCATTTGCCGTGCAGGCAGCTGAACACAACAAGGGAGACCGTTTGGCATTCGCCTGCTGTTGAAGCCATCATGTTATGCAGTGCAGCGGCCTCCCAAGCACTGTCGGCATGTCGGAACAGGTTTGCGCCGCAGCTCGGATCACCAAACTGATAGGCATGCTGATTCCACTCCAGCTCTGCGTTCATACCGCTGTAGGCAAGCTGATGTGCCTGTTGCCAATCAACAACCAGAAACAGATCGACAATAACCAGCTCATCAAGTCTGTAGCCCAGCTTGCGCTTCTCTCTGCGCCAATCTTCCAATGCACTCTGAGCAGCTGGCGTGTTGGGGATACTTTCTACTCCATGCGGATCCGAGAACAGTCCTAAATAGTCCTTGTTCCTCACGGAGCGTAGGACAGTCGTCAGCACATTGCTCCAGTCTCTACTATTCTTCTGGACTTGCACGCGGCGGGCGCTGGACGTAGCCACTGCCTTCCTTTTAGGAATAACGAAGTTCAAACAGGCCATCGTAGCAGCTAGCTGCTGGATGGCGAGGCCCCCTTCCGTCACGCGTCCAGCATGAACTCGATCCGGAACGAGGCAGTTTGCAAGTATTTGGCATGCAGGTCAGGAGTTTCTTCCAGCCACAAAGCTTTACTAGTCGATCACGTTCACTATTGAGTATTGTTGTCAAAGCCGCAGCCTAGAGCTAGACACGCAGCGTTCCAACACAGACAATTCTTATCCTGCCGGTGGTACTCCGTTGTTTACGGCAAGCCGCCGCAAAAAACATGCAAATCTCGAGCCGAGGTCACGGAAGGGAAAACGGAACACTGCGTCTGGTCCACATGACAAACAAACAGTCACCGCGATACGGTGCCCACTGCACTGAGTCTGTCACTACTAGTACTATTCCGGGCACTGCTTGCCACACTCACGTGCATGCACCTAAGTCCTTACCTCTAAGTAGGGATATCAGTCACGTGACAAAAGCGGCCGTTTCGACCTGGATGGTGACGCGTTCAAAAAGGATCTACATGTACGTCATGGCACAGTGAAGTGCACGGACTTCTTTCTTGCTTTTGTTTGAATTTCTACATTTTCAGCGAGGAAGAAGACTTTTATCTGTCAGCTGAGGTTTCGAGCTTTCGTTTGGTGTGTCTCACGATGTAGTGCGTAGGATTTTCAGTTGTTTGTCGTCGTCGTGAAATATTCAGGTGCTGTTTTCCGCCGTTTCTGGTAAGTCCTCGCTCTAGCAGCATCGAAAATCGTAATCTACGACCTCGATTTTACAAAGAATGACTGTTCCTGTACCTCTGCAGGACGGCGGTTCTTAGCGGAATTTATTTTCGTGGTACTGACCAGTGTAGTCATGGAAGAATTTGTTGGCCCCCACTGCAAGGAGCTTGGAATCAACCGAAAAGCGCTGGATGATGCCCTTGCTGACAATCGTAATCTCTCAGCTCTCTGTCGACGTGATAAATTGTCAAATGGCATCGTGTTTGAGCTCATGGACTACAAGCGAAGTCAGAATCTAAGCTTGGATTCCATCATTCAGCTAGTGGCTGCAGTGGATGGTGTGGAGCAGGAGACTGTGAATGTGAAGGGTGCTGGTGCGAAGATCGTCCGCATAAAGTCACAGAGGAGCAAGCTACAGAAAGATAAGTGCAACCAGCAGCAGGTTCAGGAATTTCTTGTTCAGCATTTTGACATTCCTTTGTGCAAAGAGGTTGGTCTTGCAGTAGGTAATACTGAACATGCAAGTGTAGGGCACACAGACCAAAGCACCTTTGAAGACAATGTGGAAAAGGTTTTAGCCAAGGAGGCATGTGATTTAGAACACGAATTGAAGACAGTGCAAGAGAGTAATGCACAATTGCAGGAATCAGTGCAGTCGTTGTACAGTCGTCTTCGGAATTTGCGGAAAGTTGTCGGTAGGCGTGGAAAAAAAATTGATGAAATGGAAGAGCACGAGGCAACACTGCAGAAAACAATTGAACACCTTGATTTGGAAATGGAGAGCATGGTTTCGGAACTAGAAAAAAATCAGTGAAAGCCGAAGAAACTCAGCGAAAATTGAAGAACGAATATGAGCGAACGTATTATCATAGGAAAGAGAGGTTGTCGTCTGATGAAATGCTAAAAAGTTATGCAAGTACAGCAACTGAGAGCGCTTCCGCAGTGAAGTATTGTGAAGCACGGATTGCTGAACTAGAAGCTTGTCTTCACGATGCTCTTTGTCAGCTGGAAGGTAAAGCACGGCTGCAGACAAAACATGACGGTGTTTTTATAGATAGTGTTCGGATGTGTTGCCTCAAGCTGCTCTCACAGAATGTAGGAATCCTGAATGTCCGTCCCGTTATCGAAACAGTATTGGAGATGGTGGGAATGCATGCTGAGCAGTTACCAAGTACAGGAACGCTTTCAAACATGTTGATAGAATTGAAACGGATTAGCTCCATGCATGCAGCCTCAGAGCTTCTTGCGTCAGACAATCTCACATTATACAGTGATGGCACATCCAAGTTTGGCGACAAATACGGCACATACCTGCTTGCGAATGAGTGTAAAACATTCAGCATGGGTCTTGTTGACATGAAATGCGGTACGGCAGCTCACACCCTGGAGAAATTGCAGGAAGTGCTATGCGATGTAACAGATGTGTGTGAAGCACTAGGTGAAAGCAAAGCTGGTGACAGGATTTTGTCGAAATTGAAAAATACAATGAGCGACAGATGTGCTGTGCAGAAGTCATTCAATGACCTATTGCAAGATTATCGTGCTGACATTCTGCCAGGGATTACAGAAGGATGGAATGACATGAGTGAGAGTGCAAAAGACAACATGGCGAAAGTGAATCGCTTTTTTTGCGGCATGCATTTCATTGTAGGCCTAGCCACACAAGCTGTGAAGACACTGTCAGAATGGGAGAACTTGCATTTCGGGGAACAGAAAGTTGGTGCCAACACTGTCCCAGGTGTATATGACAAAAAGGAATGTTTTGTGCAACGGCTCATCCGGACAGCAACTAGTGCCTTTCATAAACATGGAAATGAGCAAGCTGGAGTAGTAGCAGAGTTTCGTGCTTTTCTAGACAAGTCAGATTTACACTTGGATTTTCATGATCTAAGAGGAAACCGCGAGTATGTGCTGTTCTACAACGGTGCTGGTCTGTATGCCCTACATGAATGCATGCTTGATTTTCTCAAAGATGTGCATGGTGAGACCAACCTTTTGCTCAAAGCTGTCTCTGCTGATCTAGGTGTTCCGGAATTAGTTGCTGGTGCAAGGGCGCTTGGACTGATTTGCAAATTGGTCATTGCTCCTCTGTGGCGAGTGCTGGAAGATCGACGCATCAGTATTCTGGATATGTCATCAGTCTACTCTGCGATGCACCAGAAACTGACGGAGTGGGCAACTGATGGATCATCACTGCTTGATGGGTCTGCACGACCTTTCCCTACAGCTCAAGTTTCCGTCCTTGATCCAGTGTTTAGTTGCCTCATCCAGCCTGCATCAAGTGATGCCGTAACTCTGGAGATTTTGCAGGTTCTGTGCTCAACCTTCTCGCAGTATATGGGTCAGCTTCTTATCGACCACCTACCAGGAGGCATATTCCACCAGTCGACTGTTGATTTGGCTAAGGAGACAGCATCAGTCAGCAACACCAATGCAATCGCTGAGAGGGATTTCGCCCAGTTGGATAGGTTTGTCCGGGAGAAGCCAAATGCCTCTACAATTGCAATGGATGGAATGATTGCCTTCGCCAACAACAAGACTGGAGCATGGTTAGGCGCACAGACACCAGCTCAGCGTGCGAAGGTTCTAGCGATTGGCCGCAAGACAGCTCCCCTTCTTCGTGACCTGTACAAGGACCGGCAGGCGGAGATCAGGGACCACCGCATCAAGCAAGTGGAAGAGAAAGAGAAGGACATCAAAAAGAAGCGACAGAAAGTGTTGCAGAAGAAGGAGGCTTTGACGCAAGAGATATCGAAGTGCGGTGGTCTGTGGCAAACTATTGACCAGTCCAAGGTGGAGCTTGCCAAATTGTCGTCAGTAAGCTCACAACGTGCGGCACTGAGATCACAGCTTTTCTTCCGCAAATTTGTCCTGGAGCAGGAAGCGCCGTCAGATGTATATGCACTGTCGAAAGCTGGCAAGGTACACTCCATCGAGTGCTTGGTCTCAAACCTTGCAACACTGCTTCGCTCTGAATCGGATGACACCACAGCGAGTGATGATAATGCAGCTTCAGACATCAGTGCTGCTGCTGAACCCCTGGCAAAGCGGCCGCTACATTCTAGCAGCGACACCTGACCAAGCGTAGCGTGCTAGCTAATTGATCTTGGGCGGGTCCGTTAAATAATGTTCTTGTTTCTATTCATGTCTATTGTGCTTCTTTCCTTTCTTTTATTACCTCTTCACAGTTTGTACATAAAAGAAGCTCTATTGTTCATTATGTTGTTGGTTATTTGGGCTGATTTTGCACTGATAAGCACCGTTGCTATGGCGGTTGCCATGGACGCCATGTTTGTTATTTTTGGCGGGAAATTTGAAATCTGCAACGGAAATTACATTTTTGGAATCAGTGGCCTCTAAGCTCTCTTCCCACCAAGTTTGGTGTTGATTGGCTGTGTTTAGCCGTTGCTAGGGTGTTGCTATGGACTTCTGGATTTCCGGATTGTGCCATTGCCCATGTATGGTCTGTACACAACTATTGTACAGGTTGGTCGCGGGTATTCCTTGACCTATATCTTCAGTTTTACTGCTCCGAATTGCTTCAAATTTTCTGTATAGCTTCCTCTGACCCTGGTCTTTCACATTGCACAACAAAATTCTGTGAAAACCGAAGTTGTAAAAATCACCTGAAATCCCTACTCTAAGGCTCTAGCCTCTACTCCTCTTACTACATGTTGTAAGTCTTAGCTTATCTCTCTGTACAATCACATCATGTACATGTACAAGTACTGAGTAGATCTACAAGTATGAAACATAAAGTTCAGCTCATATGATCATGGAGTCACATGCTCACAGACAGTCGACAGACTCAGTCGACTAGCGGCGGACTACTACTAGTACCAAGAGTCCATAACCCAAGAGTATGCAACTGTGATTATGGGTGCATGCGTGGCGCGCTGCCTTCATTACGTAACTTGCCTTCATCACGCTCTGAAAGCATGCATTCAAACTCTCAATTTCTCGCACGAGCCCATCCGTTTTTGCTCGATTCGTTCCAGTACCTACACAACTATCTGAATTCTGGCGCGTGAACTCCAGTTCCGTACGAAAGTTCATTTCAAACTAGAGGGAAAGTGCGGTGTTTGATTTTCCGCAGTGCGCGGACTGCAGCTGAATGATGTAATGAAGGCAGCGCGCCGCGCGGTTGGCCCATAGAAAAGAGATCACAGTTGCATACTCTTGAGCTTGGGTTATGGACTCTTGCTAGTAGTACTACTAGTAGTAGTAGTAGTAGTACAGAGTAGTCGTGGAGTGACCTATTTTTGTAACTAATACTTTTATCGTACTCACACTCTAGTCAGGTAATCTGCGGACTGTCGATGTCGGTCATGTAGGATTAGGTAGATGTAGATCTACCTGTCCTTGTACCACTACCATGATGACTACCAGTCAGTAGTGGCAGTACGTAGACCCCGCGCGGGTACCGTGTCCATGGCATGGGTAGATCTACGCCGACAAGTTAGTCTACGGTCTACCATGCATGGTCTACGCGGTGTCGCGCATGTCGGCAGTCTGACCCACACATATGCGCACCCATGTACTCACCGGGCTCGAGTCAGATCAGATTCTGACCGGTAGGCGGTAGACTCAGCGGCTGTAGCCTTTGTACATGTATAGGCATGGCATGGTGCAGGTGAACCACATAATGCACATAAGTCATTGCGGTTCTTGCCACCACCACACGTAGATCTACACACTGCCCCTTGCCAGTCAGTGCAGTGCAGAGTGAGTTCAGACTCATTCATGAATCATGACTTTGTCTCGTAGATGTAGGCTAGCGAATAGAGTGGAGTGATCCGGCTGTAGACTACATAATTAATAAGTACATTTTGTATAAATTTTACTGTTTACGGTGTGTTCCATGGATGTCGTGCACTGCGTGCGGCAGGTGTTGAGAAACTAGCGCTAGCACGTCGCGACGTCGGCTTGGAGCCAACCAGCACCACAACACTGATCAGTCAACACTTCGAAGCTCCTCCCCCCCCCCCCTCCTCCTCCTGCACGGCACTACAGTAGTGTGATTAGCAGTAGCCACTTCCCCAACTGGCCCAAGTACAAGTAGTTCCCGACTTGACACGATATCTTTATTCAAGCTCAACAAAATGTGAGAACAGGAAGAAAACAGATGAACGCAACACATTCAAATGGAGAAAAAAGTCAAATAGTCCCGTGCATACAATTACAAGTAAGTAAAGTATTATTAGTTGATACAACTCAGGATCATGGTGACCTGGGCCGAGTGGCCCGCAATGACGACGTCGGTACGACGACCTAGTACCTGCTTCCGCGCATACACGTAACTGGTAACCGTCGGTATACCCCAACGACGCAGGTAGAATGCAACTTCCTGACTCGGACAAAGTACCTCAGACGACTGCAGTAGTAGTACTGGCCTAAATAATTATTGTTACAAGGCGGAGGGCGCACAGTACAGCAGTACTCAGTAACTAACATGCTGTCAACCAAACAACGACGAACGAGTTACGTGTTTTCAGCCAAACACTGAAGCAGCTGGGCTTATCTGCTCCTGGCCAATACTCAATAGCCATAACATTACCTATTAAAACGTAACGTCGTTAGTGTACCATGGTGTACGACCGACCGTCTTTCCAGTGGCAGGCTTGCGGTTTTATAGTTCAAAACAAGACACAGTTCTTACTTTGTTGGCAAGCATGTTAAGCACTAGATAGTAGATATTCTGATTACCACGATGTACTGTGTAGATCACCCAGGCTTGACTCTAGAAAGTATTTAAAATATTAAATTTTGTCCTGCTGGCCCCAAATCGTCCATCTACTGCACCGCAACAACATGACGATTGTACTGTGTCTGTCATGTACCGGTACAATGTACAGTCATGTATTGTGCAATGTCCATTTTGTCATAATCATTGTATGCAAGTACAACGAGCGAAAGGCTGTGTAAGTTTCACGCATTTTATCTACATGATTGTACTGAAGTATAACTGCGGCTGGTCCGGCCGCTCTATTGGTGGAATCACTGTATGACTGTATGACTGTGCATTATGTACATGACTGATGATTGACATTGTACATGCAGGAGTCGATAGCCAGTGTTTCATGTTTGACGGATGCGGTGATCGGTCTTCTCTGAACGGGTCAAGGGGGCCAGAGGGTGCATTTACATAGCCGACACTATCACAGGATACTGAGTCAGTCAATCGCCTGTTGTTATGCGAACGTGAACTTGCCTCAACAGCAGCAGCAGCAGCAGCAGCAGCAGCAGCAGCAGCAGCAGCAGCAGCAGCAGCAGCAGCAACAACAACAACAACAACAACAACAACAACAATTACAACAACAACAACCACAGTAGCAGCAACTGTGGCCCTATGATACTGGTAGTGAATTTTTGAGTTTTTGGACATTGTATTGCATTGCTGCTCCATCTTATTATTATTATTATTATACGCATTTCCGCGGCAGCGTCAATCAAGCAGTTATGCTTGATCCACACGTTTGCTTATGCTGGACATTGAAACAGAGCAGATGTAGATAATATCTCCTAGAGAATGGGGCTCTACAAACCAATGACCAAAGTTAGTACTTCAGTAACATAGAGTAACATGGAGCGTCATAAAATTGGTGTCATTGGGGAAAACGTCATCATTATTAAAGGGAAACTGAACGCCAAAAATAAGTATGGCTTATCCGAAGGAGAATTGGGCACTGATTCCGATGAGCTATGTCTCGAGCCGATCAGAGAAGAGGAACCGTGTCAAATTTCATAAATAACACCTTCCATATTTGGAAATTGGGCTTGATGACGTGCGTACTGCTTAGCTGTCACCATGCTGTGCATGCTCAGCAGTGTAATTGAATGGAAGAAAACAATTACTTTGGTGTTTTGCAGCTCTATTTCGTTCCCTGGCGGTACCCAAATCTAGATGTAGGAGTCTGTTGAGCAGGAGAGTGACACATGTCTTCCCGAAGGCTGTCCAGCCTGCAGTGGTGATGAAGAAGACACGAATATCACCCCAAGATCGATTGTAGCGAATTGGAAAACTCATGGTGAATTTGCTTCCACTCCAAGGCAATGTCGAGGTATGAAGGGTGCTTGTACTGCCTTCCAAAGTGCAGCGGAGATGAACATGGCTTTGCATAGCTGTTGCTCTACGCCAACTTACCTACTCTTGCTGGTTCCGTAGTGGTATATTGCAAATTTCGTGGACGAACAATTCGAGTCACTAGTGGCTAGTGAGCACCACTAACAGGTGAGATTTTTCAATTTGATAAAAATTGTTTTTGTTTGAGAACTGACGGTGGCAATCATTTGACTCAGTAGGTGTCTCTGCTGCTTCTTTCCCTTCATTGGTAGGGTTGTGCTTGATAGTACAAGTGCTTGAAGTAAAATAAAATAAATAGAACATGTGGAACATAAATCTAATCAAGCATCAGTACATGTATTGCGAATTTCAACTTCAAAGCACATAAAATTACAATGATCACAAAGTTTATGGAATCAGGAGGACTCCCTGTGTTCAACGAACACAATACACACATTCTATATTGCGCGCACACATGTACACATGTGCGTGCACCCCCACCCCATCCCACAGACACACGCATGCAACGCGCACATCCATACACATGTGTGTGAACCCCCCCCCCCCCACACACACTCCTACCCATACACATATGCGTCTACCCCCAGCTCCCCCCCCCCCACACACACACACGTGTGCACAGACGGATACACAAACACACACACACACACACACACACACACACACACAAGTTACTTGTAAGTGTACATGGTCTTCCTGGTGCAGATGCTGGGCCAGCACAATGGAAAATACCTCCATCAAGATGCTTGATCAAGTGTTGTGATAATGGCACTGTTTGTTTGTTTTTACAAAGATGTGTGGGAAGGATTACAATGCGTTATAATTCATAATATTATTGTTCTTTGCCTTGTACTGTGCAGACCAGAATGCTTCGCCATCAACTCCTGGCTTTCCATCGGCATGGTGTTCAGCTGCAGCGGCATCTGGTCCGGGGAGTACGTTGCTGCACGTTTATGTAATTTATATTGTCGCTCGTCCAGCAACGTCAAGGCTCTGCATGTAAACACAGGAGAACACCATAATAATTATACTACTCAGGGGATAATAATTATAATTTTGGATTATCAATTTCTTGACATTTATGAGTTCCTGTCTAAACCATGTCGTGATATTGATTGCTATCTGCTCACAAAGTACCTCGTATTGTAACAATACTCTGCTTAATCACTACCCTCTGCCAATTATTAGATTCGCACAATATTCACAACATATGCAACACAATGCTGTCTATTGACACTACTTCGAACTGAAATGCTTACTACTCGTCTCCCGTTTTCAACTCCCTCTACCTTATGAATACTCTACTTTACTGGTTTCGTTTCTACCCTTTCCATTGCTGCCAGCCCCCAGTCTTTTTCAGTGGACAGCACCATATTGAAATTTTTGTGATTTGATGTACACATACAGTGCGTATCGGTTATAGTGTGGTCGTATACAAGAATATACTGCTTACAAGAATGAACGCTCATTTTTTCATAATCATAACACATATTTTATGTGTATATTTATTCTTACAAGCAGTATTATCGCATAGTAGAATATATCGGCACTAAGAATGGATTTTGTGTAGCAAAATATGCCAGATTAGTGCAAAGCGTATCGCCTGTAGTAATAACATCTGTGCTCTGTGCATACTCAATACAATAATATTCAACACAAAAAGAGAGTTATGTCCAAGGGAGCATTGGAGAATCACTTTTTCTGTCCAGTCGGACTCTTTCTTCCGACTTCTCTCGTATCCGCTGCTCCGCAGTCGCCTAGCACGACCGCGAGTCTGATTGATCCGTGTGTATCATGTGAACGTGTCCACATGCCAAATGTGCGCGCATATGATATGTCACACGTGATTTATCGTGTGTAAGAAATATCGGTAATAAGAATCAAATGTCGTTTTTCAAACACCCACGCTATAACCGATACCTACTGTACTTTGAAATTGAAATTCGAATTACATGATCAGATTTTTGTTCCACATGTTCTATTTATTTCGACTTCAAGCACAACCCTATCGATGAAGGGAAAGAAGCCGCAGAGAGACACCTACTGAGTCTAATGACTGCCACCGTCTGTTCTCAAACAAGAACAATTTTTGTCAAATTCAAAAATCTCACCTGTTAGTGTTGCTCACTAGCCACTAGTGACTCAAATTGTTCGTCCACGAAATTTGCAATATACCACTACGGTACCAGCAAGAGTAGGTAAGTAAGTTGGCGTAGAACAACAGCTATGCCAAGCCATGTTCATCTCCGCTTCACTTTGGAAGGCAGTACAAGCACCCTTCATACCTCGACATTGCCTTGGAGTGGAAGCAAATTCACCATGAGTTTTTCAATTCGCTACAATCGATCTTGGGGTGTTATTCGTGTCTTCTTCATCACCACTGCAGGCTGGACAGCCTTCGGGAAGACATGTGTCACTCTCCTGCTCAACAGATTCCTACATCTAGATTTGGGTACCGTCAGGGAACGAAATAGAGCTGCAAAACACCAAAGTAATTGTTTTCTTCCATTCAATTACACTGCTGAGCATGCACAGCATGGTGACAGCTAAGCAGTACACACGTCATCAAGCCCATTTTCCAAATATGGAAGGTGTTATTTATGAAATTTGACACGGTTCCTCTTCTCTGATCGGCTCGAGACATAGCTCATCGGAATCAGTGCCCAATTCTCCTTCGGATAAGCCATACTTATTTTTGGCGTTCAGTTTCCCTTTAATAATAATAATAATAATACAGCACGCATATAGCTCATATGAAAAATCAAATGAGGGTCATGCATCTGTCGACAACGTCGAGCCAGTGCGTTCTGTCTGAGGCAAGTTGCTCCGCTTCCAAAAGAGACATATTGAGAAGTAAAAGGTCATTCCTAATGTTGTCTACCCATCTGGTCACTGGGCGACCTCTGGGCTTCTTTATATCTGTTATATTCATTGCCATGTGAAGGGCTTTGTAGGACACAGCGTCCTTCCCTTCACGAATGACATGTCCAAACCATAATAAGCGCCGGCGTCTACAGACTGCACTTATTGGGCATTGAGCAGTTTTAGCATAAAGAGCATTATTCGAAATTTTATTGGGAAAGATGATTCCAAGTATGTATCTGAGTTTACGGCGGTGCCATACATCAATTTTGCTTTCTAAGGCTTTTGTTAGAGTCCATAGCGCGCAGTTATATAGGAGAACTGGCAAAATGAGACAGTTGAACATGCTTAAGCGGGACTGCTGGGTATGGCGTTTCCATGATACACTGGAAAATGCCCGGTTCGCTGCTATGATACGTGCATCAATGTCCTCCGCTGACCCCAGACGAGAACCCAACAGTTTGACCGACCTCCAGGAGGCATCTGACTTTGTAGCTGTTACAAATTGTGTTTTGCTGATGTTTAGTTTTAAGTTGTCTTCTGCGAAGATGGGTTCGCATTTCTCTACGGTTGCTTCAACTGCTGTCCGGCTGTGGTCATGCACTGTTGTATCATCTGCATACAGGGTGAACTTAGTAGGTAGATTGACTTGTTCTGGGCAGGCTTCTCTGATCCTCTGCATTGCACCTTCTGCGTAGACAATATACATAAGGGGTGACAGGGGGTCCCCCTGCACCACTCCAACATTAGTTGGAAATGACTGACTGAGCTGCTTTCCCAGCTTCACGCAAGCAGAGGTTTCGGAGACTAGTTGCTGAATAGTGCATCATTATTGTCTCTTCATAATTAAAGCATTCCTGCTCCATCTACATGGGTGTATTTGTGTTTCACATCTCCATTTCAAGTTTCCTAATAGTAATAAAGATTGTGTCAAGCAACTGTGGCCTGAGGGCATGACAATAGTAAACTGTTGTACTTTTTCTGTCTCTTTCAGTCTTTGTCCCGGGGGTGGTATTTCTTGTTGTTTGTTGTAGTGTCAGCAATGGCAAACAGTGCAGCTTCACGATCAAGTACTGTAGTACATGTAGTGTACCTGTGCATGGCTCGTCATCCTCGAACCCTGGGACGACCACGACTGGACACCCACTGCATCTTCGCTCGGGGGCAGCGGTTGCTTTCAACTTGCCAAGCTCAGGTCCAACAAAGTAAAGCCGAGGATAAATTATCGATTTGGCCATGGACCTTATCCTTCTTCGCCGACTGCGGCCCGGGAGAACCCATTTTATACGTGGTTCTCCTGGCTATGAGGGTTCTGCGGTAAGAGAAAGAAGTGCGTCCTTTCCTCTGGCTCCACCGTCAACACCATGAGAATAACATTATTACTTATTATCACTCCCTTAGTATTGACTCACATAGATTTTTGCCATACCTAAGCAGTCAAATATTCCTGCATATTTCACTCCTTAGCCTAGGGCTATATTGACTGCTTATATTTGACTGCTTAGGGGTTGCGCAGTTGAACGGTGCCTAGTGCAGCATTGTCACTGCGCGTCACTGCATGAGTAGGTGGTGGTGCAACGGTTGTGCAATCATAAAACCGGGATTCATGAGGTTGTCGTTCTGGAATTTGAAATACGGACTGTTTGTCGTGATAAATAGATACGTATTACCAAGAGTCCAAAACCCATGGGTTATGGACTCTTGGTATTACGTTAGCATAAAATATTTTTTGAATTTCTTTCTGGCAGCGCTAGCGAGCAAAAGCCACGAAACCAGGATCTGCAAAAGGTAGCTAGCACTCGGAACTCGGCCTAACGTCGAGTAACGAAATTCGGCCTGCAAAAGGTCTCTATTCTACTAATTTCTAGGGCAGCGGTTCACATAGTTCAGCCCACAGCATGCAGAACTAAACCATGTAAACCATGGTAAACAGGGCATCACCTGCAAGGCTGCATGCTATTCATGACTCATTATCATGATTATGACTCCGATATTTGACATAACCGTGGCGTGAGTCTGTCACCATGGTCACGGCGGCGCATGCACGTGACGGTCAGTTTAGTTTCAGCTTTCCTCAGCTCAGTTTCCTGAAACTACAACAACGATTGCAGTGAGCCTGGTGAATATCCACAAATGAAAGAAACTTTCACAATGGGAGTTATGTCGGTGGTCCAGGGCAGTGCCCGCTTGAAGTTTACCGTCTGGAGTTACCGGTGTCGGCCGTGGTCTTCACATGTGGGAATAATTTTAAATATTTGCCGTCGCGTCCACCATGGAGGTCGACGAAGGCCTTCAGAGTCGTCAATTGGCTGTGTACGGACGCGAGTCTATGCGACAGCTGCGCACTGCGAAGGTTTTGGTCATCGGTAGCGATGGCCTGGCAGCGGAAATCTGCAAAAACGTTATCTTGGCAAATGTGGGAGCACTGACTATTTGTGACCTTGGCAGGAAAGTGGTACCCTCTCACCTTTCGTCTCATTTCTTTGTGGCTGAAGCCGATGTTGGCCAGTCGGTGGCCGGCGTATCTCTACCTCGTTTTCAGGAGCTGAATGATGCAGTTACAGTGTCCGCTGTGCAGCAACTGCCGGAGTCGTTGGATGGCTACACCACGGTGGTGTGCGTCGGAGTAGACTTTGCGGAGTCATGTCGGATCAACGAACTGTGCCGAGGAAGCACCAAGCAGCTGTCATTCATCCGATGCGGAGCGCATGGGCTCTACGGTGAGTGGGATGTGAATGATCGCGGGTGATGACTGTTTGTTTTCACTGTTTAAAATGCCCCAACATAACATGATTGCAATACTGAAACTTGAGAGGGCACACCAATGAAGAGGGAGGAAAGAAAAGAAGAGGGAATAAATGGATTATAATTGTGGTGAATGGAAGCAGCTAGAGCAGCTAGACGTGTCGGACTTTACAACCTGTACCAGCGCACCACACCACGAAGCAGAAAACCTGGCCGGCTGTATAGCAATATGAACTATAACATTCCTCTCCGTCCACTTCACCACCACCACCGTTGCGCTCTGCGTTACTTTCTTGTTATATAACATTCCTGGCTGCCAATAGTCACCACAAAGCGATGTCGTGGAACGTTGTCATCATTCCTGGCCTTGAGACACTTTTGTTTTGATGGAGATCGGATGGGGGGGGGGGGGGGGGGGGGCACGTATCACGTACTTGAAGTATCAGTATGTGATACAGCTAACGCTACTTGCATCCTCCGCAAAGGTCCAAGTGAACGAGCCACTGGAGCCAAGAGCTATAATCGGGAGCTTTAATTAGGGCAGATACAATTGGGTGAACTCACCCATTCCACAATACTCTGCAAATTTCTGAACCATTCCATTATATACAACGTTTCGGCCAATGGCCTTCTTCAGGTAGTCAATGATGTCCCTAAGGCTGCAAATGGGCGGTTTAAATATGTGCCTGTTCCGCCCGAAGCGCGCGATCTATTCTGCTATCGGAGAGGCGGGAAGCCCCCCCCCCCCCCCAAAAAAAAGCCTGGTGTAAAGCTGGCCTGCATTGATGATGTTGCGTTGGACAGTAGCACAGTATGAGTCAAGCGCAAGGCAGGGAAGCGGGATAATACAGATCAGGCGCTAGGCGTAAATTTGCCACCTGCACCGATGGCAGGGCGCTGGGCAGTAGCAAGCTATGACTGTGAGTATGAGTCAGGTCACGGTGAAGCAGGGAGACAGGGTGATAGGAAACAGGTGTGAAGCAGGGAGACAGGGTGATATAGGAAACTGGTGTAGAGTGACGACTGGCCCCGATGGCGGGGCACCGAGTTGCAGAAAAGTCAAAGTATGTCAAGTGTGATGAAGCAGTGTGTCAAAAGTCAGCAAGGGGCAAGTTGTGAAATTACACCACAGCAGGTAGGCATTTGTTGCTAGGTAATGCGCGTGCAGATGGTAGCCCAGGTAATGAAAGTAGTATACTAGTAGGGCTCAAACGGTTAGTCCGATTAACCGGTTGCAGACCGGTTACGAAGAATTAACGGTTAACCGATAAAGATAACGGTTACGCAGTAACTTTTCAGTCAATTTTTCGTATCAGGTCGTTGCAAAGTGTGCACTTTCGTGGGCTGTCGCACGCGTACGCAATTTCTGGGCTGTCAACTCGGTAGTAGTAGTAGTAGTAGTAGTAGAATTTATTATTTCGATAGGGAAGGCCCTACAGACGTTGCCGGTCATGTGTGGTCTCTTGGTGTGAGAGTATGTATGAATGAGCATGCAAGAGAATGTACATGTGTGCGTTGTACTGAATAGGGTACATTTTTTGAATGAGTATAGTCAAATATACGGTTAAAAAAGAGTCCGCAGGATTGCCGTGGCTTATAGGTTATAACCGGTTAACCGACCGTTAGCTTAGCAGTTAACCGTCAGGGGTAAAACCGTGACCGTTTGAGCCCTATATACTAGTACATGTATATGTGCAGTATGGTGTAATATCATGCAATATGCATCAATAGAAGGTCCCAGCCGGTGCTTGTGTTAACTGGTGGCTTAGTGTCACGTATTTCAATGGCCTCACGAAGGTTGCGACGAGCTCTGTCAGGCTGTCTGGCGATGACGGAGACTTCCGAGAATGTACTTCCTCCGCAAGCCAAAGTGCAGTCGGGTGCTTGGTTCTGTAATGGTCCCCCCAGGGCTTGTCTACTGTCCTCCTTCGTGCGTCTCCAGTATGCTCCTCCAGCCGGGTCTCAAGGAATCGCTCCGTCTCGCCAACATATTGCTGTATACATTTCTTGCATTTTGTTTCGTATACCATATTTTTCTGCATGCATGCATCCCGGGCCCCTGTCTGGAATGTCAGACACGGTCCCTTGGGCCGACCTCTCGTTCTCCGCTGTGTTGGGTTTTTGGCTTTACGGCATAATGGACGTACTAGGGCAGACTGGCACAATGTACCCTTCAGGCTTTCAGCATTCTCGTACACGACTCTGACGGGTATTTTATATTTTCGCATGGCTTTGTTTACAGCATAATCCACTTGGTCAGATTTTTATGGTAATTTTAAGAAGGCACTGGATGGGTTTGTCCAACGCCGACGCTTTGGCTTGCTAGCTCGTGTGCGCGCCTCGTTGATGACAATGTCCGGATAGTGATTCAGTTGCTTGGTTATCGTCAATTCACTTTCACTGCGCATCTGGGGACCTGATGATAGGCGCTGGGCCCTCAGAAATTGCGAGGAGGCAACGGCCAACTTCATATGTTGGGGAGTAGCCGACGCATAATCCATCAGTAGCCCACTGCTGCATGGTCTCTGGAAAAGCTTGTATGCCAACTCTCCCGACTCTTTGATCGCAATGGTTAAATCCATGTAATTCACTGAGCCACTCACCTCGCTCAACTCGTATGTGAACTTGATCCTTGGGTGGTAGGAGTTGAAGAGCTATACGAACTGTAGAAGCCGCTCTCTGCCATAGGTCCTGAGGATTAGGATGTCGTCAATGTAGCGCTTGTACACTAGCGGCTTGATCTCTGCGGTCTGTAGAAGTCTGGTCTCGATTGTATGCATAAAGATAATGGCGAAGGGGGGGGGGGGGGGGCAGGTTGTTGCCCATGGCAACCCCGTCGATCTGATGATAAATCTGATGTCCAAACTTGAAATAATTGTGGCTCAGCACAAATTGCAGCAGGTTTTGTACCTCGTTCAGGCTGAGGCCAAACGTGTCGATCTGCTCTAAGTGGTTCTCTAACTCCTCCATCACAGCATCGACCCCTTCATGGATTGGGATGCTGGGTTATAAGCCGAATACGTCCATAGTGACGACGATTGTACCTTCAGGTGCTTTTAGACCAGGACATAGGTCCTTGATGCAGTCGTTAGCCTCTGTCGTATTAGCCTGGTGTGCCGGTACAGATCCGACGAGTTGTAAGATACGTTCTAGTATAACAGAGATTCCAGTGGTAGGTCCATCACAAGTGGCCACAACAGGCCGCATTGGCAGATTCTGTTTGTGGTCTTTCGGGAGGCCGTACCATTCCGGAAATCTTGTACATCTTGGTTGGATGTCATCCAATAGCTTCTTGTCCATGCCGCTACACTCTGTTGCAAGTATGTCTTTTACTTTCTTTTCAAATGCCTCGATCGTCAAGTCCACCTTCTCGCACATCGCTGCGTCTGATAGTAGCGTCTCCGCCTTTTGCAAGTAGAGCTCCTGCTTCATTGCTACCAGTTTTTTTTCTTTTATCAAATGGCTTAATGATGATGTCTGGTGCTTTCCTCAGACGGGTCAGTTCCTGTCGATCTTCTTTCGATATATTGGGCCTTGATGGTCTGTACTTGTCATACGCGGCCAGTACGCGAAAGTTGGTGATGTTTCGCTCCTCCCGGTCACTCATCCGTGGTGGCTGAGTGAATCCGCGGCGTGTCACCTTGTAGATCTTCTTGTCCTGCCTCACATTGGGTGTCGGTGGACGCTGTGATAGTTCCACACCTGCAGGGCTGGCTTGCTGCCACCTAAGGGTAAAGGCCGTCCTCTCCACTGCAGTTTCTACGTTCGTGCGTTCCTTTGGAGTGACCTTTCCCGTCGATGGAACAAACCCCGGACCGAGCTCCAGAATACGTCTGGAGTGTTCTGATGCACATTCGTCCATCACCAATGCGTGCGTACCCTCAGGCTCCGGTTCCTCACCGCCCACATGAACACCAATGCGTGCGTACCCTCAGGCTCCGGTTCCTCACCGCCCACATGAACACCAATGCGTGCGTATCCTCAGGCTCCGGTTCCTCACCGCCCACCTGAACACCAATGCGTGCGTACCCTCAGGCTCCGGTTCCTCACCGCCCACATGAACACCAATGCGCGCGTACCCTCAGGCTCCGGTTCCTCACCGCCCACATGAACACCAATGCGCGCGTACCCTCAGGCTCCGGTTCCTCACCGCCCACATGAACACCAATGCGCGCGTACCCTCAGGCTCCGGTTCCTCACCGCCCACATGAACACCAATGCGCGCGTACCCTCGGGCTCCGGTTCCTCACCGCCCACATGAACACCAATGCGCGCGTACCCTCAGGCTCCGGTTCCTCATCGCCCACATGAACACCAATGCACGCGTACCCTCAGGCTCCGGTTCCTCACCGCCCACATGAACACCAATGCGCGCGTACCCTCAGGCTCCGGTTCCTCACCGCCCACATGAACCTCGGACCTCTCAAAACCATCCTGTGGTCCATCAGCAAGGCGGCTCCCAATCGTAATGACTTCCTTGTCATAGCGAATTGAATGCCGAAGCCTCTTGAGCTTTGCCGTCAGCCTCGTGTTGCATACTATGCGCTCCTCGGTTATCACCGCCCGATAGAGGGACCTGATAAGCAGGTAGTCGTCCTGCGAGAATGTCCATATCTCTTGCCGATGTTGTTTGCAATTCCGCCAACGGTACTCTTTTTCGGCATACTTGTCTTCTATCGCGTTATTTATATGGCGTGACAGTAATTATGTGCAAGGGCAGTCCATACTGTTAGTAGATTACAGGGGCCAGTCCACCTCCGGCTAGCACGCCTGCATATGGAATCTCATGCATGTCTTTACGTGCTGAAAGGGGCGGCAGATTATCACGCTGGCCCTGAGAAGCCACTGGTGACTCAGCAAGGCTTGGCGAGATCACACACTGCATGATTTGATCATGAAATTCTACAAGTACATGTACATTGCGGGTGTTGGGTGGACGTTTTGGCACTGGCAATATCGGACTTATCGCTGGAAACAGGCATGCACATTGAACCGAGGAAAGAAAATGTTGAAAAATGGCCTCATATACTAGTACATACATATACTGCCCGATGTACAGGGAGTCCCTGTCTCGTACAGTCTGACTCTGAACCGAAACTTTAGTGTGACTGGCAATGAAAACATGCACTACTCACCTCCTGTTAGAAGTGAGTGAGAGTCGGCCGGATAGCACAATCATGCGCTGGCTGGATTTTGTTTGCTTTTGCCGTTTTGGGGCTGCAGAAGACTTGGGCAAACAGCATGCACGTACACTGCCAGTGGTTGCAGAGGTCTGTGTATGTACTTCTGAAGTACGTGGATATGCGTGTTCTGCGCATGCAGGATTGAGAATGCATATACGGGACTGAATCATGCACTGTGCTGTACATGTCGGTATCAGATACATGTACAGTGAAACCTGTAACTAACGACCACCCCTTGGTGCCCGGAAAAGTGGTCGTTAGTGGCAGGTGGTCTTTAGTTAGAGGTTTGCACCGCGCGACCATATATGGATCCCATTATATGATATGTATGTCAAAATGCAGATAATACAATCCCCCACCACTTGCGCACTGACATTCTTCTTTCAGATCATACAACACTTGGAGAGAGACAAAATCAAGTTTTTTATACACCGAAAGCGATACGACCTTTTGACACTTTCTTCGACTCACTGGTGACTGGGTTTCCAGAGCAGCGCTAGCCTGGCCAGGCAGTGCACTAGTCACTATCGACTCCATCCTCATCTGTGTGCGACTACACTGGCAACTGGTATCAGTGTGTTGATCTGCAGTGGAAACTCAGTCGCTCCGACTTGGATGTAGTGTAGCGTAAACTGTACTAGTGAGTAGTGTGCACCAGTACGTGATGCGGCGATGTTGCGAGTTTTCGCACCTTTCACTGTAGACTATTATCCGCCATCGTATCCTGGCCTGTGTTCCGTACAGCTGAGTACATAATACCGTAGCATGCTAGCTAGCCAGCACAGACTGTCAGTGTGACCTGGTGTAGTGGTGAGTCTGGTGACTGAGCTGTGTGATTGCACTTCGACAGAGAGCCGCTTAGTCTTAGTTTCTCTTTCGAGTAGTAACATCGATCAAAGAGCGCTTTGGATGCGCTCTCCAAGACGTTTCCTATCTTGTTTGTTCTTGACAGCACTTGAAATTATGACAGGTGTAGTGCAATCCACACTGATTCCACAGTAAAAATGAGACTGCGCTCATTTGTCCAGCTGTAGTATCGAAACGACCATGGAAAATCATCAAAATTTCGAGAAGGAGCTTCAAGCAATGTTTGATTTGCTACATCGCGGTCGCTAGTTACGGGTCAAAATTCGACATTGGGACAAGAAAAGGCGGTCGCTGGTCGCGTTCAGCAGGTAGTCGCTAGTCACAGTGCATTTTGAATGTGAGACCGTCCGTGCCTGACAAAGTGGTCGGTAGTACCAGGCCGGTCGCTAGTCACGGTGGTCGTTAGTTACAGGTTTTACTGTATGTGCGTAGTCTTGGAGCCCATTCTCGGTCAGCCCTGTTGAGAACATATCATGATCTGAATTATGCTCTAAAAAAGATGTTCTTTTCTCACATGCTGACTATCTGCCGTGCAGGAAATGTGTTCTGCGACTTCGGGGACGCGTTTTGCGTCAACGATTGGAATGGAGAGACTCCTGCAGTGGTCGTTGTCAGCGGCATTGCAGACCGAGGTGGCAGTGTGCTTGAAGTGCACTGCTACATGGAGGGAAACAAGTCTGTGCCCTTCTGCAGTGGCGATGTCGTCAGATTCACGGAGGTGAGCGCGCGAACACTGGTCATTATCTGTGTGTACTCAGTCTGGGTGTATCGGGGCCCCGGGGATTCGCCCAGTCATGTGCTTCAAGTGCGTGCATGAGATATCCACTACAACCTGCAATTAACATTATTGATACATACACATAGTGGTTCGAGACAGGGGAAATAGGTTATTGCAATTCTATGCTGTGTTTTTGCTGCAGCCGGCCTTCTTACATTTGGGGTCTGCTCCAACTACAGTGAGACCAACCAATTTTCTTTTCGTATCAATTTGACAATTTATGTATGTGCAAATTTGATGTGGCTTGTCTGCATCCAATTTATGTTTTCTGTAGGTACAAGGAATGGCAGAATTGAATGGCCTTGAATTCGAGGTGCTGAGTGCCACTAGGTGGAGTTTTGAGATCCGCAAGCCAGCAAATATGTCATCAGAGTATATTACAGGCGGTATAGCCACCGAGGTGAGTGAGATATTCGGCTTTTTGGTGTGCAGCCTGGCGCCGAGTACTGAGTACACTGTAGTTTGACTGGTGAAATCTAAGAGAAGGGCAGGTTATTCTGAGGTTATTCTGAGGTTATTCTGAGGTTATTCTGAGGTTATTCTGAGGTTATTCTGAGGTTATTCTGAGGTTATTCTGAGGTTATTCTGAGGTTATTCTGAGGTTATTCTGAGGTTATTCTGAGGTTATTCTGAGGTTATTCTGAGGTTATTCTGAGGTTATTCTGAGGTTATTCTGAGGTTATTCTGAGGTTATTCTGAGGTTATTCTGAGGTTATTCGGTATGCCCTGTGACCCTGCATGGGCTAGCTCCTGCCCGTATGATGGTGGAGGTGCAGGTGGAGGTGATGGCGGAGGTGGTGGTGGATGTGGTGGTGGAGGTGGTGGTGGAGGTGGTGGTGGTGGAGGTGGTGGAGGTGGTGGATGTGGTGGAGGTGGTGGTGGAGGTGGTGGTGGTGGAGGTGGTGGTGGGGGGGGGGGGGGGGCTATTCATGGCTACATGGTGTGTGCATGATTAGGTATAGTGCCTGGTGCCTATGGTAGAATAGCATGGTGGTAGAGAGTCTAGAGACACACCTGGCCAAATGGCGGTAAATGCAGGTGCGGTGGAGTGACGAGTCTTCTAATTCATTTCGCCTGTTGCTTACCCTGGAAGTCTGCCCTCTTTCCATCACTTCAGGCTTTACTGGCCAGGATATTATAGCTATGCATACAACTGTATATCCCGCAAGCATCCTCTGAAAGGAGAGCATCAATCCACCACCAGTGATGAAAATCATCTGGACTATTTGCACAGAAACGTCACAGTCTCTCCAGAACTGATCAGTGAGACATGGCGTAACTCACTTGGTGCATTCTCTGATAAGACGTGGCCTCGCTCAGTGCGGACGTTGTCCAGGGCATGGGCCCGTATTGAACCATGTTATTTTAGTGTATATTTGGATAAGAATTACCCTTTTAATGTGTGACATTTAAAGTTCGCTGGTGCATTACACATGGTCAAGTTTCAAGATAGTTCCTCAATTGGAGATCAATTTCGAAGTGTTTGGTGCTCTCCATTCTCAGATCAAGCAGCCAGTTGTGCACAAGTTCCAAAGCTTGAAGGAATCTCTCACTGGACCTGGAGCTGTAAGTGTTGCATGGGTTTGGACAGTATCGGTTCTGCACTCGTAAGCATTCATATTTGATAACCAGTGATGAGGAAGGGGCAACAAGCCTAAACCGGTAACTGGGGTGATACCTGGCATGATTACGGAAGTGCTGCGGCAGGAGAGCGAGATGAATGTTGTGGCCTGTTTGTATGAAAGTGTACGGTTGACAGTTGGTGGGTGGACCAGCACCCCAGACTCACTGAGACGAAGTGAAATGCACTACTTTCAATGTGTGCGTGTAACATAGCCAAAGTTAAACCGCATGATCTGCTTGTGTTTCATCCCCGATACACAGTTTGTCCAATGCGGGTATCACGAGCCCGGACACTCAGCAATGCTACACGTGTACGCGCAGGCCCTGGACAAGTTTCTTGCCCGGCACTCCACTTTGCCGCAACCCGGAGCAAAGGAACATGTGGATGAAGTTGTTGAACTGGTCACAGAAGTGGCTTCTGATCTGAAGGTAAGAGGGGGGGGGGGGGGGGTGGGGGGGGGGGGTATACTTTAAATAAGACTTTGGTAGGTGATCAATAAAACAAAATGTACACTTCAGTTTTTACATTATCAGAGACTGGAAAGAGTTTCGTATGCAGATTTTCTTGACCGGATTTCGATATCTGTTTGCTATCAATATGAAGGTTGGGTTTGATCTCTTTGTCAAACGTCCTTGTTTCTCACTGTGCTACATGTATTGTTGGGCTTTCTGCTTACGATTGTATTCATGTACTTTGTATCATATTATTTTCATGATGACCCGCTTTTGTGGTTTTCCAGAGTCTTGGGCTGAGGAGTGATACGATTGATTATGCTCTGGTGAGACGGATGGCAGCCACTTCGTCCTCTGTCATCAGCCCCATGGCGGCCATCATGGGAGGAATCGTAGGACAGGAGGTAGGGGATTACCCAGCAAATAGGATTTCTGCATGCACGGCGTTTTATTGATGATCACCAGTGAGTATAATATGCCACATTGGAGGAGAGAATCGTCGCGGTTACCAGATACTTACAGTATTTTCCGTCCACTGTCTACATGTACACGTTGGGTCAGCCGGTGGGCTGTGGGAGAGCAGGGGTTTGCTGCGGACCCTTGCCTGCAGACCGCAGGCTACTGTGTTCAAGAACGAGTTTCTTCAATTGCGTCAGTCGACTTGAAGATTCAGAGCCAGACATCATTTTTAGATTTTTAATACAGTCATGTATTTGCATGTGGACTAACAGAGAAATCAGAGTGGTCAGTTGCAACTCTGAGTTTCACGCTTTGCGATCATCATGCACTGACTTTGTGCATTTATGTGGACTATGGAGATTTGTTTGGCTGTAGTTCAGTGACGTGCTCACAGCCTGTGCATTGTTCTCTGGTTATGGTTTCTACACAGGTGGTGAAGGCATCCACGGGGAAGTTCTCTCCGTTGCGCCAGTGGTGCCACATGGAGTTCTATGAGTGCCTTGCTGGGTGAGCCATACACTAGGCTACTCACAAAGTCATGACTGCGGTTTTGTTCTGTTAACAGCTGCAGACTGTGTCTCGTATACTTGAGAATATATCAGGACTCTTTTCGCCAAGTAAACATTACAATCATGTATTTTGATATCGATCCTAACAACTTCACATTTATGGTTGCCACAGGAAACTTGCTTTGTACTTCGAAGTAGTAAGAACGCGAACTACTGAATTGTCCTTCTAACTTCTACCATTGCCAGGAAGGTACTGGTCTCAATGCACCTGCTCCTCTGTACATTTTTACATGCAGCCAAGAACTTAGCTATGAAGAGGTTCAGCCCACCGGGAGCAGATACGATGACATGGTGGCAGTCTTCGGCAAAACGTTCCAGGAAGAATTGGCACAGCTTAAGGTATGGCCACTGGTCGTAGGTGTGTTACCAGTCGTATTGACTAGGCAGTCGCTATGTTGGATGATATGTCCCTTTTTGTGGGTGTACAATTGTGGAAAGTAAAAGCAGCTCTGGTGTATAGTTGCAGTGTTGAAGGCTATTCAGACCCTACGCCACATGGCTGGTCGTATTCTTTCTCTATAGAAAATGTGCATGAGGTCATCTACATCGTTTCGTTGCTCTGATACGATGCATGCACGGGTCCCGATTTCACTTGACACCCCTCTGCACACAATGAGCGCATGTCTGTAGTCTACCATGGGCGCTAAGGGAGTCGTTCTGCATTGCACTGCTCTGTATGGGCTGAGGCATTTGTAGTGGTTCCCACAATGATGGTACACCTACAGTTAAGCTGAATTGGAGTATTCTCCCACAGATGATAGTTGGTGACTGATCTGTATCGTGATGGTAACTGAGCGGAATCATCATAGCCATGCCATTCTGCCTCTCTCGTTCTTCTTCTCCATCTCTTCGCCTGTTCCCAGTATTTCATGGTAGGCTGCGGCGCGCTGGGCTGTGAGTTCCTGAAGAACTTTGCAATGATGGGAGTTGCATGCGGACTGGACGGATCCATCACTGTGACAGATGATGACATCATAGAGCGGTCAAACTTGACCAGACAATTCCTGTTCCGGTAAGTAGGGATAGCGTTTGTAGGACAGGCATCGGTGCCCTGTTCGATGTACAATATCTGGACCATCAACAGTCTGTGACTATTGTGTTCTTGCTCTTTTTATTTTATTTTACATTTGCCGACGACCAGGAATCGTGATGTAGGCCGGTCCAAGTCAGCAGTTGCAGCTAGAGCTGTGAAGGCCATGAACCCGGACATCAGCCTAGCTGTTCATCAGGTACGCACATCTCCTTTCCTGAGCAACATTGTAGGCTCTACGCATGCGGGACATGACACACATCCCGAAGGCGTTTTCCCTTTGCTCACGCCATTGGCCACAACATTAGACAGTCCTAAGTGATAAGTCAGCGAATGACGGTGCAGAACACGATCGGATGGTATTTGCCTAGCTGGTCTGTGTGATAGTTGAGTGATCTTTCCTCTTTGGTTTTCTCTTGTGGAATACTGCTGGCATTGCCTCGTCCGCGTTTCAGGATCGGTTGTGTGCTGACACGGAGGCTGAAGCTGTGTTCAACTGTGGTGAGTGTGTTGTTAATACTTGTACACAAGGTGCAGGTTGGTTTATGTTGTATGAGCCTGCATCACAGAACTGTTGGGATGGGCTTACTAGCCTTACAGGGGGATCATGTGACTTCTCTCCAGTACCAGCACCACTCCCAATACTTGGTGTTGTAATGACTCTGGGCACTGCATTCCTGAATGTGAGCTGATCGGAAAACTGCACAGTGAACATTAAATAATGTGCCATGGTTGTCTTCGGGTCAGTTTTCCATATGTGTCAGAGGCCAGCTCTAGTGGTTATCATTGACTTCCAACTTTTGCTCTTTTTTACTGTAAATGTTCTGCTGCTCTTAATGCTTGTCCTTTGTTGCTTCTGTACGTTGTGGCCGTGGTGCGCTGTACAGATTTCTGGAAGTCCCTTGACGGTGTGTGCAACGCGCTGGACAATGCGAAGGCAAGAATGTATGTCGATGGAAAGTGTGTCCAGTATGGACTGGTAAGGAAGACGTTTCAGTATCAGATAGTAATTCCCTAAGCCCGGCCATACATCTCATGTTTGTGTCTTTTTCTTTACATAGTGATTTGCTGTTCGTATCAATTTTGTTGTTTCATCCGTGCATGTGCCGATGATGTGTAATTTTGGCGAACGTAAATCAAAGTGTGGCACATGCAGTTCCGCACCTTTCAGGCCACCCGACTAAGAGTGTGACTGGCTGAGCTCACCGAAAAACGAAACCATGTAACTGTTAAAAGCTAAGTCTGATTTTGTCACTGAGCAATTCTATTTAGCGGTAGCAGAAAGCTTTGTAATTCTGGCAAAAAAGGTTTGCAAATTTTGAAAGAATGGAGTTGGATAGAAAACGTTTGACTCCCACATGAAGAAAGCTCAGTGTGGCTAATGGCTATGTGTCGTTGCCTCTCGTCTTGCACTCCATTCTTGATATGCATGTTCACCTGCAGAGCCTTTTGGAGTCCGGTACTCTCGGCACACAGGGTAATGTTCAGGTCATTCTGCCCCACAAGACTGTGAACTATGGACAGCATAGTGACAAAAAAGCAGGACAAGTTCCCGTTTGCGTACTCCACAACTTCCCGGTAAGGCTTGGCAGTAGATGCATGCATAGTACACGTGTGCGTGTGTGCATGTGCATGTGTGTGCGCGTGTGTGTGTGTGTGTGCCTATGCGTGTGCATGTGCATGTGTGTGACTGTGTGCTATTGTACACATAATTGTGTGTTGTGTTGTATGTGCATGTAACGTTACAGTGTTACTTGGCAAACCACGGTACAGCATAGCAGGACGAAAGTATTAGCCCCCCCCCCCCCCCACACTCCCCTTTTATTTCTGCAGGTGGGCCACAATTCTGGGTGCACAATCTACAGCATTTTTTCTGCATAGCTCATATCTACTAAACCACAACATACTCCTACACGATGGTGAAGGTCCAGTGGTGACGGGGCTCTGCAGCACTTTAGTAGCTCGATGCATTTCTTTTGTACCGTTGTATCCATACCTGCCAAGTACTGAGAGTGTTTTTTCTGGATCGCCAGGGCAAAATCCCGGGATTTGCCTTGGTTTTTCGGGATATGTCATATTTTTACCAAAAAAATCCTTTTTCAACTTTTGATGGCACCAACATTTCGATAATACTTTTAATAGATGATTGATGGTGATCATCGGATCACACTTACACATGTTCAAGACTCAAAAACGGAGGTTTTCCAGAGACTGCTCATGGAAGGAGCACTAGTAGATCCACTGGTACTGCAGGCTATGGCGGTATGGGATCAATAAGGACAATTACTGGCCTCTGACAAGTCATTTGAAGTGCTCCAAGTACAATATCAAGCTTATTTCTTTTACAGTGAATTTCGGGATAATCAACAGGAATTTCGGGATCGCGGGAGTTCATCCAAAATTGCGGGACAATCCCGAAAAAATCTGGATACTTGGCAGGTATGTGTATCGGGTATGTGCGGAATGTTTGCGTGTGCTATCCAGCATACCATGGAGCACTGCTTGCCTTTGGGCAGATCGGAGTTTGCTGGCCTGTTTGAAGTCAACCCTGAAGAGGTCAACAAGTATGTCAGCTCAGCAAGGTATTTTCATTATACATTGCACACCAGCACCATGTACATCTCACGTATTCACATTGTTTGTAATTTCTGCTATTGGACAACAGATAAAGAACTCGTAGGCATGGACAAGTGAATCACGGCTTCCGGCCGCTTTGACAGTGGTACTCATTCACTAAACTCGAGCTCAAGACTTTTCTGCCACAATAACGTACCAATCTCTGCTGAAATTGCCGCGTGACTTAGTTACTGTCCTTAGGCTTACAGCAAACACCCATCTCTCATGAAATAGGCGTGTCAAAGAGATTCCGCTAGTTGAGCTTTTCTCTTGTGCATTGTCTGGCTGTGATTGCCGGTACCAGAAAATGCTACAATACTCAGTTGCTGTTAAGATATCTGCCATGAACCTTTCTTATTGTCATAAGTAAACCGCCGTGGACCCAGGCTAGCACCTGACACTACTAACGTGGCGCCTTTTACATAGCTTTGGGAATTAAAGCCTTCATCTTTGCCATTGCACTTCCTGCGTTTTATGGTGCCCAGCGGACACGACTATGTGCAGTGTTTGAAGGACGCAGGATCAAAGGCCAGTGATATCCTGGACAAGCTACGCGGGCACAAGATCTGGGGCGGTGGCATGGTGGACTGGATTGGGCATAACCGGTAAAGTTGAGCACATCTACCTCAGTGCAGCATGTCAGTGTATTGACGTTCAGCATTTTTCCGCTCCGTGGATGCAGGGTCTATGCTTCTGATCCCTGAGATGTAGGTAGAAACATATTTTTGTAACATTAGTTTGAGAGGCGTTTCCGCCTAACACTCTACAACTCCACTGCAGCGTTTTCTTTCCACATTTGAACACCTCCATCCCCGAACAGGCTCTCAGCTGCACAAAAAGAGTAAAGTACCTGGCCACTATTTCGTCCATTGGGCATCATGCTTGCCTCCTCTTCCTTATCATTTCCCTGATGATGTCCAGTTGGCGAAATATTGGCAATACTGAATTCTTTTCGTGAAGCTGAGAGCCTGTTCGGGGATCGAGGTGTTTATAAATTAGTTTGAGATCCTCACTGTACATTCTCATTTTTTTCTCTTTGTGTATTTATCTCTGCAGGAGGCCAAAGGTGTTTGAAGATTGCGTGACCTGGGCCCGGCGCAAGTATGAGAACTACTTTGTCAATACCATCATCCAGCTGACGGCCATTTTTCCAGAGAGCCACAGAACATCTTCCGGTGCTGCGTTTTGGACGCCACCGAAGCGCTTCCCTCGCCCAGTGGCATTCGATTCCAACGATGCGATGTGCTTACAGTTTGTCATTTCTGCCAGCAATCTGTGTGCAAAGGTGAATGCAACACTGACTTTGCCAGAACATTTGTTGTTTATTGTGAAGAAGACCATGTTGTTGCTTTCACTCCATGCAGCTAGGTGACACTTGGGAAAGGCGTATCATTGGTTGTCACCTAGTGTGCGTCCGGTTCTTTAAGCCAAAAAGTGCAACTAGTTACTTTACATGTATCTTGTCCTCTACCTATTCAATGCTCAAGGTATTTGGTATCAAAGTCCCGGCATCAAACCGTGATGAGGCCTACTTTAAGCCACTCTTGGAGAAGGTATGATACTTGCCTGTGTTTGATTGTGAAATGCGGAAGCTGTTACTGTTTCGAGGACTTTTGATCATCTATTTTTTTCCGTTTGCAACGAAAAACTCGCCGAAAAGGGCGAGCTAGGGACAGATAAAGGACAGCTGAGCGCACCTGGGGAAGAGTGAGGGACATATGCAGAGGTGTGAATCCAGAATTGGTTAATTAATCAACAAGGTAATAGGGCTACTCTCGGTGTTTGGCATAACACTTTAAAGCGCTGTGTGATTTGGTTGATTGTGTAGGATCTCTAACTTCATTTCTGGGAAACGTGATGAATAGAATACATGGCACAATCTCGCTTCGGTTGTGCAATCCCTCGCTTTGGTTGTGCAATCCCTCGCTTATCCAGAATAGGGAGATTAAGGTGCACGTTATTTCCGACGTGACGTGCAATTTCACGTCAAATTTGGCGTGAAACTCCACATTTTGACGTGAGCTGCAGGTCACTCGCTTTGCTTTTTCGACGCACGAGCCAAATAACGCGAGCTGAACTTTCGCGTCACGTCAGAAATAGCGTGCATCTTAACCTCTCTAATGAGCTAGGATAACTCCGTAATGTACTTATCTGCTACATGGAAAGCATGTGTGTATGAGGTGGTTCAATCTTGCAATGTGATTGTGAGGTAGTTCAATCTTGCAATCTGATTGTGAGGTGGTTCAATCTTGCAATGTGAGTGTGATATGAGGTCTAGATGTGTACCATTAGCCACCATAAGATATTTTACAGATGTGCTCATATTTAGATCACTCTGATCTTGATGTTGTTCGCTGGACTTTATCACATTCGGTTCAGTCAGTCAGTCTGAGCCATGCTGCAGAGCCCTAACAAGGATGGAACAGCTAGCTGTCGGCAGATTTACAGACGTTATAATTATGATGTTGGTAGCTGGGCATATCGGGTATGCGAACACTCTCGGCCAGACCTCTGGCCGAAGGGATCAGATTAACAAAAGGCAGCACCGCAGTACCTTCTACATAATTGTATTGTATTGAGCTGTCAAAAGACATCTTTCTCCAATGGTACCGAGGCATTGAATTGGCGTATTTGAACATCAGCTTTTACATGTATATCAATGTAACAGTACCTACTCCAAATGAGGTATCGCCTTTTCAAAATCCTAAGTATCTCCTACCATGGCATCTTGATGTATTGAGTTGTCGTGGCAATTCCTAATCCAGGCATTAATCTGATGGAATTCATCTGGCATTTTAAATTAGAAGATGTTGTTGTTGATCGGCCACTGCCAAGTCAGTGGTGTTGTTGATCGGCCACTGCCAAGTCAGTGGTGTTGTTAATCGGCCACTGCCAAGTCAGTGGTGAATTGCCAAGTCAGTGGTGAATTGCCAAGTCAGTGGTGAATTGCCAAGTCAGTGGTGAATTGCCAAGTCAGTGGTGAATTGCCAAGTCAGTGGTGAATTGCCAAGTCAGTGGTGAATTGCCAAGTCAGTGGTGAATTGCCAAGTCAGTGGTGAATTGCCAAGTCAGTGGTGAATTGCCAAGTCAGTGGTGAATTGCCAAGTCAGTGGTGAATTGCCAAGTCAGTGGTGAATTGTCGAGATAGAACCGTTTTAAAATGCAAACTCGGATGTTGAGCCAATACTAGTAATAACTGTAGAATGGAGAGGGACATATGGATACGAGTTATAAGTAAACTGTCCACCACTGTAACTAGATGCTAAGATAGGTTTGTGTTGAATTTGGCCAGGTTTCCATACCAGAGTTTACTCCTAGCAAAAACGTTGTCTACGAGACGGAAGACGACAACGTCTCTCCACACCAGCCTGATGATGGTGGTAAGGGCACGTTATGCATCTTTGGGGGAACCATGCCTTGACATTTGCTGTAGGTTGTTGTGGGTTTTGTTGATGAACGATCTCTTCATTGAAGCTTAGAAATTAGTCATGTGTTCCGGCAGTCCAAGTGATTTTCTGTGCAGTGTTACTCTCTGCGTGGTTTCTGTGGAAGTGTTTTAGGGATCGAAAGTCAAAACAAACTCTTCTTCATGACTTGAATGCTTGTTTTGCTGTGGCTGAGTTACCTACGCATTTCACTATGTAACTGTGTTAACATGTAGAGGTGGATGACAGTGAGACCGTCAGATCCCTTCTGGAGATGCTGCCAGCGCCTGGCGAGCTGAAGGAAGACTCATTCTGCATGCACGCTGAAGAGTTTGAGAAGGTCGGTGATGTTAATTCAGCTTCGTTGTATGAAGTCTGGGTATAATTTCAACAGCCCTTCAAAGATGCCTGCTCAAAGTAGAATTTTGATTCGGAGACTTCACCATGCTTCTTTTCGCACATTGCTCCTATTTGCAATTGTCCTTTGCTAACATGAAAAGAGATTCATCGAAATCCTTAGGAGTGAATTTTACTCACCACACTACCTTTTTACTCTGTGCCTACTTCTTCAAGGATGAGGACACAAACTTTCACATGGATTTTGTTGGTGCTCTGGGGAACCTGCGCGCACGCAATTACTCTATACAAGAAGTTGACAAACTCGAGGTACTGTTTCCATCACTGCACAGCATCATTTAGAATTACTTTTTAATTGTATCTGGTTCATCATTCTTTGGTATAGCTCTGGCAACTACCAGCACCAGCACCACCAGCACTAACAACAGCAGCAGCAGCAGCAGTACCAGCACTAGCAGGATATGCTAGCATTCATTGGAGTGGACTTCCTTTCCATTCAACGTACAGCATGACCGAATGCCTCATCATGTGCCATTTGTATCAGTTTCAAGTTATTAGCGTCACCCATCATGCCTGTCATAAACCTCTTTGACGTGTTCCTATGCGCTATGCGTATTTCTTGAACACTGCTGCCGTTCTAGTTGCTTCTTGCTTGACAGCCCCCAGTGATTTGTATATTCTTTGTGCATGAAGGTGTAGAGAGTTTAAAGTGAATGCCTGGATGGTCTGTGTCTAGCCCTAAGGATTTGAGTGATGTGTGCAGCCAATGTGGAAGTATTTCCTTCGCTGTTATGCCGTAACCTACAGGCGAAGCTGAAAGCTGGCAATATCATCCCGGCCATTGCCACCACCACAGCTATGGTGACAGGATTTGTGTGCTTGGAGCTGTGCAAGGTATGACTGTGCTGCATGCCGGTGTTGCGTGCACCATTCACTGATCAAAGCACATGTTATGTATGTTCTACATGAATGTAGCCTTAAATCCCAAGCATACACATGAAGAAGTGAGTGGATCATTTCAAGCACAATCCAGCAGGTGTAGATTTTCCTTGGTTAAAGCAGGTGATAGCGAAGGAATCAATGTGTTAGTCAACCCTCTGTCACTACCGCCGAAGTTAAATTCCGTGCCAAATTCATCGAATGTTTCTCATTCCTTTTGTGTGTGTTTCTGTGTGTCTGCCTGTCTGTCTGTCTACGTGTCTGTCTGTCTACCTGCCTGCCTGCCTGCCTGTCTTTCTGTCTGTCTGTCTGTCTGTCTGTCTGCCTGTCTGTCTGTCTGTCTGTCTGTCTGTCTGTCTGTCTGTCTGCCTGTCTGTGCATGTGTCCGTGCTATAGATTGTCAACAATGTACCAGTCACAAGCCACAGGTAGTTATTACAGGTTTACAATGTGTAAAATCGAGTTAGCAGTTTGCTAGTAAGTTGCTACCCAACTATCCAATGTCCCGGCACTAGGCAATTGCATATCTCGATAACATTACATCTGCCCTTCTTAAATTGCTTTGCAGCTGCTCCTCAAAGTCCCACTTATCCATTCAGAGCGGTGTTGTTTTAAAAGGAAAGCGACCACTAGCCGTCTAACAGTTACTCAGGGATTTTGTGTTGTTTATCGCTGGCAGAATACTGTAAAATATGTAATTTTAGGTAAATATGTAATTTTAGGTGCATTAACATTTCGGTGCCAGGGACCTGCCAGGTTTCAGGTGTAATGTAGAATTAGATGACCAGCTTTCCCTTCACATACAGTGAATACGCTAGTGAGTTTTAGGTGCAATTTAAATTTAGGTGCCTGTTTTCTCTACCGGTACCCACATCACCGAAATTAAGTCACGCCGAAAATAACATGTTTTACAATATACAGTAGAATGTTGATTCTCTATACGATCACTTATCCCCAAAAAGCGCCTCGTTGAGGGATCTTATAAGTAAGTTGTTAGGGCTTCAACTTATTACTGCCGTTTCCCCCCGAAAAGGATCATTTGGAAACACGGGGAATGCGAATGGGAACTGGCCGGGTAGAGGGAGTATGCTTGGACAAGCCCTGGGAGCGGGCAAACACCTGTCTTCATTCGCATTCCCCCATGTCCGACAGTTTCAAAATAGGCACTGCTGTAGTTTCTTCCATAGTGGCCACGGTGTACTTTTTGGTTTCGATATTTTTGGTCTGCACAGGAACTTGTTTGCCAATCTGGCTATTCCGTTTTTCACCATGTCTGAGCCGGAAGAAGCACCGCAGATCAGATCACGGGTGGAGATGGACCGCCCGGACAATGCCGTGCTGCACCATGAATGTGTGGTTAGTGGGGCTGAAACGATCACCTGAAGTTTGTTGTTGACGACGTGTTTGTTGGAGATCGAGTTATCAGCAATAGTGTATACATTATTTGAAGGTAGGCATGCTACTTTTCCTCTTCCGTGGGGAAATTTCCGAACACCATTTAGTCATGATCAGATTACAAGTGCTGGATCACTTGAAATTGCAGTGTTTCATTATTGATGTCATAAGTGGTCAGGAAGACGTATCCCACTTGAAATCCCAACATTTTAACAACCGGCAATGCCGTATGTTCTTCGATCAGCACCTTATGGCGCTGGTAATGAGTTTCAAGCACATCAGTACGCGGGGAAGTGACAAATAATCGGCATGATTGCATCGCTACCAGTAGTGAGTAAGGAGTAACGGAGTCCTGCTTGCACCACCCCATATAAGTCTTCATCTGAAATATCCCGTGCTCAAAGGGCTAGGTGTGGCTGCCAAACTCTGGTGTGGTAGGCCTAGCAATATTCTAAATTCAGACGAAGTCGGATTTGGTAGGCCTGGACATTTTCTAAATTCAGTCGTAGTCTTGTTTGATAGGCCTGGCAATCTTGTAAATTCAGTTAGTCTCCTTTGCATGTGTGCTGCATATGTGATGTTTTCTTACACAGCAGGAAACACAAGTCATTGCCTATCCAGAAGGCCACACCTTGTGGGACCATCTCTGTGTGAACAATGACCATGACTTCACCCTTCAGGAATTCATTGACCACTTTCACAGGTACGAGTGTGCTGTGCACTGTGTCATAAGCCGCTTCCCATGCACATCAGAGGTGTGTGCTGAGGCATCAGCAGTCGGAGCAATGTACCACGCTGTGGCTCTGCATCAGAGCTGGACCATGTACATGCATGCCGAATAAGACAAAGTATGTGTATGTAGCCTCATTGAATTTTTAAGAACATTTTAAAAATAGATCAAAAGGCTTACTTTGTAGTCCGTCAAATACAGTAAGTGAACTCCATGGATTTGACGTAGGTATTTGAATGCTGAGAGTAAAGTACACTCAGAGTGTAGTGAGGCACAATTTAAAATACTGGAATCCCTCAGGACAATCAGCAGAACTGGAGATAGGATTCCAGGACACTCAGGAATGCTTGACGGAGCTTTGTCCGGTTGATGTTCCTCTGGCTCTTACAATGTGTTCACAGCAAGGATGGCCTGACCGTCACTTTCGTGACCGTACTGTCCACGCACGTCATACTGTTCAGCACCATGCACCCGCACATGCAACAGCGGAGACAGGAACATATGACGCCGCTCATATCAACTGTTGGAAAGGTGCGTGTATCTATTATTGATTTTTTTTTGTTGTGGGGGGGGGGGGAGGGGGATGAGAGCGCTGGGAAAAGTTAGATTTGAATTCATATAGCAAGATTGTATGCTGTATGGAAGTGTAACTTGTACTGCAATACGGATTTCACTGTCAAGATTTTCAGTTAGTCAACTTTACTCCTCAGTCTTGCATTACACCCTGCTAAACTGAGCGATAATGGAGATTATACAATGTGAAAGAGTCAAGGTCAAAGCTAGATTCTAGAGATGTAACAGTGGTATTCCGCAACATTCATGCATACATTCATGCATACGTTCATTTTGATTTGTTCGAACATGGGAGTTGTTCTGTTTTCAATACGGGTCTGCAGCTGGATATCACCAACAGGAAAGAAGCTCTTCTAGCGGTAGCCTTCACACGTGGCGAGTCGAAGGCAATAGTCGATGAAAACCCACCAGTCAAGTACAATCTTTTTACTTGAGTTCTCTTATGCACATCAACAGCTCTTGGTGTATCCTCTTTCTCTGTGTGTCACGGTCTGTGTCTCTCGGTCCCCCATTTTTTAACTTTCCAAATCTAATCGCTGTAAAAAGTGTGTGACTCAGTTTGCATGGTGCAGTTACACTGCTCTACTCTGTGTAGATTTCACTGCAGTGTGTGTCATGTGACCCTGACCTGCCTTCATGCTGGTCGTCCTGGGGTTTGGGCATGGGTACAGACAGCTGGCTTTGTCATAAATAATAAATTATATTCTTGCAACCATGGACAATGGGCAGATTACACCTTTAACATAACTGATCCAACCACTTACACAGGTGCCGCTCTATTTTTCACAAGTATTAGTGGCATCACTGCCAGGACCATTATTTCCTTCCTGGCTTTTGCGGCCTTTGTGTGTTCCTTATGCACGTGATTTTTAATTGAAAACTGAATCTCCGTAGATATGATAATATAATTATTATAATAACTATGATAATTATTATCCACTGGTTTGACGGAAAGATGCGAACTTATTTCATAATTGGTAAAGAAAAGTGCTTCAAAGGTATACCTTTCTTATACACAATATTCGAACAGTAAGCTGTTTCGACCTTATTTGGTCTTGTCAGCGGAGCTCAGAGTCACTGGTTGAAACCGATGGCAACCAATGCCGCTAATGAACAAACAAAGCATTTTCAAAGTCAGAGTGCTAATCCGCAAGGAATTCTGACGGCCGGAGAGTCTTAGATGTGCTACCTCAGTGACTGTAGATGTGCTGCCTCAGTGACTGTAGATACTTGACAATGTGAAAAAACAGATCACTGCTATAACTTGTGCAGCTGATTGCTATCTGTTGGTTAATGTATACATGTATAAAAGGAAGGTCTGGACAGGATTCCGGGTCCAGTGAATCATCGGTAAGATAACAAAATATATTTTAAAAGCCGTAAGTTGAGATGGTGTAAAGTACCGCACGTATTACTGTAAAATGAACTGTTGTAAACCTGGACTTGGTGTGATGGTTAGTTTGTAGTGTTGCCGCTAACAGTAACTGTGTGATGGGTAGTTTGTAGTGTTGCCGCTAACAGCAACTGTTAGACAGAACTGTGCATAGCAGTGCTTGTGCTGTATGTGGCTGGATGCGATTGGCTCATCGTCTCTAAGCCGTAGATAGGCGCCGTCTTGAAATGCATGGCCACCGCCTGGAACACCGCCAAGCCAACGGCTAGGATACCACCAAGAACAATGAAGTAGAGGTGCACTTCACCTTGAGCATCGTCTAAGTATGTCAGGGATTCAAAGCGCTGCTGCATTATCCACAGAAGTACGACGCTACCGGCCGCCGATAAGCCCAGGAATGCGTAGCCAAAGCCTATGGATATTCCCTTCATGCCGGTTGGAGAGCGAGAATACGCGAACTCCATACCTGCCAACAAGACAAACGTGTAGCAGTACAGGCATGTACATGTACATACAATTTCACGGCTTGCACATGAGTTAATTGGATTGCCCCCCCCCCCCCACACACACACCCTGCAAGGATTAAAGTGCAGATGCAGCTCCTAAAGCATGGGGCGGCAGTGAGGTGATCAGACAAGTAAAGTGGCCATTGTCTGAAAATCCCATCGACTGCATTCGTGCTAGCCTCATGCCAGGTCACGACCTTTAAGTACCTACTTGCGGCATGGGAGAAAAATTCACGCATTCCGAACGGGACTTGAACTCGGTAGGTAGGCTTCTGAGTGGCTCATGGCCATAGACCATAACCCAATTCAATGCACGATGTCATGTACTTGTTGAACATGAAGCCTTCATTAAAATGCTAGCCGACTGGCTAGTACCGCTCAACACTTTATAAGTAGACTGACTGAACTGCTTGTAATGTGTAGTTTCCTACAGCACAACTATCCAATACATAAGCACTTCTAAGTGCGATACCCTCTGTATAACATTAAGCCCATATTATCACCTATGCAATTGCCAAGGGTAAAGCCGAGCAACAAAATAACGCTGTGAAGTAGCTATGGCACTATTACTTCATTACAACCTATCAGGCTTGAAACCTTACAAACCGCTAACTACGCACTACGCACTACGCAGAGATCGAGTGGCTGACTATCGTTCCTCTAATAATGAATGCTGTACCTGAAAGGAGGACGAACACTTCTGACAGTCCACAGAGTGTGTATTGTGGTATCTGCCAGAAGATGGAGACGCTGGAGATGGTGAGTGTCCGGTTGGGATTGTCAGGGTCTTCGATGACCGTAGAGTTCCACCTGCCCTCTTTTCTTCTCTCCACTTCCAGTATTGTAGCTGCTACAGTACCCAGCATTGCAATGAGTATGCCCACTGTGATGCGCTGCAGGTGACTCGGCGGCGTGCCACCGGAAAAGGAGCGCCAACATGGGTAGATGACATAGGTCACAAGGGGAATTCCCAGAAGAACGCCCAGGGTATCAAAGAGAGCAACAGCTGAAGCTGGCACGTAGAGAGATGCGCTCATCCGTGGCACGGTCATACGATTACCTTGTGAAATGAAAACAGCCAAATTCTGAACAAAAATAGCACACCAAACAAAGAGATAGAGCAGAAGGATGTCAACATCTCCATGACATGAGCAATATACTATGCGTGCATTCTAAATCAAGAACAAGCGCATACATTGTGTAGCGCCCTGCACCTGTACGTAGCCCAGTGCTTGCTGCAGGTCTGGGTTTGCAAAGCACCCGAACTGCTAGCTGATTCCCTACACTCAGATTCCACTGTGGAGTGTAGGTACCGACTGATTCCCCAATCTTGCTGCCCCTCCCTCTCTGTCACACACACACGCACACCTCACCTCACTTCAGACCTGCCCATCGCGGAAGCGATGATAACGAACAGCTATGTTAGACATAGCAACTTGTGCTGGGATTACACCATTCAACAGCTTGCAAGGCTGAAGAATTGACCGTCACTATTCAGCCTGGTCTACACCATACAGCTATTCGAAGTGACTTTTTCTGGCCAGTGAATCCCTATTTTTGGTCTTTTCACACGCACACACACACACAGAAGCAAGAAGTTGAAAGGCCCCGACAACACGCATGCAGATTTGAGAAGACTGGGGCATGACAGTGTTATAAAGCACTGTGCCAGTATCATTGTTCATAATGGATGGCTGAATCATGCATACCGCTTAGCCCCCTACCTGGTTGATGGTGACACCGACAATCACCATTGCAGCGAGCACAGCAACAGCGGAGAGAAAGTTGTGCACCCTTGCGACTGTGTTGTACTGAATACTTCCCCCATGGCTCTCCTCTGCATAGCGCACCCAATCGGCGAGGGATCCCTTTGAGTTCTTCCAGTACACTCTGCCCGTATATGGAGCCACGCTGCTACTTGCCGCCATTGATCTCCTGCCACCTCCGCCGCGACTAGCTGGCCTCCTCCAGATGACCTTCATCGCCTCTTTTGCAACACGCCACACGTCAGAGAGCGGATGAGCTCTGGAAGGTTTTTCCGTGCGCACGCCTCTACTCAAAGCTAGAACTAGGAAGCTGAAGAAGTAGAAGACGCTTGGCAGTACATGGCCGTATATTTGGTACGCAGCGCCTTGAGCCGTCACTATGCCAATGCCTGCACCGATGACCACACCAGCGCCTATCAGAAAGTAGTAGCGCGGAAAGAACGCCTTGGCCTTCTGTTCAGCCTCGCCAAGGAGGCTGTGCTGACTCACACCAAGAGGAACCTCCGTGCCACCTGCTCCAGCCACGCCGAGGCCAAACAACACCAGTCCAGGTGTTACTAGACGATCGAATAGAGAGTCTTGCACCACATTTACCTCTTCTCTCGCGCTCTGCATCGTGTTGTGGATTATTGCAGCCAATACTAGCAGCGACCCTGCAAACTGCATCAGTATGGAGATGAGCAACACTCGGTAGTGCCCTAACACCGTATCCGCCAATAGTCCAGAAAATACCGCGCCGACATACGACACCTTGGTACAGAGCAGCAGAAGGACTTTAGATGTTGTGGGGTTGCCTCCGGCGATGAATTCATGATACTCGGTGAACACAGCAAGGAGACTCACAAAGGCCACTCTCTCTAGGAACGTCGCAGCCAGCACTGTGTAGGACGGATGCCAGTTCAAACAACGTTGGCTACTCCTCTTCTTGGCGCTACTTGTTTGGTTTTCGCCGGCGGTCAGCGGTAACCTTTCGCTTTCACGAACACCACAACTCATTCTCTCTTGGATAGCGGCGCGAAGGAAATGAATGGATAGCCGCTTTTTCAAACTGGTACTTTTGCACTAAACTCTGAAGGCGAAGATACTTTCTCAGAGCGAGCTTCAACTGCTTGTTTCATGAACGTTTCATCCAGGACCATTAATTTTAGAACCCGATACTGAGATAGTGATGATAATCCAACCATGATGACAAGAATAGAGAATGGAATGTTGGAGCGCGATTTTGAGGTAAACAACACGTGCACACGACAATCCAGCCAACAGCTGGACAGGTACTTTTCAGTTATTTTCCCCAACCCTGTCATCAATCATGCCATTCATGGTCACCTAGCTATTTTTATTGTTTTCGAGCCAATGCAGTCCTTATTAGTCTTTGCACTCGACCATGATGACAGAACACAGCACGTCAGCTGACACAGAAAGTAACTATGGCTACTAGCACTCGTCAGTACAGTTGAGTCTTGCCTTGTTTTACACTAACATTTGCCACAACTGGCACAAGACTAGTAATAATAATAGTTAGCGTTGCAGAAAGGAAAGGAACATTATGGATACGAGTTTAGAGTACCGTACTCGCGCGATTAGTGCCCCTGGGGCATTATTTTTTCAATGTCCATTACAGATGGGGCACTATTCAAGAGAGGGCACTATTTTTTCATTGCTGGTGCATTTGCGTCATCCAGCCTAAAACAAAGAAAAACAGAGCCAAACGCTCACGACTCCACAGAAACGGGAACAAGAACTGCGATTTTGTTCCTGTAAACACCAGTGCAAAGCAACGACCAAGAACATTAGCAAAAGAGCACCAAACTTGCACATGGGCTTGGTTACAAGACCGGGGGGGGGGGGGGGGCACTATTCAAGAGAGGGCCGTTTTTTGTTTTTGTTTTTTTAAATTCTTCACTGGCTCTTGGAGACTAGGGCACTATTCGAGATAGGGCACTACTCAAGAGAGGGCTCTAATCGCGCGAGTACGGTAACTGTGCAACACTGTAACCACTATACAGCCAGAAAGTGCAACAACTGGGCACAAAACTGACAGAGTACTAGTAATGAGGCATTCGACACCTAGCTCCAACACACCTCTGTAGCGTAACGGCGAACTTCTTCAAATTGTAGTTAGACTGCTTTAAGAGTATTCATGTAGTGCATTCAAAGCAGAGTGACGCTATGTATAATTGTATAGGGCAGAAAAAGAAGCAGAATAATATCGAAGAAAAAAATGGGAAGAATTACTTGTGATATTTGATTGCTTGGCATAAACTTTGCAGTCACTCCGCTACCTCACAGCGATGCTTCTCAACCTTATTTTTACATTCAAGGAAATCACAATGTACTGTAGTAGAATAATTACTGTTACATAGTAAAATATTATTTTACTAACTACTTCGAAGTAGGCGAGTATTGAGTTTGAAAATATTGTTGGCCGAATGGATTCAGTGATGCGCAGTGTTCTAAAGCAGTGTTATGCATTACTGTAAAAGCCATATACATGTATATACATATTTATATATATATAACAAAGTGCTAACTCTAACGAGTTAACGAAGAGAAATCTGTCGTTAAAATAGAAATCGTTATACAGAAATCGATACATATACTGTCCCATTGAGCGTTCAGAATGAGTGACAATCGTTACCTTTGGTACACGTTAACTAGTCAATTTTGGGAAATCGTTATGTATGCGCCTCGTTAGAAGAATGGCTTTTACAGTACTCCCATTAGTAAGTATGTCATGCCAGGGAGTCGTATAATACCGGTATTTTACGACTATTTTTTGTTATGCTGCAAAACTCCGCACCGCCGCACTATACGTTGCATTGTAGGACTTTTTTTCGGTGGAAGTTGAAGCATAGATGGGTGCTGTCTTGAAGCGGCTGGCGGCCACTTGGAAGATTGCCAAACCGACCACCATAATACAGCCGAGGGCAATGAAATAGAAATGTACCTTTCCTTGGGTGCCATTCACGTAGAACAATGTTTTATCGTGCGCCTGAATCAGCTGCAGCACGCCGACATTGACAATGGATGTCAGGCCTGCCAAGCCATACACGAGACCAACCGATATCCCCTTCATACCAGTCGGTGACCGCGAATACGCAAACTCCAGAGCTGTCACAAACACATGAGAAACAACAGGCACCCATTTTGGCGGATAACCTCATTGGTCAGCTGCTGCACGGCGTGAAGTGCCATTAGTGATACAGTACTTGCATGTGGATTGCCGTGGTGGCCATGGAGCTTCACGGACTTTGAACTGCATAGCCAGTCCATCACATTTAACACAGCCCAACCATGTCTGCCGAGCAGACAAATTCCTTTCCAGCCGCCTGCTACATTAAAAAAGCGTCCGGCCTCAGGCGGTCCGATGAACTTGAGACTGACAGTGCTAGACTTTCCCCAGTCCAGCTCATTGATCTACTGAAGTATGTGTGTATATGCCTTCACAGACCACACAGTTAGGTTGATGGGGTTTTCTAATTTTTTTTAAAGATTTGAATTTGCATCATGTGTGGATGCTAGCTGTCCAAGGTACATGGCTCTATCTGCTGATTGGCACGAAACTGAAGTGTGGCCAGGCATCTGTCGCCAACTTTCCTATGTACCTGAAGTAACTAGTTATAGGACGTTATTTGCCAAACCTTATAATGCATTACTGCAAGGAGTATTTTTGGCGCACACAGTGAGCATGAAAGAAATTACCTTGCTCGCGTATTTCCCCGATTATAAGTCGCAGTCAATTATAAGTTGCACCCCCATTTTTCAGGTTTCAGCAATATTGTTTCGATATGATCACTTCAGTAGTAAGTCATGCTCGATTGTAAGTCGCACCCCCTTTCTCACCCTTGAATTTTTGTATAAAAAGGTGCGACTTATATTAGGGGAAATATGGTAGTCAATTGAGCGTATAACGTTGCTTGCTTAGCCTATGCGCTTTGCATCCCCACTAGTGTGTTCACCTCTCTGACCAATTCTTTCTTTCTGTAACATGCACAAGCAGTAACGCCTCAGATTCTCTATCATCATTATTCCTATCATGGCTGGTTCTAACTGGAACAGTATTTCTATGCTATGAGATAAAGTCATATGAAAACATAGGACGTACACACGCCTACCTGAGATAATAATGAAGACTTCGGAGATTCCCGACAAGGTGTACTGCGGTATCTGGTAGGATATGGAGACACTGGACACAGTCAAGATGGTACTGGGGTTGCCGGGATTGTCATGGTCTACCACTACTGTAGAGTTCCACCTGCCCTCGCTTCTCCTCTCCACTTCGAGAACAGCAGCGGCCGCAATTGCCAGAATGGCGATCACCATGCCCACCGTGATGCGCTTCAGGTGACTCGGTGGGGTGCCACCGGAGAAGCGCTGCCAGCACGGGTAGACGATGAAGACGACGAGGGGAATTCCCAGGAGGACTCCCACGTTGTTGAAGCTGGCGAAGAACGAAGCAGGGATGTAGAAGGAGCTGCGGCTTTCAGAGTCCCTTGGAATGGGCAGGGACATAACGTTTCCTTGGGAGACAAAGGATGTGTAGGTCTGAACAGCATTCAGTAAAAAGAAGACAAATAGACAAGCACAAACTGGATATCTTGACCAAAATTCTTCGCATGCAAAGACGCAAGTCCACACAATCAAGAAAAAAATGAAAACGAAAGAAAAAGTTTGATAGGTGAAAGAAAATGTCTTCTCGATTGTGTGAACTGGCGTATTTGCATGCGAAGTCACTGAATAGATTACAAAATTGAACATGTCAGTGCTTGCTTTGGTATGCTGCTGCTTCACAGTAAAGTGCAGTGTACTGTAGTTTGGCACCAAAGACCCCCCCCCCCCCCAACAAGTAGACAACAGCATAGGGATGGCCCAGTGAATTGCACTGCTAAAATAACAAGCGTGTTCTCAAGTATTAGATGTCGCGACGCAGAGTACTCCCCCCCCCCCCACACACACACACCTCCTGCCTCTCTATGCTAGGTGGATCAGACTTCTTTAGCCCTGACTATAGTAGTTTACATCAAGTGATGCATGGAATAGAAAGGCACTGATGACGTAACACTGAGCTGCTTCATCAACTGTTAAGGCCTTATCACTTTGAGAAGAGCAGATGGTATTGAAAGCGCCACTGTACAATGCATGGTTCCACTTATTAACACGCGCGCGCTTGTTTTCCCAATGCATATAGCCCTTCGTAGGCACTGCTGTGTACTAGACAACTGTGCACTGCTGGTTTCCTTGCTACTGTACTTGTCTCACGACTCACCTGTGCTATAGTTACTTCACAAAACACCATAGCTGCCAGGATGGCAATAACAGAGAGAAAGTTGTGCACTCTGGCGACCGTGTTGTACAGAATGCACCCGCCATGGCTCTCCTCGGCGTAGCGTACCCAGTTGGCAAGTGATCCCTTTGTGTTCTTCCAGTACTGCCGGTTGGCGGCGTGAGCAACGCTGCCTAGTGTCACTCTTCCTCTCCGGCGCCATCGGACTCGAACAGCTTCCTTCATTGTTCGCCACGTGTCGGTGAATGGATGAGCACGGGAAGGTGTCTCCGTCAGTATGCCTCGATTGAGCACGAGGAAAGTCACAATGCTGAGAAAGAAGAACACTGGCGGTAGCACATACCCGTATACGTGTAGGTTGTGCTTGGCCTGCACTTGGACGGTTCCAATGACGGACACGCCCAGCACTGCGCCAACGTTCTGGAACCAGTAGTAGCGCGGGAAGAACGACTTTGCCTTCTGCTCGGTCTCGCCTCGCAGGGCGTGCTGGCTGACGCCTAGCGGAATCTCGGTGCCACTACACCCCGCTACACCGAGCCCGAACAGGACTAATCCAGATGTCACCAGGCCTTCAAAAGACCCTTGGTGCACGTCATCGCGCTGCGATTCAAACTCCTCCACAGTGGCCGCCAGCAGAAGCAGCGAACCGACAAACTGCAGTACCAGCGAGGCCAGTAGCACACGGTAGTGTCCAAACAGTGTGTCCGCCAGTAAGCCCGAGAAAACAGCTCCCATGAATGACAGCTTGGTGCACAGTAGTGCTGCAATGGTGGTGTCCGCGGTGCTCCATTCAAGAAAGCTATGGTATTCCAGGTACTGGACGAGATTGATAATTATGCCAGCTCTGCCGATTCGCTCCAGCAGGGCAACGGCCAAGATCGTGTAAGATGGGTGCCACGCTCCGCCACGACTACGATTGCTGGTCCCCTCTTCGTTCGTAGATCTACTCGTTATCGCTGTGAATCGGCCGGCTCGACCCGTCAAGGGCTGTGTCTCACGGATCTCGACACTCATCGTTACAGGACGATGGAGAGCCTAATGTCTCGGTTGAATGCCGACTTCTGACTCCGACTAACGCGTGACTTCGAATTTCTCCAAATACTACACACAGTACACTAAAGTCAACTCCCAACTTCCTTTTATTCCTGCGCGTCGACTCGTGTCTCTGCGGGTTTCTGTCCGCTCTTGTCTAAACCACTGATCAACAAACAGACAAAGCCGAGACGTGTAGTTCGTTTGGACACGTCCGATGAACGAAGATCGCTGATGGAGCCTGACGAAATGATGGAATGCTTCAAAGTTCTTTCATAGTGCTGGTTGCTAGGAGCGTAGACCTACCTTGTACTGTCGAGTCACGGGGTAGCACGTAACGTTGTTGCCTGAAGACGGCACACAATACAGTATCACAGGGCCACAGGTTCTTTGGTGGAAATCACTGCCGAACCGCGCTGAGTTCGTCATTCATCCGCCCGAATCTCTCAAGGGGGTTCGTACCAGTTTGGAACCGTAGGACTATTTCCACACTCCGTAAAGCCAATGGAATTATTTCTCGCTTCAGCACAGCACCCCTGGACGTTCTACCTTTCTACTCCGGTAAATCAACATGCTCGGGAAAGTCTTACAGTGCCCTGTAGCAAAGTTAGTGCCGAGGGCAGGCAACAAAATGTTTCAGCAGCAAACATCCATTCATTCGCGGTCCCACCCTGAAGTCTGAAGGCAGGACTGCCGGAGCATCTTGATCTACTACTACACTGTACTACTACTACGGTACTCTGCGGCTGTGTGAGGGAAGCGGTTTTCGTTGATCACCCGCATGCTGGCCACTGGCATGTTGTAACCAGGGAGTCATGAAAAGCCTGCAGCTAGCCTGGGCTCTCACGAGTCACGACTCTCTGGTTACATGATGTAGCACCTTGGACTCGTGACCATGGTGACTGCCTACATCAGCACAAGTAACAGTTAGTTAGTTATAGGGTAGCGGGGAAATATCCAGTCCCCCTTTCGTACCGAGGGTAGCCTACAATACTAGTCCGTACGTATTATGTGCATCCACAGTCAATACTATGTTCGGTCCGTGCGGCAAATAAACCCAACCAACCTACTGAGTCAGTCAGTCAGTCAGTGGGCGGGATTAGATAGACGATTGTAACCAGGACAAGCTGCAAAGTGCAAGCCATACACGTCATTGTTACAGGATCCGAACAACCATGATGAACGGGAGGCTCGAAATGGAGAAAAACCCCAGCTCTCATCATTTCTAATCTAGGTTTTAGTGCACATTGTGCTGGGTTCAATGTTACAGCTACGGTGAGCAAGTAACTGCCTTTTTCCAAGCAAGTTCTAAGCTTCGATGCATTAATACTTCAAGTATCAACTGTTCTGCTTTCCCACAGTTGCCAACTAATACTTGTAACTGTTTTAAAAGGCAGGATCAGGATCATGAAGAGTTCCGAGGGAAGAAATACAGTACCAACAAAATCACTTGGCGAAGCATGTTTGGATCGGCACCTGCATATCCATGGTTGAGTGATGGTTATCCAGGGTTGGGTGATGGTTATCCAGGGTTGGGTGATGGTTATCCAGGGTTGGGTGATGGTTATCCATGGTTGAGTGATGGTTATCCAGGGTGGCAGGGCTGAAATGAACCTCAAGCACATGTACTGCCAATTGTGTACAGGAGACAGTTGGTTGTAATTTCAATGAAAATCCAATATGAATTGTATTTTAAATAACAGAATGATGTTGAATGGCAGAAGAAGAGTCGTTGCTATAAATTCTGGCATGCTGTACCTGGTATGCTGTACCTGGTATGCTGTACCTGGCATGCTGTTACCCTGTCATGAGTACATGTTGTATGTGTTGAAGAGTAGAATTGTAAAGCACTGCATTGTATTGTAGCAACAGGAATAGGATCATTGCTACTAATTGCGTGTAAGAATGCTGAGTCTGCCGCTTTACGACAGAAATTGTTCGGGCAAGAGAAGAGAGAAGCAATCTTTAGGAGTAGTCAATGAACCTAGAAATAAGTACTTCAAGTAAATAAACAATTAGCACAATTCTTCACTGATTTGAGGGAAAGACACAATTCTATTATTCCATATGGATTTCAAACTGGCTGCTCGAGCAGAGCTGCTGTGCACCTTTCTCAAGTACCTGCATTTGCGTAGCAGGTGGACATGGCATGTAGACAGTGAGCCCAACATAGCTAACACCAGGTGAATCCTTGAAGCAGGGGATTAATTCGAGTAGGAACCAGAATGCCCACCAGCCACATGAGGTGACATGATCGATTTGCAACACCTAGCTCCTTATAAGCTACTATATAACTTACTGTTGTACTCTGCATCGAATAGAGTACGTCCCAGTTGTTTGAAGGTGACAATATAATTATCACAAATAAATCACACTGAAGCTACGAGAATAGAAGCACATGGCAAATACTTGAAGATACGTAAATCGGTCCAATGCATACTTCTCTGTAGCATGCCTGAGATTGCTATGCTGAATAACTGTTTATTGCGCTGCCATACGAAGTTTGATGCCGGGCACTGCTTTCAAAAGGCTCGGAGAAGATGGGCACTGGCTTGACATGTCTGCCAATAATGTGAAACATGACCAGGCCAAGTACCATGATGCAGGCAAGCGTTAGGAAGAAGTAGTGCACCTCCCCTTGTTGATTGCTCCTGTAGAAGATGGTATCATCGAATTTTTGAATCAGCAACAAAGTACCTACACTCACAACGGATGAGAGTCCAGTAGATGCGTACACTAGTCCCACGGCGATGCCCTTCATTCGTGTAGGTGCACGCGAGTAGGCAAATTCCAAAGCTGGGGACAATGCAGGCAAAAGAACAAAACAGGACATTACAAATGAAGACCTGACATACAAGTTACTTGGAAATATTGAAAACGGTGGAGCACAAATTATGCGTTAGAGTCCACCAACTAAACCAGATTTTGAACAGTCAGACGTGCGCAAGGTGGCACCAGACTGACAAGGAGTGCTGAGACATTCCACAGCAAGGAAGTAAGCTTGAGCACTGCTCGATTGCGCTAACCAGCAGCATTCCGAAAAGGAAGGATCTTGGGTACTGTATTAGTGATAATTCTGAAGAGGGGAAGATAAGCGCCATCAAGCCAAACTCAAGCTACGTTCCCAGACACAATGGAATGCTGGCTTGGTACGATAACGGGACGGTAAGATCATCGGACAACACGGTCTAGCCACAATTCGACAACGCAAGGCAACAACCACCCAACTTGAGAGGCTCAATTTTATCGTACCAAGCCAACATTCCAGTGTGCCTGGGAATGTAGCTTGTGTTTGGCTTGATGGCGCTTACCTTCCCCTCTTTGGAATTATCACTAATATCCATGACCCTTCCAAGTTGGAAGGCCGTTGGCTAGCGCTATCGAGCAGTGCTCAAGTTCACTTCCTTGCCGTGGAATGTCTCAGTACTCCTTGTCAGTCTGGTGCCACCTTGTGCACGTCTGACTGTTCAAAATCTGGTTTAGGTGGTGGACTCTAACCCATAACTTGTGCCCCACCGTTTTCAATGTTTTCAATTTATTTTCCCTGGCTCACCATACGAGTACCTACTTAAATGTAATTATAAAACCCGATAAACGCCAAATTTGAGAAAATCCGATTTCAGCTCGGTGTTATCAAAAGGTCAAGGGCACCAGCAGGCAATTTTTCACATTCTAAATCTGATTACAGCCATTTCAAAACTGGAACCCAAATATGGATTTAGATACAAACTGCATCTAAAATGAATCCTTTTTCTGGCCATTTAATATTCGAAAAAGTGATGAAATGGGTTTAGCGGGTTTCGCATTCCAGCTCTTCAAATGCACTAGAGGACAGTCCTTCTCGCCTATTTCCTTGCCTGCTGCTAAAACTAGATATGGCATGTTCTCTGTTTCTTTCCTTGGCGCTGATCGGTGGAATTTTCTGCCTATGTTGTGTCGCCAAGCTGATCAACCATCCGCTTTCATTTCGCTCTGCAAAGAGCACTTAGGGTTCCCTGTAAAAAGACGGCAACGTCTGTAGGGATTTCCCTAACAAAATAAATACTACTACTACTACTACTACTACAAATGGGGTTTTCTCCCGGTGACTCCTCGGCTTATTGAAGTGTTCCCAGTAGAAGTCATGGCAGGAGCATTCATTTGTCGAAATGTTCAATTTTTGAGCACATTTTTCTCTTCTAGTAAGAGGATCTGGCAGATGTCACCGACTTCTTTCCAGGAACTCTCAGTACTCCATGCAGAGTAAAATTAATACTTTGATAGTTTGGACTCGGATGGAGAGGCAAGGATAAATTTAATTTATAGTAAAGAAAAAGGACCAAGAAACTACACGTTACGCTATACTGTTCACTAACACCACCAGTTACTAAACAATCAGCTCATGCGATAACATTGCACGACACTGACCGACGGTACTGCCGTTCTACAACTAACTGGCTAACAGCTCTAGCACATCTTGGATGCGCACTCCAACAGCCTTCCAACTTGGAAGGTTCTAAGTTATAGAAATAACATGAGGAGGGGAAGGTGAGCATGAGCATGAGCTGATTGTTCAGTAACTGGTGGTGTTAGTGGACATTATAGCGTAACTTGTAGTTTCTTGGTCCTTTTTCTTTACTTTGATAGTTTGAAAATATTTTTGCTTCACGGCAGGCAGGAACAATTAACCATGTTGTAATGTCATCGATTGATCCACTGATTCAGGAATGGTCAAGCATGCATTGCTGGGAAAGTACGTTAAAAATATGCAATGCATTGAAGGACAGCAGCAGAACAAATCACCATCAATAACATCAAACTGTGATTTGTTACACTGCACAGAGCCAAGCTGTTGACCTTTGAGATCTTTTTACAGCTATAAATGCACCAAAAACTGACTGCCCTTCACTGATCATGCATCATTGCAAGAAATAGTAAATGTACTAACACATTGATTGCAATAATACTAAGGAGAAAAACACACTTCAGGCTCTTTGTCAACATTTTAAGAGTTTTCACGAGTATACTTTCATAATTGCATTCTTGTCTCTGAGCAAACATTGATTACTAAGGCATTTTACATTTTTGAAAGGCAACCTTCGCTGCAAAGTAACTAGTGTACTTCGGTCTTGGTTTGCATGGCTATCTCAGGGGCATAGGAGAGGTTTTGGCAGTGGTACGACCAAAGGTCGGCGCGACCGAAGGCCGTGGTGGAGGGGGTCCGGGGAATATCCCCCGGGAAAAATTTGTAAAAAAGACACAAAATCCTGCGTTCTGGGAACTTCTGGCACACTTCTGGCTCAGTGTGCAGTCGAGTCGAGTACAGTACTCAGTACGACTGCAGATGCATGGCAGATCTACGAGTACGAGTCTAGAAAAAGGTCAAAGTCTGATGCGCATATACGCATCGATGGATCCTGATTTTTTTATTACGGTTTTGCACGTTTCGGACGGACCACACTTTTCGAAAAGTGGTACGGCTATGGTCGTACCAGTCGTAGCGGGTGCTACGTCCCGACATCTATACGTAGTTATAAAACAGTAGTAATGCTACTACATGCACATGTAGTAGTCTACTAGCACCTTTCCGGAGCGGACAGGACTCGGCATACAGGAGCAATTCAAGCAAGATATTCCTGAACTTACCAGATACGATGATAAAGACCTCGGAAATTCCTGACAACGAGTACTGCGGGATCTGGTAGAAAATGGAGAGGCTGGAAACAGTCAGGGTGATGCTGGGATCCGTGTGGTCTGCCACCGTCACAGAGTTCCACCTTCCATTTTGTCGCCTCATAACTTCCAGTACCGTGGCGGCTACAATAGCCAGAATGGCGATCACCATCCCGGCAGTGATGCGTTTCAGATGACTTGGTGGAGCACCCTGGGAAAACGACTGCCAGCGTGGGTAGATGACGTAGATCACAAGGGGAATACCCAACAGGATGCCGATGTTATTGAAGACGTTGAAGAATGAAGCTGGGATGTAGAAGGAAGTGCGGTTCATCGACACCCTTGGAATTGGCAATGTCATGAGATTGCCCTGGGACACGAATGATGTTAATGTCTGCACCAGAAGCAACACAGTCATGAACAAATACATGTACATGTACATGTACACAATAAAAACCAGTGCTATCAGCTCAATACGAATACACACCAGTTTATCTGAGAAATCAGGGTTATCTCAGAGAGAAGTGGTGAGCACTGTCACACATGCTCTTTCCCTGGACACTGTAAAAGTCACAACTCATTTCACATAATCATTTTTTTTCTCGATATTTCGGCAAATTGCCATCATTAGGTTACAATATGAAGTGGAAGTATGCAAAGGAGCAGTTATATACAACACAATAATTTGGTGCTATTTTAGTGAGGTGTTGCTAATATTTCCACGACTACATAATTATGTTACCTCTGTGCTAGGAATATGCCTATCAGGGTTATATCATTTTACCTCTAAATAATTTAATGAAGAGCCTGTCCACATGGCTAGACAAGGGGGACAGTCTGTCTCTTGCAAAGTAAAATCGGATCAAACAAACAGCAGCCCTTCATTTCGCATTATGGCATGCAGAAGGATCAATGGTGACAACCCTCAAATGTGGAAGCAAGTTGATTGGTCTGATCTGGAAGATGACCAATCAGGTCAGAATTCTGGTGATTGATTGGTCTGATGTGGAACAGGATTGGTCAAGAATACAGGTATTTGATTGGTCTGCATTAGGTCTTTGAACATTCTGAGCCCGTAGCTGGTGCAGCCGGAGCAAGTGTCAAAATCACTGAAAACCACAGCGAAGTGATCATTGTCCTATTTCTAGCATTGTTCTGTTTCATCGGGAACCGGAACTGCAGTTCTGTTCCAGTGAATCTGATCCAGAATCCCGATTGACAAATAAAACATCCTCTGAGACTGATGCCAGTACAGGGGCTAAAGCCGACAATACTGCATGCAGTGAAGACGGCTTAAAAATCACATTCAGGGTGTTTCATGATACCGCTGTATAGTCTTATTATTTTCATACATGTATGAGTAATTTAGCAAACTTCACTTTATCAACTCCAAAAACGGTCTCTTCACTGCGATTAAAATTAAAATTAAGATTAAAATTACACCAAATTTTCGGGCCTGGCCCGTCATCAGAGTAATGAAAGTGGAGTTTGCTTAATGTGTAGTGGCTGCGTTGGAGTTTGCGGACAATTAGAAAAATGTATGAGTTACCTGAGTCAAGGTGATCTGACAGAAGACCATGATGGATAGTACAGCTACTACCGAGAGGAAGTTGTGTGCCTTGGCCACCGTGTTGTACTTCATGCCGCCACCGCACGTCTCTTCAGCATGTCTCACCCAGTTGGCAAGGGACCCGCCAGAGTCCTTCCAATACTTTCTGTTTGGCTTCTGATTCTCCCGGATCAGCTTGGCTGTCTCGACCTTGTCCTGGATCCACCGTACTCGGATAGCTTCCTTAGCGACACTCCATATGTCCGAAAAAGGGTTTGCCCGTGACGGCTTCTCTGTAAGTATCGCTTTGTTCATGGCTAGCAGAACTGCAATACTAAGAAGGTAGAACACTGGAGGTAGAATGTAGCCATACAGATGGTATCGTACCTGCACTTGTAGAACTCCACACAATGTGCCGAAGAACGAACCGACGTTGATGCACCAGTAGTAGCGCGGAAAGAAAACCTTGGCCTTCTGTTCGCCTTCTTTTTTGAGATCGTGCTGGCTGACGCCCAGAGGGATCTCGGTTCCCGCCGATCCTGCAAGACCTAGACCAAACATGACAAGACCGGACGTTACCAAACCCTGGAAGAGCTCACGGTGTTCATCGTCACTTTTCACTTCAAATTCATCAAGTGTGGCTGTCAATAGCAGCAGTGAACCAGCAAACTGTAGCAGGAGTGATGCCAACAACACTCTAAAATGCCCAAAAAGCGTATCAGCCAAAAGTCCTGTAATAACGGCACCCAGCATGGTAAACTTCGTGCAGAGCAAGGCGGCAATTGTGGCACTGGCGGAGCTCCATCCCAAGAAGCCGTGAAATTTCAGATACTGCACCAAATTCACCGCAAGTCCGACCTTGCCGACTCTTTCCAACAAAGATACCAGCAAAATAATGTAGGACGAGTGCCATTTAGAGCACAGTCGGGCACTCCCCGTTGTTGATGTTCTTTGGCTTTGCCTTGCACTTGCAGTTGCAGCAACAAAGATCAGCGACTGCCTCTCATCACCTTCGTTATTCATTGCTGCATGCACTGAGAAGCGACTCCCTGGCCGCGCGTAGATTCTGCGCCCTGCGACTTCGAGCAGCTAGCGGAGACGAGAATTTCCGACCCACGTTACCCGCTGTTCTCCGGTGAAAACGCTGGCGACATAGTTCACATTACAACGCTGAGTTAGATCTGCTGCATTACCATGATTACATTACAATGTACTTCTAATGAACCTACACCATAATTCTAAGAAAATGTTGCAGTAGGCTACTGCCTACTGGCAGTACTGGCAGTCTGCACTCATCATGATCATGAACATGAAGCTCAACCGTCATAACCAAAATTTCAGACGCAACAGAAAATGTTACCCCTGAGGCCAGGGAGCTTGTTGTGATCATGAGGCAGCGACGCTCCAATATTTCATAGACAACGACTACGTACGTGGGGTCATCATCATGATCTTGGTCATGCCTCATTCATTGTCTTGGCGCAGGCTGGGACATGAGTCATGAAGTCCTGGAAATCGTCCAGCACCGCTTGGGTAGACCAGGTAGACCTACAAGTACAAGTACAACCCAAGACTTGGTCTCTTGAGTCTTGTCTCGCGTACTTTGAACTGCAGTGCTGTTGGTATGTCATGTTGTTATGTCAAAAGAGTTGATGTAGACATGATGTAGATCTACTACAATGTTGTTATGACATTGCATATTGACATTAGTCAGTCATGAATGCAGCGACAGAAACGGATTCTACTAGAGCTCCATGTATGCTAGATTTGGCGGGTTATGGGGGCTTCCCCGCTTCAAATACCTGTATGCATAATGTTTCTACAATCATGCACAATCATGTAGATCTACATAGCGCCGCGTTTCCCAAAACTGATCCGAGACCGAGGGCCGCAAGGGCAGCATGAGCCTTGGCGCTGCTTTCCGCACATGGGTTGAGTTATTTCTTTGGCCACAACTGCACAACGGCAACGAGAGATCCGAAGATCACTGCATGACTGTACTGAACATCTACATTGGAGCAGTAGTTTCGGCAGGCTTCTCCTGTGCGAAGTTTCTTTGGTATCGAAAATAATGAAAATGAATGATTCCGGACATGTACCGTGCACTGAGCTGCATGAGTGACTTCCACTAACTTCAAGGTCGGCAGTGAATGGGCAGTGAAGTAACGTTAGTTGCTCGGTCTCCTTCGGAACACTTCTAATTCCAGTCTTCGCTACCTTGTAGTCCGCAAGTTCTTTCGGTCTGAGCCACATTTTAAATTATTATTAGTTCACTTCTTCCCAGTACGAGTACAAAGTGGAACATTTCTCTTGTACATATGGCCGACAAGCGGTAGCAATCACATTTCACAAGAGAATGCGATCAGTTCAATGTTGTCTATTCTGAGTATTATAAAGGCTCCATTCAACGATGTATGACGACGAGAGACAACCATTGACGGGTCGGAGTGCGAGAAGGACCGCAGCTGGAAGAGGTCGCCTGTGGCATCCCTCATACGTGATGCTGTTTGTGACGCTGCTGGAGAGAGCCGGAAACGTTGGACTGGCCGTAAATTTAGTGCAGTATCTGGAGTTTCATGGCTTCTTGGGATGGAGCTCTACGAGTGCCACAATTGCTGCACTGGCTTGCACGCGACTTACCATGCTGGGTGCGGTATTTTCAGGATTACTGGCTGATACATTGTTTGGTCACTTTAGAGTGCTATTGGTATCGCTTCTACTGCAATTTACTGCTTCCTTACTGCTACTTGCAGCCATGGTGGAGGAGTTTGAGGTTCCGCGCGATGATGTACACCGTGACCTGTTCCAGGGCCTGGTGACGACTGGCTTGATTTTGTTCGGTCTTGGGGTGGCTGGAACTGCCGGAACTCAGATCCCTCTCGGCGTTAGTCAGCATTCCCTGAGGAAAGAAAGTGAACAAAAAGCCAAGGTCTATTTTCCCCGCTGTTACTGGTGCATCAACTTGGGTTCGACGCTCGGAGTGTTTTGCGGAATGCTACAGGTGCAGGTGAAATACCATGTGTACGGCTACATTCTTCCACCTGTGCTCATCTTCCTAAGCATCCTAGTCCTGCTGCTGCTCAACAAGAAAATTCTTGCCGAGGAGCCATCGCGAGCTAATCCGTTTGCCGACATATGGCAAGTGACGAAGGAAGCAGTAAGAAGTCGATGGAGACACCGGAAAACGGGTATGGTCATTATCAGCCTGGAGACTGATCCAAACAGTAAGAAGTATTGGAAGGACACCGATGGATCTCTGGCACATTGGGTGAGACATGCCGAGGAGACCAGAGGAGGGTCTATGGCCTACAATACAGTGGCCAAGGCACACAACTTTCTCTCCGTGCTGGCCGTGTTGTCTGTGCTGATGTTTAGCCAGATCACAGTTTCACAGGTATGTCACGTTGCCTGTGGTTCCCAGTATTTATTTCCGGGGTTGTCCAGTGGCCAATGATATGCAAAGCAGGGCAATGCACCAAACATAGTGTCAGATTCGCCACCTCTGACCGGGCCGACATAACCCATATGTAATTGGAAGTCTGCAGCTAGCCGAGTCAAGCATTGCGCAGCCCATTATTTTTAAATAACTTTCTCAAACCCAAGCTGTGTATCATACTCCAAAATATGCCATAAATGGCCAGATATCGGTAAAAACTAAAAAAAAGGCGTTTCTTGTACTCTATCAAATATGGTTTGCTAACTACGGTACTGTCGGGCGCTGAAGAACGGCCAGGCTAGAAACTTACCAAGCACGGCCTACCAGAGTATACACCAGGGAGTAGTAAAATACAGGGAGGTGACACGCCACTAATCGTGATTTTTGATGGGTGCCTCGCGCTTGTTTTTTTTCTTTCGCAAAAAAGATGATCTGCTGAATCAATCTCGAGTATTTGTCGAAGAACTAATTCCGTGAAAAGGTCTATCCATCTCATGGAACAGCATTTGTTTTGCTCTTGTGATACATCTGTGTCATCGTCATATGGAAAGGTACCACCCTTCCGAAATTTGTCCCGATCGACGGCATGGAGCAATAGAACGAAGGTGATTTCCTTGAGAACAATACGTGTACGATTGGAGATGAAAACGAGTGCACCGATTTCGAAGTCGAAAAAATCTCTAGGACACCACACGATCGGCACTAATTTCTCCTCAGTTGTGATCAACCAGTACTTCTCTACCTTCTTTGTGATGATGAGCATTTCATATTATGGTATGCTAGAGATTCGGGAGTTCACTTTTCGGAATGAAATGTTCCTAAGTTTGTCAAGGATTGAAATGCGGGCTACGTCGTCGTAAACAGCTTGTATCGACACAGGAAAAATCTACGGCACGCAGGGATATCTCCCAAAGTGATACCACTCTTGCTGGACTTCTATCCTGACATAGTGGTAGTTTGGTCGACTACCAAACTTTGTGAAGGCAGACAATTGTGGGAAATTCTCAGCGCTGAGTTTCTACGGGCTGCAGTAGGAGTCTCTTTGGCGGTAGGTATTTTACTACTCCCTGATCAAGAGAATCCTGATCCGCGCGCGTGTCTACACACTTCGGTACCCATAGTACCCCAATCTCACCCGCCGGGTGAAAACGGTGCTGAGGCAATCGTCAAACCGGCCGTACATGCTCGTGTCACCTCCCTGTATTTTACTACTCCCTGGTATACACAGTGACTGAACTGCGAGTAGACTGTAATACATGAAAGTAAGAACGGTCTAGGCTAGGAGGCTGACACCCCCCCCCCTCCCCCCGTTCTTCGGCGACTGACAGTACTGTACACCATGAGGAGTCAATATTAAAGTACAAACTGGCCACAAGAATCCGTAGAAACTGGCCACAAGAATCCGTAGAAACTGGCCACAAGAATCCATGAACAAAATCCAAGGTTAGAACTCTCTTGTTCCAACCAATGAAATAGCGTTTCCCCTTCCGAAGTGTTGCTAGAAGGTACTTGAACTATGTGGGCAAATAAGTATGTGCTGTGTTTCCTGTGTGCTCAGACCATGACATCCTTTGTATCTCAGGGAAATCTCATGACCCTACCGATACCGAGAGCAACTGCAAATCACAGCTCCTTCTACATTCCGGCTTCTTTCTTTACGGTCTTCAATGGCCTCGGTGTCCTCTTCGGCATTCCACTGGCTAGCTATGTTGTCTACCCTCGCTGGCAATCGTACTGCAGGGGCACGCCCCCGAGTCACTTCCAACGCATCACGGTCGGCATGGTGATTGCAGTCCTGGCAATTGCAGCAGCCACTGTTCTCGAGGCGGAGAGAAGGCAGGATGGCAGGTGGAACTCGGCGGTGGTGTCCGACCACGACAATCCCAATATCACCCTGACTGTTTCAAGTCTCAAAATATTCTACCAGATCCCGCAGTACGCGTTGTCGGGAATCTCTGAGGCATTCATCACAGTGTCAGGTGAGCTTTTCCTTTTTGTGTGTCATTGCTTAAAAAATATCTCGCCAATGGCTCAAAATGATGCGTCAGGTGCTGTCAAGTTGTAGTAAAATAGACTATGATAACTATATTTATACAAAAGAGAAAGACCGAGGAACTACAAGTTACGCTATACCTATTTCCCCATGGTCTTTCTCTTTTGTATAAATTAAACCTTGGCTCTCCATCTGAGTCCATAAATATATTTCACAAGTCTAAGGGACTGAAAAAGGAGAAAAATATGTTATGGTATAGAAGAAAAACACATGGGAATGAGATATGAAGCAATTATCCACGACTGTAACAAGATAATAAGCAGTCAGAAAATGTGCGGATTTTACACGAAATGTTATTAATGGCTCAGTATCCGAGTTTAATTAAGATAATAATAATTATAACTGGGCCATGATCCACTTTCTGCTGTTTCTCATGTGATTGTGTTGCTCCACGTCGTGAGTAAATTATGCACATTCGGAAAGGCAATCTGCCAACACATCATTCTCAGCAGATGTTACCCGGGTGCACTTTCATTTTGTTTGTACACTCGATCTTGCGGTGTGGTTGATGTTCAGCTTTGGAGTTTGCATACTCTCGGTCGCCTACCAGAATGAAAGGCATTGCCGTGGGTCTGGTCTATGCATCTATCGGCCTGTCATCCTGCGTCAGTGTTGGAATTTTGTGGCTAATTCAAAAATTCCAGTGGAGCATTTTCTACATGAGCAACCAGCAAGGAGAAGTGCACTATTTCTTCTTGACACTCGGCTGTGTCATGCTGGTCGGCTTGGCAATATTTCAAATCATCTCCAGACGTATCAAACGAGCCCCCATCTATTCAGAGAACCTGGCAACGTCTCAGTCTGTGACTCCCCAGACAACGTTTAGCACTGTTGTAAATTCGAACAGCAGCTTTTCAGCATAGTCCCCGAGAACACACTACATACTACACACCCCATAATATGACGTGTAACGGTTTTGCCATTTTTATTCTTGCTTTGGGTAGGCCCGTCGATGATATCTAGGCAGATTTCCGTGCAAAAACAATGGAGAGAATGCGTATTTTTCGTTTACATTCTCATTTACCGACAGATGTGTTAGCCTCATCGGTGATCTCACTCATGGGGTGTTTCTATTGCTAGTATCATTGGTTCTAGTAGATCCACCTTCCATCATGCACTTGATTGCTTGCAACTGGTTGCATGATGGTAAACGGCCTTGAATGGTATTTATGTGCATGTATCTGCTCATGCATTTCTCCTATTGCTGAGTCGAATGGTCGTGGTCCGAGGAAGCTGAGACGCTCCCTTCCTACTTGAATCCCAATCGAACTTGCGCACTTCCACCGAAACTGGGTGACTGCGCCCTACTAGATGGGGATTTGTATGCAAAATGTCACTAAAAGCGCCATTTCGTTCTTATAAAAGCACGGATGACCGCGATTGGCCCATATGTTGTAGTCTTTTGGACGCTGAGTCGACTGGTTTTGGTCCGAAAAGGCTGCGATGCAGCGCTCCTCCTTTATTCCCAATCGAACATGGTTGAACAAGAGGTCACGTGCTCCTGCGTACACCAGTCACCTGGTCACCGTGCCTGCAGGGTACAACTTACTAGCCTGTTTGACCTTTTTTGGGTGCACTCCTGTCACTCGAGTTGAACTCGAGTTGAACCTTGGTGTGAAAGTTGTCGCCTGCTGGCGTGGTGACCAGGTGATTTGGGCACCCAGGAGCACGTGACCGCTTGTTCAACCATGTTCGATTGGGAATAAAGGAGGAACGCTACATCGCAGCCTTTTCGGACCAAAACCAATCGACTCAGCGTCCAAAAGACTACAACATATGGGCCAATCGCGGTCATCCGTGCTTTTATAAGAGCGAAATGGCGCTTTTAGTGACATTTTGCATACAAATCCCCATCTAGTAGGGCGCAGTCACCCAGTTTCGGTGGAAGTGCGCGAGTTTGATTGGGATTCAAGTAGGAAGGGAGCGTCTCAGCTTTCTCGGACCAAGACCATTCGACTCAGCACCCCGAAGACTACAACTGGTGAAATTTTGATTTTTGCCTTAACTTCCCCTTTAAAATAAACATCTTTCAAAATGTGACATCATGTCATGTATATGCCAAAAGTATTACCTATAACATTGCAAACTTTTGAAAGTGGACTTAAACTGCATGAAGTACCCATTTCCGAAACATATTGAATTATTGATACCATCGGCACACTTTCGTAAATGGTAATTTTTCGGCATGTCTAGCATTGGAGTTCACCCCGGAATAACTGATATTGGCCAACAGCATCTATTGCTGGGCGCGTTGGGGTGCAGAATCAGATGTGATATGAGTGTCCGCAGCAACAACGCCGCCGCCATCGCCACCAACAAGAACAAGAGTAAAAGTGACAATCATAACAAGAGAAGAGGCAGCAGTAGCATTGAGAATTGGTATGCCTGGTTGTCAAAAACCAAATTGCAACAGTAACCAAAGTATCCTCCATTTATCCTGCATCTCTGCAACGAAATCATTAGACAATGACTTGAATACTGACGTCATGACATATGAATACTGACGTCATGACATATGAAACAATACTGTTACTTAGTGTTAGTATTCGGCCATCACACGGACTGTGAAATAGTCACGTGACTTGCCGTCATACTGGTAGTACTGATAGCCCGATAGTCATTGACCCCACCACTGGCACCAGCTGACGAATAGATTGGGACGCGTTTGAAACGCTTGGAAACAATTAGGAACAGGACCAAGCCAACGAGCATGATCCCAGCAAGAGCGATATAGTAGTAGTAGACCTGTCCTTGCTGATCAGACACGTAGAACATGCTTGGGTGGAGCGCGTGAATCAGCAGCAGAGCGCCAACACTGACAATGGACGACAGCCCAATGGACGCATACACCAAGCCAACGGCTATTCCCTTCATTCGTGGTGGTGAGCAAGAATATGCGAATTCAAGAGCTGCACACACAGTACACATGGATTCGTTTCGTAAGCAAAGGTAGTACATATATTGAGTAAAAATAAAGCACTCTAGTTATCATCGCTTGGAATCATGGCTGCCTGGACAGAGCTGAACCATAATGACATTTGGTTGCTTTACTCAACATATGACAACGAATAGAAATAATGGGTTTCGATAAACGGTGTACTAGTAATAGAAGAAAGAGAACGAACTGAGAATGGAAATGTGAAAGAAGGATCCGAACAAGTTTTCGTGCAGCACTCATCAGAAATCATCATTGCACTGAAGAAATGGCAACTATCAATCCAGCTCGTCCTCTTCATCGAGGTTTTTAATCTTAGATTGTTGTCTATCCGCCGGTTATGAAACTTCGTATTCTTTAAACAACAATAGTGAAATCTCTAATTCAAACTGATACAGTTGACTGAATTGGAGATCGAACCAGGGTAGGCCTTGCTTGACGGATTATGCTAGCATAATTTTTCGCATAATTCCTACCGAAATCGATAATCGCATAATTCGAGGCAAATTGCATACGAATCGCATAAATAATGGAATAATCCGCGTGTTCGCATCAAATTCCATTGAGTTGTACATGTTCTACAAGTGCAAGTAGATGAACCAGGAAGTCGTAGGTTTACGACTCCCTTGATAAGATGTCCAGTCCACTACATTCAGTGACGGTCGTAGCTACAATTGTATGTCGGACGGTGCGTTGACCCCGTTGAACTTTTGCTACTACAGTACAACGCCCTATACAAAAAAATCCCCTGTTATTTTGCACAGAACCATCATATACATTAGCAGCATATGTGAGCCTAATGCGGCATAATATGATAACTTTTAGCATAAAAATAGCATAATTCTGCAATTTTTTCTGCAATGCGAAAAACATAATTTCACGAAAATATTAGCACAATCCGTCAAGGCCTAAACCAGGGCCTCATTACTGGTTTCTATCACTAATGCAACTGCCCACTGAGCTTTCTAAGAATAGGGCTACACGCAGGAATATCAGTACATGTATGCCTGAAACATGCTGTGTCCCTGGACTTGGATCTTACCAGACACTGTGATGAAAACTTCAGAAAGGCCAGACAGAGTGTACTGCGGTACTTGGTAGTAGATAGGAAGGCTGGAGACTTTCAGGATCTTGCTGTGTGGATTGGCGCTGTGGTCCGCGGTGGTGAGCGCGTCCCACCTGCCCGCCTTCCTACGTTCCACCTCCAGAGCAGCCGCCGCCATGAGCACGACTATTGCCAGCATCATGCCAAAAGTGATGCGTTTCAAGTGGCTGGGAGGAGTGCCTTTGGACCAGGCCTGCCATCCGGGATAAATGACGCAGATCACAATTGGGGTACCGAGCAGAACACCAATGCTGTTGAAGGCAGTGAAGGACGAGGCCGGAATGTGGAAGGAGCCGTTGTTTGCTGGTGCTCTCTGGATGGGTAGGCGCATTAGATTCCCTTGCGATACGAATGATGTCAACGTCTGCGCACAAAACGATAGAATTGGAATCAAGATACCATTTGCAAGCGCTCAGTGAAGTTGCCCCACAAACGCTTTAGGGATCTGCATGGCAACATGCTTCAAAATATTATTTTTGTGGTAATTGTACCCGCACACACATACACATATACTACTTGAAGTAGTTGATACAGTCATGTTGATCGGTTGACAGCATGTTACACGGCGGAGGACGCGCTGTGTTGAAAACAGTGCTCCTGGCTACAACCATCATCGGTTGGCAGAGCCCCGGTTTATCAAACAAGGCTTAGCTATAGTAACACATCTACTATCACAAGTCTTAAAACGTTTAAACGTGGGAACGTTGGCGGGAAAATTGCTGAAAGGTCAGTGTCACGCAGTGTCTGCGTGTGCGTGGTTGCGTGCGCATGTGTATGTGTGCGTGTGTGCAATCTACCATATTAGTACCTGTGCCAGAGTGATTTGACAAAACATCATGGCGGAGAGAACTGCCAGAACGGAGAGGAAGTTGTGCACCTTGGCGACACGGTTGTAATCGAAGCTGCCTCCATACGTCTTCTCGGCGTACCTCACCCAGTTCGCAAGAGACCCAGCAGAATCTTTCCAGTACAGCCGGTTGGCGCCTTGCCTCTCCTGGGTGAAAACCATGGGGCTTCTCTTGTTTTTCCTCCATCGAACTCGAATGGCTTCCTTGGCAACGGTCCAAGTGTCGGAGATGGGATTTGCGCGCGACGGCATCTCTCCAAGAATGGTTCTCAGGGCCTGCTCTAGACATTCAACGCAGCCCGGTCAAAGTGTACCTGGCGCATGCAGGCCAGCCGGGTCAAGCCGGGTCAGATCATCCGGCAGAAAAACAACCAAAAAAGCCTGCTCAAAACGCAGGAAAACAGAAAGGCGAATTTATTACCAGAAATCGGAAATTTTAGAGAACAAGGCGAACTATCAAAGTCCGCAATTCAAGCAAACGTAGAACCCCCCGGCGCTCACAGGACACCCCGCTCCTGATCAGACCACCCGCACTCTCCTCGCTCTGCCTTGTCGCCTAGGGGGCATGGGTCTAATCAACACGTGCGATCTCGCCAGCCAGTTGGATGACTCCAGGACCATCACGCAGCCATTGGTGGAGCGGATCATTGTGCAAAACACGGAACTAGGTGATGTTCACCACACCATGAAGGCAGAGAAGGCGAAGGTGCGCAGGATCCACTCCGTAAGGGAGAAGGAGACCCTAGTCGCTGTGGAAGAGAGCATCGCTTCGGACTTAAAGCGGTCCAGGGAGCTGGCGGCGGAGAAGGGTGCCTCGTCGTGGCTGACATGCAAACCACTGAAGATGTTTGGCTTCACGCTATCGAAGGGCGCATTTCACGATGCGGTTTCATTGCGATATGGCTGGCCTCTGAAGCGTTTGCCCTCTGCTTGCAGCTGTGGTAAATCATTCACCGTGGCCCATGCTCTCTCCTGCTCAACCGGCGGCTACCCTAGCCTCCGCCACAACGAGGTACGCGACCTCACAGCATCCATCATGAAGGAAGTTGCGCACCAAGTTGTGGTGGAACCGCTGCTAGAGCCGCTGACAGGTGAGAGGATGACGCTACGGTCAGCTTCAACTGAAGACAACGCCCGCCTAGACATCGGTGCCAGTGGAGTCTGGGGAGGTCGGTACGAGCGTTCGTACTTTGATGTCCGGGTTTTCAACCCCCACGCCCCCACCAACGCCAAGTTTGCCTTGCCCGCTGTGTACAAGCGACATGAGCAGGAGAAGCGTCGCCGCTACGAGGAACGGATCACCAACGTCGAGCACGCCTCCTTCTCACCAGTTGTCTTGTCCTGCACTGGAGGGTATGGCAAAGCTGCGACAGCACTCTATGCTCGGCTGGCATCGATGCTCGCCGACAAGAAGCAGGAGCCGTACGCTGCCACAATCTCCTACGTCCGATGTAAGCTCAGCTTTGCCCTCATCCGTGCGGCTGTTGCCAGTCTGCGAGGCCATCGGCACCGCGTGCCCTCAGATGCAAATGACTCGGCCCGATTTGCGGTTGCCATGAGCAGCATCGGTTAAAGCTCCCTCCCGAGGCTCCGTACTAGACTGTTTTCACAGCCATTTTTGCTCTCAGCCTTTTTTTGCTCTCTCGACTGTTTTCACAGCCATTAATTTGTTGCTCTCTCGAAGCAAACGTAGAAGGTAAACGACAAAGCGTGAGTTCTTTTTCTCTTCGCGCCGCTTTTGACTGCCTGCCCCCATCGACTTTGAATGTCCTGACTTCCTGCTCGCCGCTGGCGAGATCGCACTCGAACCAGTTGACCCCAGTTGACCCTAGCCGAGTTTCTGTCGCTTGTGGACGTGGACTGACTACGATTGCGCTAGATTTGCAACAGATGGGGTCCGCGAGTCGTAAAATACCGGTATTTTAGGAATCCATTGTCAGTTTGAGACATTTTTCAGCCAGGTCAGACTGGACCCGGTGTTATCTGTTCAGCCAGGTCGTGCAGTTCCCCAGCCGGGCGCGTGACCCGGCTGACCCGGCCCTCCAGCAGGCCCTGGGTTCTATTTAGTAGGAGAAGCGCAATGACACTGAGGAAATAGAAGACGGGTGGAAGTATGTAGCCGTAAACATGGTAAGATTCCTGAACCTGTATAACTCCAGACAACAAGCCAAGCATGGAGCCTACATTAATGCACCAGTAGTAGCGGGGAAAGAACACCTTGGCCTGTTGTCCACTTTCTCCCCTCAGAGCATGCTGACTGACTCCGAGCGGGATCTCGGTTCCTGTTGATCCTGCGAGACCGAGGCCGAACAGGACTAGCCCAGAGATCACCAAGCCTTCAAGTGAGCTATGATGCTTCTCATCGTGTGCAACATTCGACTCCGCAACGACCGCTGCCAGCAAAAGCAACGAGCCGGCCAACTGCAGCAGCAGTGACACTAGTAACACTCTGTAATGGCCAAACAGAGTGTCCGCTAGTAAGCCAGACAGTATTGCGCCCAACATGGACAACTTCGTGCAGAGCAAAGTGGCAATCGTAGCACTGTTTGAGCTCCAGCCCAAGAAACTGTGGAATTCCAAGTATTGCACAAGATTCACGACAAGTCCACCCTTACCCACTCTTTCAAGAAGCGATACTAGCAGAACCGTGTATGATGAGTGCCATTCAGGCCAACTTCGTCGCCTAATACCTATCCTCGGGGAGCCAGTATCGGCAAAAGGTTGCCTTTCGCTGGTGTCACTGTCCATCCTTGGCTTGGGTCACTGAGAACCACGATAGCCACTGGATAAGCTGATGAAAATCAATTTGAAGTCTAACCAAACCGCCCAGAAGTATTGTTTTCATCACAACACAGTCTCATTCTTCTCTTTCGAATAGTCTTCCGCCAGAATCTCTTCTCTTGTCCTCTCCATACCACATTGAACAGCAGCGTCACTGAAGACAACCGATCGTAATCACAAGACATTTCGGTGTGAAGGTACGAACCATTTCCCCAGGAGATAAAGAGTACTTTGGACCTTAGAGACCTGTATTATACCATCAGTAATCAACGGTCCATCCTTCACGATACCAGTGCATCGGAAATCCACGTGCTCTGTCTCATCCTGTCATACTACTGAGTAACTCAACACTCGACAGTGCCGCCAGACATGATGGGATGCGACAGGTTGACTTGTCCTGGCCTGTCATAATAATTATTAGTGCACTAGTGGGATGAGCTCAGCTGTCGGACGGACGGTCACAGGAGCTAAGTTCGCATGCGGCATGGTTCACTGTGACTCCCGGGTACGGACATGAAAATGTCAATGATGGCACTGCCATGCATGTCCGCAGTACTTTGGACATACACATGTACTAGCACTCGTACTGAAGGAAAGTATACTTCTTTGTAAAGTAAAGCTAGGTAGCTGAAGACAGTATAGTACGAGCCTAATGATACATTGAAAACATAGGAAACAGTGGAGCACAAGGAAGTTTTGAGTTAGAGTCCACCAACCAGACCAGAATTTGAGCAGTCAGATGTGTAGAATTTAGACAAGGACTAGTCGACTGCAGAGACATTTCGTTTATCATTACTTCAAAGTAAAATTATTATTATCTTTGATAAAAATTGAGCCTCCCAAGTTGGGTGGTTGTTGTTTTGCGTTGTCGAACTGTGGTTAGACCATATTGTCCAATCTCTAACCATCCCGTTATCGTACCAAGCCAACATTCCATGGAGCCTTGGAATGCAGCTTGTGTTTGGCTCGATGGCGCCTACCTTCCTCTTTTTTGAATTATCACTAATATCCATGAACCTTCCAAGTTGGAAGGCCGTTGGGTGGCGCCATCTTACCGCTCAAGCTCCCTTTTATGCCTTGGAATGTCTCAGTACTCCTTGTCAGTTTGGTACTAAAATTAATTGTGCACGTACATGTATGACTGTCCTGAAAATGATCTGTTACTAGTAGTAGACTTATTATAACCCAATACTAGTTCAGAACTAGTATTAGATAAACCAGTTGTTATAGTTCACGCATATTGTTAGTATGAGGGTCAGAACCGGGTTCAACACCCATATGGTTCAAATGGTCGGCAGGGACCGGGGCTCTGCCAACCGCCGAAGGTTGTAGTAAGGTCATGTTTCCGAACACAGTGTCCTCCACCTTGTTTCATGCTGTCAATCAAACAATAGTAGTAGACTTGTGTCCCACTACATCATACTAGTACATGTGCTCCCCGCTATTCCTGGTTTTAACACAAACTGGGGCTATGCCCCATACGGTTGAGATGCCCCCAGGAGCGTGACTCTGCCAACTCGTTGTACTGTAGTCTAGTCGGGAGCACTGTTTTCGTGCGTCCTCCGCTTTGTAACACACTGACTGTCAATCTCCCAACATGTGAACCTGTCAATCAATAGTATTGTACACTATTGGGATCGTCGTGCTGATTATGACCCCATGCGTAGCGTCTGATTACTAGTAGTCGACGTAGAACAATGTTGCGCATTGTATAGAAATAATTTCATTAACTTTAACAATACAGCAATGCTATGCATGCAGCTGACAATCTGTCTATACAGGTACATGTACATGTACCTGGTCGACAACAGTTACTACAACTAATAATAATTATTACTGTTAGGCCAAACTAAAGAAGGTGTGTGGTTCGACTCACCCGACCGACCGTACAATTTCAGCCCGACCGTAACTTTTTTTCGGCGGGCTGTCGTGTGACTGACGTACGTGGACTGAACACGTCCACGTCTACGTGCTGTGCGGCGTGAGTCTGCGGACGCAGGCGGCTCCTTTTGCAAGTTTTGGACTTGACTTGTAGTTGTACTGCAGTGCAGTGCAGTGAGTGGTACGACTGCTGCCTTGTGCTGGTAGTAGAGTCTACTCGATACGCGTATACAGTGTATTTACATGTACTAAAAAATATATTAAAAAAAAAAAATCCGCCCGCCCGCCCGTAAAAAAAATGTCCATGTTAGTCGAACCACACACCTTCTTTAGTTTGGCCTTACTAGTACTTGCAAGTAGTCCTCGGTGTTGTCACGAGTCAAGTCGCCAGACTACTGCTGCATACCTGTGTGTACATGTACCGACTCCGTGACTCGCTACGTCACACTCACACTGTGTAGCTACTGAAGTACTTAGTTGCATGATGGGCATTGATGGCTGAAGCCAGTGACTCTGAGGACTCTGCGGTTGAGCTCCAAGAGGATCACTGTATGCGTGGGTATTGTGCTACATAATTGCACAGACTAGACGTCCCCGCACCCAAGACCCCAAGTCCGTCGAGTGACCTAGTACACTGTAGCTGCACTCACTTTTACTTAGTTTTAGACCAGTCAGGCAGTTACCTCCTCGTTCACAATGATCAGGTGATGACACTGACTCAGGGATTCCTGGGAAGCCTCCGCGGCGTCCGCACCTAGCATTCACCAGTAGATCTACTAATCCGAGCAGTACACTGTACATGTACTACTACTACTAGTAGTTATCACTGCACTCACTGTCAGAATCACCTCACTGCACTATCTCTTGCCAATGACATAATAATCGTAAGTTTGTAACAGTTACTGTTCTGTGCAGTTGACGATGTACGTATATGTGTGTCTGTGTGGTTACCGACGCTGACAGACTCCGTCTGCACACTTCTTCCTTCCGCTGTTTCAGGTTTTTGCAGTCGAGTCCCTCGACCTCAGCTGCTTTATTTCTTGATGACGCCATGATGGCGTTGTCCGTGATCCAAAGCCAAAAAAAACATACCGTCGACACCACTTATAACGAACTCACATAATTATAACGAATTTCGTGATACATGTAAAAAATAATGAACCGTTCCATGCTAGCTCATGTCAATGTTTGAACCCATACAACCATTGTAGCGAACCATTTCGTTTCTAACGAACCTTATCTTGAAGGGACGCATATGCAGACCACGTTCACTCATACTGCCGCATGCCATGGGCCACATGCCAGTATAACGGACTTCGGCTATAAAGAACTAATTCTCCTTCACAATGGTGTTCGATACATGTATCAGGAGTCGAGTGAGTCCATAATAATTATTATGTAAGCTGTACAGTAGTAGATCTACTTGCCTCAGTTCAACTGTAGATCTACTCTGTAGTGACAGAGGACGATTTTCTTGTTACTCCTCAGTCTCCAATGCAGTCTCCTACAGAATCAGCACATGTGCAGTCGCTAGTCGGTCCTGTAGATCTACTCACTGAGTAGATCTGCTGTGGTAAAGTAACGTTAGTTTTGAAGGAACGATACTGAGTCCCAGGCCATGGGCCGATGCAGGGGGCGATTACTTGGTGACACGGCTAGGCTGATGTGAAGCTAGAAGTCAGCCAAGACTGAAGTTCAGATCTACGAGTAGATTCGACACTGGAGCCGCCGAGGTTCACTGGAAACGTACCATCATTGAACGGTCCAACCGTTCCACTGTGAATGCGACTTGGAACAATTTTTTTTGTGGTGAAGGCTTGCTGGATCTTGTCATCGATACGTAGCAGTTGGGACTGGAGATCGAGAATAGGATGGCTGGCCATGTTCGTCGCAGTATTCCCACGATGGTTCTTCTGGGAGTAGCGCTGGTGGTAGTGGTACTCTGCCCTGCGGTGGTGGTGCTGGCTGTTTCCGCAGCTACTGTGCCGCCGGCAGTGTACGCTGACCTTCCGGCTTGTCGCGCGGAACACGATCACGACGTAGGTCAAGCCGTGTCGCAAACTGGACTAAACATCAGCGTGCAGTTTAGCAGTCATGCGGGCAGTGGTCAGATACTCGGCGTGAACAATCCTTCTGGTCCACGCTTTACCCTGTTCGTTGACGATTACAGCTTGGCGTTCGCCCTGTACGAGAGTGGAAGCGTGGTTTTGTACACGCTCCGACCACCTCGTGCAACATTCAACGGGCGAGTTCACGCATTGCTGATGACCCTTGTCAGGAAAGAGGATGGTCGTCCGGAAATGCAATCTCTGCTGCTGGATAACACAACCTATGAGTGGAGGGAGGTTGCTAAGAACAATGCCAGCAGTGCATCAAGTGCAGCGGCTCCAGTGCCTTCGCCAAACGCCTTCAGTAGCTGGGACGCGTGTATCTATGGTATGGCGGTGAATGGCAAGATTTCTGATCCGACGCGCACAACCAAGATGCGATTGTTTGCCGATGGAGCGTGGTGCTGCGACAAGCATGCGGCTGGCAATCAGTTCATAGGATCGCCATCGACTGGTTTGGAGAACAGTTGTGGCTGTGGACGCAAGACAATGTCATGCATGCAAGGTAAATGGGATGTACTATTGTACACACTTCCCCAACACATAGTGGCAAATGCTGAACCAATCTGTTCGAACTGTTCAGCATTTTCCGTGGGCATGCAGTCAAGCGTGAGCTGCAGAAGAAGATTAAAAATGAGGAACGAGTGTGCGTGTGCACATGCGATTGTGTGCATCTGCGTGTGTGTGTGTGTGTGTGTGTGGGATTCACTGGCCAGAAAAAGTCACTTCAAATAGCTGTATGGTGTAGACCAGGCTGAATAGTGATGGTCAATTCTTCAGCCTTGCAAGCTGTTGAATGGTGCAATCCCAGCACAAGTTGCTATGGCTTCTGCCGTAGCATTGCTATCATCGCCTCCGGCGATGGGCGTCAAAGGTCAAAGGTGTGTGTGTGTGTGTGTGTGTGTGTGTGTGTGTGTGTGAGAGAGAGAGAGAGAGAGAGAGAGAGAGAGAGAGAGAGAGAGAGAGAGAGCTGCTTCAATCAGCCATGTGGTGTAGACCAGGCTAAAATTAGTGGCGGTCAATTCATCAGCCTTGCAAGCTGTTGAATGGTGTAATCCCAGCACAAGTTGCTATGTCTAACAAAGCTGTTCGCTATCATGGCTACCACGGTGGGCAGGTCTGAGGTCTGATATATGAGGTGAGAGAGAGAGAGAGAGGGAGAGAGAGAGAGAGGGAGTGAGTGAGTGAATGAGTGAGTAAGTGAGAAAAAGTGGGAGAGGGGGGGGGGGGTAGTGCCATTGGTTGCAGGTCACAGAAAATACTCTAACTGTGAGTTGCTGAGTGCACATGCATAGAGCAGCACAATGGGTCGGTTTCATAGAGCAGTACAATGGGTCGGTTTCATAGAGTAGCACAATGAGCCGGTTGCATAGAGCAGTACAATGGACCGATTGCATAGCATAGAGCGGGCTGATTGACTAATTGCACACACTGTAGACCTGCACAACGGCACAATGGCATAGAGCAGCCTGATGGCCTGATTGCATAGCGGTGTTGCGGTGTTGCATAGCGGTGTTGCATAGCGGTGTTGCATAGCGGTGTTGGATTGCACCTGATTGGCCTTTAAACAGGCAGTAACATGTCGGCGATGTGTTTTTCTTGACCATTTGTGCTTTATGCATGTGTGCAGACAGCCTAATTGCATCCTTCCCTGGAGATGCTAACATCTACTTGCCTGCATTGCCCGTTGATGTACGCTGTGATACCAAAGAGCACCCGCTCACCGTTTTGCAAATTGAGTTTCAGCTCTCGTCTCAAACCAACAGTGCTCTGCTGCTGAAGCTGCAGTCGCAACGTGACGTGTTCGTTCAGGTCATGCAGTTTGGGAATAAAGTGTTAGCTGCCCTCTTGCAGAAAAGCAAGTCAACAGTGATCATGTCCAACGCACTGCCACTGAGCGACTCCTGGGTGCGCGTTGCTGTGTACATTCGACGGACAGCCATTCACCTGCTCGTCAACGCCGAAGCCTACACGGCCGTGTATCAGCCCATGCTGCTGCGCGACGAGTGGCGATCACTGCGCTGGTCTGTTCTGGTGGGTGGCGGCGGCAATACAATTGGATTATCTCCCGGTGGTGACAATTATTATGGCTGCATGAGACGTGTGTATGTGGATGGAAACCATGTTCTGAAACTAGCAAGCATTGGAGCAGGAGAAACTCAATCCCAAACAATCCGCCAGGGACAAGTAACATTTGGCAGTCGCTGTGAGCCTAAACTATACCGCTGTAATAACGAGGCCCTGCTGCTCCTGTCCAAGAAGTCATCCTTGCTGATTTCCGATACTAGGCTGAAACAGCTGGAAAGCATAGCGTTTAGCTTCAGGACTGCCCAGCACAACAGCACAGTGCTAGGCTTCCTCGATGCGCAGAGCACAGATCCTCCTGCCGGGGGTGTTTTCATCAGCAACAGCCTGCTGTGTGTGCATATCGGAGCACAGAGCAGGTGTTCGCAGAAGAGCTATAGCGACAAGCAAGTACATGCAGTGAAAATCTGGCAAACTCGCACGCAGCTGGTCATGCAAGTAGATGAGAAAGAGCAAGTCGAACTGGAAGCACCCTCACTGCCATCAAGTCCAAAGCTAATAGGTGGCTTGAACGCCTCACAGGTACTTGTTGGCGGGCCTGAAAGCAGATGTGTCAACACTGCAGTCGGCACAGGACACTTTCCAGCATTGGGTCATTTCGTGGGGTGCATTGGACAGCTGCGCATCAATGGGCTTTGCTTTTCAGCCGAAGCTGACTTCCCCTGCTCGTCACAGCGCTACCTGGCCGCAAATGCTACTAATTCCTCGTGGCCTGTCACTGATGGCAGCATCAGCAGCTGTGATCATGATTTCTGTGCTGGACAGGAATACTGCCGGAACTCTGGCGCATGCCAGTCGTCGTGGACTGGCCCAACATGCAACTGCCAGCAGACAGGGTATTACGGACCAATGTGCCAGCATGGTACGTATTTGATACTAATGAAATACATTGCATTAGTATTGGTTACGTTAACTAGGGTTGCCAATAGGCCCTATGGCAAAGGGTCGAATGGCCACAGGAGTTTTTAGAGTAGTTGTGTGTTCGTGGCGAAGTGCTTGGGGAACGCATGAGAACTGCCCACCATTTGAAGGTGTTCTTAGGCATCCATTGGAAGGCATTTGAAGCTTGCTATCATCCTGTGAATCACTGCCAATAATTTGGGATGGGGAAAAAACTGTGTGCAGCATCACTTTTGCTGTTTTCTCCCCCAATTTCCATGGCTCACTGCCGCTTGGCTGTAGTTCAGAAGTGTGTGCATCACAACCCTCCAGGGTACTTCCCACGCAAACAGGTGGGGACTAGAGCTCAATTCACACATATTCTCCCATCTAATCCGTGACCTACCTCCAGAATAGGGGCTATGCAAAAGACATCATGGCGTGCAGGTACTACACTATTTGAAATACACCAGAAATGCCTTCTTGTTTGTTTTTCACATTGATCTCTTCTTTCGATTTGTGCTTAGAATCGACAATGGTGACTTTACGCTGTGATCATTTCCTACACTTGGACACGAGTCGGTTGAACACAACTGCAGGACTTTCGGTCATGTTCAGGTTTGACAATACCGATCCAGACACTGCAGTTGCTCTGTTGGCTGCATATGACCCTGCCGGTCGGCCAATCCTAGTCATTGAGAAATCAGCAGGGGGATTTTTCATGGCTATTCCTCAACGGCAAACCTACTCATGGGCAAGCAGTCGCAACACTTTCCTGCCGGCAAGTCGCAGTCGGGGTTTTGTGCACCTGATGGTATCCAGTGACAGTGTCACGCTGGACGTGCAGGGAAAGCAGGCACAGATTCTGCTCTTCCTGCCCCTGGAAATCACGGCGGTGGTGATCGGTAAATATCGGCCGATCGAGGAACTGACTCTGGTGACCGGCCGAATCCCCAAGCCCCTGTGCGGGTATATCAATGAGGTTCTCGTCAACGGTGACCATGTCCTGGACGGCTACCCCACACCCACGAATGACATTGTGCGAGGCACGGCTCTCCTGGGATTGCACTCAATGGTGACTCACCCAGTGTTTCTGCAGAACAGTCACGTCCGCTCAACCATCAGCCCTCCCACGACCCAGGTTGCTGTCTCGGTGGAGTTTCGCATTACAAAAAGCACCGACTTGCATATAGTGCGCATGCAAGATTCACAGAAGAATATCGTGTTCATCACCCTTACCGAAAGCAACATGTTGACGTTAGACAATCGGCAAACGGGAACTAGCCAGCCATTTGCAATGTCTTGGAGTACGATACCGGACTTTCACGATGGACAGTTACACGTACTTCTTGTGTACTTGATGAATGGCTATATGAAGGTCGTACTGGACGGTTTCAAGTCTAGTCCTCTCAATGTGACCGGCTCTGGTTCCATAACGGATGTACGCTTCGGTGCACGGAATTTTGTTGGGTGTTTGAGCAGTGCGGTCGTGAACGGAATGGAAGTTGACCTGCGGAACCAGGGCAATGCGTCTGTGAAGCACCTGAACTACTGTCCAAGTTGTGTACCGGAAAGATCATGTAACCTGGGCTATTGCATAAATGTCGCAAGCAGCAACAGTTTTGAGTGCAGATGTGCAAGCAATGGAGATACGGACAGATATTGCCGATCCTCCGAGCCGTCAACACTTCCGAAAAGCCCAACGCTGCAGAGCGGAACACTGAACGGAATTGAACTGGCTCAGTCTGGTTCTGGATCGACCGGTTTCTCGTTGCTCTTTCTGATTATCCTGGTAGTCTTCGCCGCGCTCATTATCATTGCTCTTGTCGTCTACTTTCAGCGGAGGTATGTCCATCGCCATAATGGTCACTACTACCCGCAGCAAACACCGATAGACAGCGCAGATGGCAGAGCAAACCAATTCGAAGAGTGTCTGTAGAACTGAGCCTGTGCAAATCAGCAAGGCACACATCAGCCAGACAGCATGGATTCCATTAGATAGCTTACGTTCACTTGGTAGCCTTCAGCAGCAAACAATCACGGCGTATTAAACAGGCAATGTTCTGTGTTGAATGCGAGCTCTTTGGCACCGATCCACTCGATAAAATTAATAGGTGACTTGCGTTAGTCTACGGTCGGCTATAAGTATCAGTACTACTTCTGAAGTATGTTTCTGAATACAAGGCGCACTGCACACATTTTCTCATTGAAGCCGTTTCGTATCTTTTCTGCAAGATGCTGTAACTGTTACTGAGTCAAAGTGCTGTGAACTGAATCAGGTCAAACTGTGCTGACAGCTGCAATCATAAGCACCAGTAGGTGCTCCATCGCAGTCATAAGCACCAGTAGGTGCTCCATCGCAGTCATAATGCGTGTCGCTGGTGCTTGGGTAGCCATTGCTGTGGTGCCCATGCCTAACTTAGATACTTCTCTCATTGCCAATAACACGTACACCAATCAATCACCTTGTTAACCTCCATCGGCTAATATTACTGTACAAGGCTGTGTACCCTGTACACTGTACACTGCACATGATGCTAGGTAGAGTTTGTTTCTTGTATGCAGTATCATCCAGTGTACTTTTAAAATAAGGTTTATGTACTCTTGCCGTCTTGGTATTATACTAATTATAGGTATAAACCACACGGGTTACTGTCGGGTTACTGTCGGGTTACTGTCGGGTTACTGTCGGTGTGATCGTGAAGAGGTAACAGTGTATGTGGACAAGGTAATCGCAAATTACCGGAATTTTTATGCGTTGTAAGGTCCGATCCATGTGTGTGTGTGTATGGGGGAGGGGGGGGGGGGCAGTTGTGTATTTAGCGGCAAGCAGTGCAAGCTTGCAGTGAGATTTGAATGGCAAAGTTCGTTGAATGGCATGCCGGCAAGCGTCACTGCCCCCCCCCCCCCCCCCCCCCCCTCATAGCTTGCAACCCTGCACACCCACATCTATGTGGCTTTTGCATTCCCATTCGGCGAATACCCACACCAACCATGCATGCATGGCCAATTCACCAATTCTATGTGTCAGCAGATGTCTTCAATAAGTGAAGTCATACAAACACCAGGACACAGTTGGCACTATCGCAGTATCGGTTATCAGGTAATCGGGACCGCCATCCGCATAGCCGCATGCTTGTCCCTAGCGCCGGCGCCTACACGTATACAACAGACTCAGTACAACACGTAAAGTGGGGCCGGTGAGTGAAGTGCCAAAACTGTGAGTGCCTACTTCGTGTGGCGCGTGGCGTTCTGACTCATGAGCTGGGGAGCTTGGGGTCTTTGCGCTTTGATCTGGCGTCTTTGCGCCTTCAGGCTTCAGCAATTATTTGTAAACTTTGTAGGCTAAAGTTGCAGTATGACTCTGTAATGTTGTTTCATTTTTGACTTGAGTGCTCATGTCTTCTTTGATCCACACATAAATGCAAGTGGTGGTTTAGCGTGTCCCCGTGGTCATGCCTGATGCAGTGATGGCACGTCTGCAGCCCTACACTACAGTCATGTAATTGTGGTCATCATGGCCATTGCCGGCCGTGTGCATTGTACTAGTCTAGAATAGTAACACACTTTCCATTCATACTGCCGGTCAGGCCAGGGAGAACAGACAATGTCGCTATCAGAGAGTACTCCCCTTCTAAACTCAGCGAGATCTACGGTACATAATTTCACCAGTCAAGATGAAGGCGAGCAGCATGCTGCTGGAAGTGGAAAAACGACAAAGTCGTTCCTGCACCGGTGGAACTGGCATCCGTCTAATTGGGTGATTCTGATTTCTGCGCTGTCAATATCTGAGGGCTTGCTGACGAATCTAGGGTTTTTTCTGGAGTATCATGGCCTATTGGAGTGGTCTCCTGCGCAGATCAACATGGCTGAATTATTCGTCGCAAATATTCCACAGGTCCTGTCAGTTGTGACTGGTGCGCTAACGGACACCAAGTGCAGTCGGTACGCTATGCTACACATGGGCCTGGCCCTGCAGCTGCTGGGTGCTGCGTCAATGCTGTGTTCGGCCGGTGTGACCTACTTCCAGGAGAGCGGCAGCACCATCGCTAGCCAAACTGGCATGCCGAACGCGAAGAGGAGAACCATGCTGCAAGTACTGGTGCTGCTCGGTTTGGTACTCGTCGGCCTGGGAATGGCTGCCATACGTGGATCTATTGTTGTACTCGGCATGGATCAGTTTTGGCGGCGTGGTGAAACTGTGCAGAAAGCTAAAGAGTTCTTCCCATTGTACTACTGGTGGATAAACATGTCGGCGTTGATCAATATGAGCTTAGTGTCCTTCTTTCAGGTCAACTGTGGATTCTTCGTTGGATTCATGCCAGTGTTTGTGTCGTATGGACTATCCATTGTTCTGCTACACTGCTGCAAGCGTACTCTCTTTTCTACGCAGCATCTGACAGATGAGGGTGGCATTGTGCAGGTGTTCAGTGTTTATCTCGATGCCTTTCGGGTGTGGCGGAAGCAGCGGCGACGGCTGCATCCCGAGCCCAGAGCGAGGCGCATGAGCACTACGGAAGAAACACTGGCCAAGTGCAAGAAGTGGACTGGTTTTCTCTCATATGCTGATACTGAGCACGGAGGTACGCACTCCAGCAATGATGTGGTGGATGCGCGCAACTTCTACAATTTGCTGCTGGTACTGATTCCCATGCTCTTCTACAGTGTGATTATGTCACAGGTACAATGCACTGCATGCACCGTGCATGGGACTACTCATACTATCATGTCACAGGTACAGTTCACTGCATGCGCCGTGCATGGGACTACTTACACTATCATGTCACAGGTACAATGCACTGCATGCGCCGTGCATGGAACTACTTACACTATCATGTCACAGGTACAATGCACTGCATGCGCCGTGCATGGGACTACTTATACAATCATGTGCGCATTTCCCTTTGTCACCCCTGCCAACGATCACAGATTATACCAGTACATGCGTGCATGTGACTTACGCAAGAGGTACACAAAAGGAAGTATATAGGGCTGTTTTTTGTTGTAACTCAGAGTTTCATGGCAAAAACCAATCATCAGACAACATAAGCATGTGACTTATGTACATGTATGTGCTAATCTCCATCAGTCACTCTCGCCAGTGAGCATGGCAATGACAAAACTAAGGCGTCAAGGGCTAAAGCAGTGTCAAGGACGTTCACAATGAAAGTGGCCTCGGTTTGCCCCGTCCACTTTGGATAGAGCACAGACGATTGATATATAACTTTAAAAATAATTTTTAACTGTTACTAGAGTTACCATAGTTACTTTGATCAACTCAGCCGGCAGTGTGATACCGCGTGAGAGTGTTCTGATTTGAGGACTAAAAGAATTGGATACCGGACATGATCACTTACACTCGGCACTTTTAATTTATATGAGCACATGCCGTGTTATTTTAGTTTTTAAAATCTGCCTGTATCGTTATGCTATTGCTTGTTGATGACACGTGCAGACGATCACTACTTTCACTGCCCAGGGAACTCTGATGAAGCCAGTGATACCAAGAGATGAAGACACCCCGCTGGGCCCGTCACTGCAGAAGCCGTTCGTTCCGTCCGGTACAATAGCCGCCGTCAGCTGCCTGTCCATTGTGGTGTGCATACCGGTGTTTCACGGCGTGGTGTACCCGCGTCTGGAGCGCTTAGCACGCTGGCGCATTACCCTCTTCAGGCGGATGGGAATCGGCATGATCGTGGCGGCGCTCAGCGTGCTGTGCGCTGCCGTTGTCGAAATGCAGCGTCGCAAGCCTGACCGCTGGAACCAAACGACAATTATCGACCCGGTGCTTTTCAACCACAACCATACTGCTTCCAACTTGCCTATCTTCTGGCAGCTACCCCAGTATATCTTATCAGGGGTTGCAGAGACACTTGTCTACATATCCGGTGAGTGGGAATGCTGTTCTATCTTGACTCATGAGTCAGTAGTCAGTAGTCAGTATCTGTTGCCATCCGTGTGTTGTATTACTTGTGACTTTAAAAGCGTTTGCTCAGGCAGGACACGTACAGTATACTCCCCACCACAAGAAGAGAAACCCTGCACGTAATTATACGGGTCTCTGTTATCTCTGCTGTTGCAGAAGCCCCACAGAACACCCATGCAGACGTGCACATTCTTGGGGTGGGGTGTGTGTGGGGGGGGGGAGGGGGGGGGGGTATAGCATGATGATTATTGCCTCCCCCCCCCACACACAAATAGTACATCAGAGGTTGCAGCTTTTGCGAATTTCAAAGTTCTCACAATAGGTCATTCGAAACTGGAAATCTGTTGAAGGGCGACGTGGTAGAACGTAATTTAAAAGACGTTTACTATGTCCATTCTGGAAAAAGCGGATAATTGTTGTGCTCTTCTGTGCAATTTTGAGACTTGATGCACCAAGTCAGCAAATGCAGTCAAAGGGGAAAGTTCTCCTCAGATGAACGGGCATGGAGTAGATCATAAAGTATTGAAGAGACGTGTGAACGTCAGAGAGATGGGATTTATAAAGAAAACCTCATATTTCTACAAAAACCTGGCTGAAAGCACTGCTAATATTACCACATTTGGGCTGTTTTGCCCGTGATGTTGGCATTGTAAACATCGTGTGCGTTAATGTCTGATCAACTGGGTAGAGTGATGGTCTTTCTGGGGCATGTGTTTGACACCATTGTTCTTTCTGTGTGTGCATGTGGTCTTTGCACACACACTTACACACTTCTTCGTGTCCAGCCCTGGAATTCGCTTATGCCAAGTCGCCGAAGACAATGAAAGGCCTGTGCATCGCCCTGGTGTACACAATGTCTGGCATCTCCGGTTTGCTGAGCGCCGGCCTGATGGCTCTGCTAGTGTCCTACTCGGCGTCGACATTCTACCATGACTCAGGACCCGGCGGCGTCCACTACTTCTTCTTCTCGCTGGTTGGTGTTATTCTCCTTGGCAAAGGACTGTTTACACTGACCACATGGCGCTACAAATTCCGATTGAGAACCAGCCCCGGAGTTTGATTTCGACATTCTCTCGATATTCTTCTCTATTTCTGGAGCAATTTTTTAAACCTTGATTTAGCTGCTAGCTGTCCGGAGATTGAGTAAAGCTTGAGCTATGTATAAAATCACACTCTATGCATGTTGGGCCATTGCCTGTTGTTCTCAATGGCCATGCGTTTGAATCTTTAAAAAAAAATACCGTTAAGTACCGCGAGAGCGCCCTGTCTCACGGAAGCACACCATGCCACCTTGTTTTTTCAGCCAAGAGAAGGGAAATCGTGTGGCAGAGCACTACAAATTTGTTTAGTATGAGAACTTCAGTGTACAAGGTAACACTTCGCATGTTTTGTGTGGAGCCCACACCCGCTCGAAGGAAATTGAGTATGGATTGACTGCATAACGTGCAACGTGTGTACTAGGTACATGTAAGCGTCGTATCACCTACGGACAGGGCGCCACCTCCACAACACGACCACGAAAGGACGCGATGGTGGGGCGCTCTCGCGGTACTTTACGGTGATAATCATCCGGGAGGCTTGGTTCCAAAGTTTGCGAAAGGCATTGTATACCCTTGAGAACATTTCCATGCGAGAAATGTCCATCGAAAACTCTAACTCTAGCGGCAGATATAGTATTTCAAGAGAAGCTTCCAACCATATCCGACTTAAAACTTTATCGTAATCGACTGTTTTCTTTCTGTGGACCAGAGCACTCGATACAGTTTTTTTTGTATTTTTGTATTGATTTTTTTGAATTCGGTATCTCAACAGTACAATGTACAACTTGGGAAGATCCGAACAGTTTCACTCATCTGCTATTTTTTGTTGACAATTGTTACCCAGATGACGCCAGTTATTTCAGAATTTTTCATAGCTTCTATAGCTCAGGCTATCCGGCTGGCCGACACAAACCAAGCGAATCCTCACGATGTTTCCAATCCTCTTAGAAACCATGAGTTCCCTTTTAATCACGGCTCTTCATTCTACAGTTGTGTCAATTTACAATTCAGAGAAAATCATACGAATATTTGCAATGCCACGAAATGGCACTCAGCTTGCCATGACTGCATGAGGTAGTCGACATTGGCTCTTAATCCCCCCCCCCCCCCCCCCCCCACCGCAAGTGTACATCAGTCCAGATTTCACTGCTGTGGCTGTTGCACTGCCATGCCATGTGCTACCAGCTGAAGTGCGGGTGTGTTTTTAGCGGTGTATGTCTTCATCATGGACCGCACCATTACATTGTAGGCATTGAGAGGGGGGGGGGGGGGGGGGGGGAGAGAGAAAAGCCTGAACTGCAGATCATGATGTATGGCGTACTACAGTACTACACGACTTTCCGTAACCATGGTAACAGCAAGAGTACATAAACCACGTTTTTGTAATTAAACCATGTTTATGTTATGTATGTAGGCAGGCATAGTGGGATGGTCTAAGACCATGATTGAGAAACAGAGGGTAGATCTACCAGGTTCAAGTCCTGCTTGGAAGCGGAAGGATTTTTTCCAGCCGTGCTGCGACCCACGCTACAGTGTGTAGACTCTACTGTTTCTCTGAGTCTGAAATGAATCTGAAACTGCAGTGAGAGCACGCGAGAAACGTGCGTGTATGCATTTGTCCGACATATCGACATGTAGTCTTTGACTTGACCTTCTGACCCATGCCATGGGGCCAAGGTTGCGGAAAGGTTGAGAGGTAGTTCGCGAAAATGAAGAAAGTTGCGAAGGTTGCGATTTTTTCCAAACCAACGGCAACGAAAAGTTGCGAAAGAAGTGGCGAGCATCTTTGGGAAAGGGCTATCAAACACCTTTTGTGGATCTCTATTTAATTCCATAAACGTGGTTTATGTACTCTTGCTGTTACGGAAAGTCGTGTAGTACTGTTGAGTGTTGTACGCCATACATCATGATCTGCAGTTCTTTTCTACAAGACATTCAAGCAGTCCAAGCCAGCCTACCCACGTTGCTGTAATACCTTCAGTGGTAGTATGTTGTGCTCTCGTCATCATCATCACGATCCTCACCTTGGCTTTTGTGGGTCGGCGACGAAAGAAAAGGTGAGAATAGAACCGTAGCACGGGGATTCCAGGTGGTCTGCTCAAATTGGATACTTGACCAGAGGTGAACATTATTGACGTAATCCGTATTGCAAGAATAGACCCTTTGCACAATAAGCGAGAGGGGTCGAGACGGGGCATGCTGTGCACGCGCTGCACACTTGGCATGCAACCAGCATGCGTGGTTTGCTGCAGGACGTGATCAAGTTTCCTGTGACAGGCTGTGTTTTCACGGTCCCGACGCGATGTTCATGTATGTACTCCGCAGCCTTTTTTATTTGAAGTTTTTTTAGTTCTGAAGGAAGAAGTTCCGAAACGCTTTCCAAGGACCACTGTTGGGTTCTTGTTTGCAGCAACCGTCATCCCTAACGTTAGTCTAAGGAACCCACTTGTTTTTCCATGCGTTCCCTGGTGATGCTGGCATTCCACACTCTGGAATCCTGGCTATCTGGCGAGAAGAGGGCCGCAGTGCTGCGATATCGTTCCCAGTGTTGTGCTCGGAACACTTTATCCATGACGACTTTCATCCGACCTTGCTTTTGCGAAGATATGGAACGCCCTGCCAAGAGACTCTGGAGCTTGAGAAAAAGGCATGACCCATCCCTGTCTTCGCTATTGGAAGATCGACTGCTTGCTGGCGCTGCTCGAGCTGTTGATGTTGAAGTGGAGAGAGACGCAGCCTCATCGTTCAGGTGTGCGGAGAAAGTCATCTGAGTGCGAGCTGTGGCTGTGTGCACGATATGACAGACTTTCACATTATGCACATAGCCACCAAAGTAAAACTCATGGACACTATCCACGGGCCTGTTCACTTGTACTACTCCATCAGCTCCCTCTTCACTGTCGTCGGCGACTTGCCCCTGCGTTGGAGACAAGCAAGCATGCTGTGGCACTCACTCTGGGAAACAGAGGTTCATCACTCATCCACTGGGACGCATGAAATGTTGGGCATGATGAAGGTACACTCGAGGAAGTGGTGCCCTTCTTAGTTCTAGGAGCATCAGGCTTCTGCATAGAGAAGTGTTCTCTACATCGACAGGGGAGAGAAGGTAGAGAAAATAAAAATAAATTTCAATCTACAGTAATCCGAAATATCCACTGAATGCGGAAAACTTACCTCTCCAACAACTCCTTCTTTTTCCAGACAGATACGCACCCTCATTCAGCAGAAAACTGTTCAGTTCCTTCACAGACCATTCTTCATTTGACAGTTCGTCCACGAGTTTCACAGCCATCGACGGCAAACCACTCGACACTCTCTCCTCCATCTCCAAAATGGAAACTGAAATACAGTGTTCCACCATGCTCAACAACTGATACTCTGCACAAAAATCGAAGAGGATGCCCCGTCTCGGATCACGTGACCGTTATTGTGCAAAGGGTCGATTGGACGGGTCAACCTTTTTCGCAATAAGGTCCGGCCATGCGCGAACCGGCCAGGCCGGGTGCTACAGCCCTGTGTTAAAGCCCTGGAATATGAGATACTCATTAACTGGACGTGCTCCAAACCATCTGCAAGTTGAAGGTTTATAATTATGGCTGTGCTTCGTTTTCACTGAGCCCCACAACCAGTTTCAGTTCTTCAATGAATCTGTGATCGCAGTAACTTCACTGTATACCGTCGCTGTATAGTATTCCGAATTCATACATGATTGTATCGATGCATCTTGGCTTGATGTGACTGTAAAAGTGTGATTGGTTTCCAGCTATCAGCTACTATTATCCCTAGTGTGCCCTCCTTGAATTCTTCATGGTGCTATGTTAACATACATACTAACATGGTGCTAATGTCATTATTGTCGTTCACATATCTAGAATGGCTGTAACCATCACCGACGATGCTCCGTCAAGTACACCGCAACAATGTCAAAGCCAGTGCAAAAATGCAGGTACATGTATGCCCGGTCTCTCAACACTGCTAAAGTGCTAATGTATACGTACTTGTACAGTCTTCAACAAGACTTAGTAGCAGTGCCACAGTTGCAAAAGAAAAGAAGAATTGTTTCAAAACACCGTTTTGCCAGCTTCAAAAAAAATTCACGGTTCGCAGTTTTCCGCTTCCGCAGGAACGCCACCACCCTCTTGGATCAAGGTGCAGATGCAGTTTCCAAGCTGTGGGAGGTGAGTAGATCAGACCCACCACAAAGTGGTCAAAGACCGAAAATTCCATTCACGGCATCCATGTTTCCCTCGTGCCAGGCCACGCGTTCCCAATTAACTGTGGGTCGCAGCACGCCTGAAAAAATCCAGCATCAAAACAACAGGAAACTCGTGATCACTTTCTGCATAAATTTTCCGAAATTGGGAGTTTCTTATCCAATTGCTAGCAATCTACATAAGAAAAATTGGGGTAACCGCCTGACCAGACCATGGCCGCTGATGAGCGTCACGAGAAAACGTTTTGGTTACTCCAAAAATGACCTGCCTTGATATTATGTGTGTGTGTGTTTTAAAAGTGAGTTTAATCCTAAATTCTGCCACCATCTGGTTTTCATTTCCTGTATTCTATCCGAATGGGCAATTTACTTACTGTGTACGTATTTTATTCTTTCTCACTGCTGCCTAACCACCTTGAAGCCCTTGGCTGTCTACCAAGTCTGGATGTACATGTACCCATGGACCCAATGACAGGGAATACTTATACAACCTCTCTGACGGAGAGTTCCGCCCTACCAATTGCTGGGAATACGGGATTGGATCAACATTTTACAGCAGAGGCAGCAACCACAACAACGCTAGGCTGGGTGGACACCACTGGGCACAGGAAATCAGGCAATGATGGAGGAAATCTGCTTCCACAGGATGTGCCAGCAGCGTGTGGTAGGACAGGCACGGCTCAAATTGATGTTTCTACCATGATCACCAGCAAGTGTGCAGAGCAAGAAGACAATCAACATACCTATAATCACAATGATTTATTGTACAATTAAGGGCGGTGATACCCTAGGAGCACCTAGTGACGACACCGAAGTCTACTATTGTGCAACGGATGAGTTCACAGATGGTGAAGAAGCTTTCGCTGGGGAGTACATCAACACTGCGTCAATTCTCACCAATGACTGTCCTCCCCGTACGAAACGCCTGGTACCCACTACAGCTGTCTATGTCAACAGCAATACCTGTAATGAAAAACGGTTTAAACCAGCCAATCCGGACAATGGACATCTTGACGATGTGTCCCTAGCTCTCCTTCCAGCGCCACCAGAAGATGATCTTTACCAAGACTTGCAGCCTTCCAACAACGACGAAGTGTACATCAATCCATACCTCCCAGTAAAAGGGCCATGATTAATGCCATGATTAATGCCTTGCAGCTCATAGCCGCATCCATCAAATGCAGCCATGTACGAAAACAGAAAGCCAATAGATGCCACATCTGACCTCGCGTTCTAATTATGTTCACATGGCACCCGGAGTGCTTTTTAAAGCATTGTTCGTCAGCCTTTCTATTTTCATTTTTTTCATTTGAGTTTCCTTGGTGTTCTTTCTCATAGCCAACATGTTGTTTTGGATTTTTCCTTGGGTTCACCGACACCAATTGCTTGGATTTTTTATTTGGTTAGCATTGATACACCCTATAAGTGCATGACTGTATATAGCATTTCCTGAATTCTCTACTTCCTTGCATTTTTTAAAGAGATTTTCCGGAGAGCCCTGCCAGGAAGAGGTTTGAGCAGCACTGCAGAAGCGAAAGTTCAAGCACCAGCCACCCCATGGGGAGACCACTATGCAAAATATCACCAATAGCAATAGCAAAAGCAATAGCAAGCTATAACCTCTACACACATCTCAGGAGCATCAAATCTAATCACACAGTTGCCCGTCGTAAATTATCGCATTATCGTATGCGTGAAGCAATGGTCATCGGTGCACTGCTGGACACAGTGCGGTGCATTTTGGTGTAGTGATGGACTGTGATGTTGCATACAATGGCACATTAATGTTTGGTGTATGTGTGTGCTATCTCAGTCATTGTACCGTATACTCTGCCGCAAACAGTTGTCTACATCTTTCACCCAACACCTACAAGTACGATTCCAGCTACAATAATTATTCATTCTGATTCTATGTTGCACTAACATTCTGATTCTATGTTGCACTAACACGTTCACACACAGACAAGGCATTCTACATCTCTCCCACCTTTTCTCCCAACACCTTTCACCGGTGCTGCTATACACTCCACAAAATACACACACACACGCACGCACACGCACACACACACACACACACACACACACACACACACACACACACACACACACACACACACACACACACACACAACACACACACACACAACACACACACATCTATTATATCTGGCCCTTTTGTTTTCTTCACCTGCATTCTTCTCATCACTTTCTTACAGCGCCCCACTGCATACTAATACCTTGTCAATTCCTTGGTACTGTGCATTTTTGTTTCACTGTTTCAACTATTCCTTAACGATGGGCCACACCCCAGAAATTTGATGAATATGAAGTAACATTTATCTATTATTTATTTATTTCTGCACCTCGTGGCATGTCAAGACAGCCAATTGAATTGAGGAGAGGGTGAGACCAACCACGGAAGAAGAGAAAAAAAGAAAATGAAGAGCACGTACACAAAGTGGGAAGGGATTAGCAACTTACAAAGCAATGGGATGCTCAGCGAGCTTTGCAGCGGAAGTGGGGGCTGTGACTTTGTTTACTGGGAGATACTGAAGTGCTGTCTGACGAGGGTACGGAATTTGGGCATATCTGGAGCTTGTCTAACACTGGGAGGCAGTTGGAGCCACGTGGAGTAGGAGGAAAAGAATGGGGAATTTACGAATAGGGTAGACCTAGCTAGGGGAGACGAACGCAGCTTCGGGTGGTGCCACCTGAGTTGAACCAATTAAGGGACTGTAAATGAGCAGGGTGCTGGTCAAGAAAAATTGAATGTGCCAGGGTGCACTTCAAGTGGAAGCATCAAGGTAATGTTGCAGAGTGGTAGTGGATGCAGCAGCATACAAGTCTAGATTTGAGATATAACGATCAGTACGAAATATGATGCGCAGTATACGGCGATGGAGAACTTCTAATTTACCTATGTGGGTTTTGTTAATGGTGGACCAGGCAGGGAAGCCGTACGTGAAGAGGGGAAGAATGTATGATTTATAAAAATTAATCCGGCAATTTTGGGGCAAATGGGACAAGTGACTTGACATTACGCCGACAGATCGGCATACTTTGGACGACACATGATCAGCATGGTGAGACCAGGAGAGGGAGGAATCTATGACAATGCCAAGGTGTTTATGGTGGGGCGCTACAGAGATAGGGTGACCGGGATCATCGGGAAAGTGGAAGATGGGCACTGGATCTGTGGGAGGGGGAAAAAGGAGGAGCTCGGTTTTGGTCACATTTGGCTTAAGGTACCAAGTGCTCATCCAGTGAACAATGTCGTTGATACAGGTCTGAACTTTGGGGTACAGGGTGGCGTGAGATGGGGAGGAAGCAAGGACAGTGGTATCATCTGCAAACAAAGAAAGATTGGGAACTGAATAGGGGAGGTCATTAACGTATGTTAGGAAGAGCAGGGGACCTAAAATGGAGCCCTGGGGCACTCCGGATGTCACAGACTCGGGGTCAGATAAGGTTCCATTTACTGTGACGCACTGATTTCGGTCCAAGAGGTAGCTAGTTATCCAGGCGAGTAGGGAGCCGAAGACACCATGGGCACGAAGTTTGGCGATCAGGCCCTTGTGCCACACGGTGTCGAAGGCCTTGGAGAGGTCGAAGAAACAGATGCAGGAGACCTGCCGCTGCCTGGTCTTTTAGGGAGCAGAGGTCTTGGATTATGCGGGACAATTGCAGGGATGTGTTGTCCTTACGACGGAAGCCAGATTGTGCGGGGTGAAGAAGAGGGGAGATATGGTCGTACAAGCGGTCGTACACTATTCTCTCTAGCAGTTTGGAGACGCAGGACAGGAGGGAGATTGGTCGGTAATTAGACGGGTGGTTCTTGTCGCCTTTATTTTTGTACACTGGAATGACAGTGGCTGACTTCCATCGTGACGGGAATGTGCCGGAGGAGAGGGAAAGGTTAAAAAGAATGGAGAGTGGGCGGGCAATTGAGTAGCTCAGTTTCCTGAGGATCTCATTGGTGATCCTATCAGCTCCGGGGGATTTGTTCAGAGGCAGTCTTGCAATATACTTGTGAACAGTCGATGAGGTGATGATCAGGGAGTGCAATGTAGTTGCTGGTGGAGGTAGGGAGGAAATAGTGGGAATAGGAGCATCGGGGTCAACCTGCAAGCCAGCACTGACGAAGTGGCGGTTCAATAAGTTACCAATGGATGCCGGAGAGGTGCTTGTTCGACCACTGGGGCCCACCATCTTCGAAGGTATGACCCGGGCACTGGTAGGATTTCGCAGTTGACGAATGAGCACAGGGAGGGATGGGAGGTGAGGGTTTGTGGGAGATATCGTGGCACGGAGGTTGCGGATGTAGCAGCGATGGCAGGATCTGGAAAGGCATTTTACATAGTTACGTTGGTGTTTGTACACATGTGCAGCAGAAAGACCGCGCATGAGTGTTTGGATCGTGAAAGATTGTTTTAATTATAGGGCTGAAATGATTATATTGATTATCCGTCTAATCGATCATTACAACGAAACGATTTCGATTACGCTGTCTGTTTCGATTACGCGATTCTAAAAAAAGTCGGCAAGAATCAAAAGAATGTCATGTTCGGCACTACTAGATACTGTACTTTGTTCTTTTCCTCGTTTCTTTTGTTATCCATATGTTTTCCAGTAGGGCTGTGAAAACAAATAAATAAATAAATGACTGTCTGCACCCGCATATGTGATGTGCCACTGCACTGTGTAAGAGTACGCGGTTTATCTGCATATGCGTGTGTATATTGTACATGTGTATGTGTCAACACGGCATACTTTGTTCTGGTCTGGCGCGACGATTTCTAGGATGCAGTAATCGATATCATAATCGATATCATACTCGATAATCGAATCGGTACAAGGGTAGGTTAACCGATAGTTGAAAAGTGTAATCATGTCACCCCTAGTTTTAAAGGTGTAAAATAAACGGCTGCAATGGAGTTTGCGAATTCTCAGAACATTACAAATTATAAAGCTGGTACAAAGCGAAGAATTCATTGTGTTCACACATAATAATATCATAGGGTCCAGTGGAAATCCCAGTCAGTCTCTACTCAGAGTTTATTGCTACGACGCAATCACTGGGAGATTATCCTTAGTAACTTATCCAGACTCTGCATTGTACAGTGGACTGGACAGTGGACTAACCACCCAACACTGTACAGACTGGCATGACAGTGGACTATATTCATAAAAAAATAATAATTGTATTCTTATCAACCACCACACCACACCGCTGCGCTCTTCGGCCGACTTCAACACGTTGCCACTGCACACCATCAGCAAAACGACACTTCAGTTGGTACTCTGCTCCTTCAGACAGCAGCTGTTTCGATCATCAGGATCTCGCCAGTGAAGGTTGATAATGTAGAATGGCTAGCAGATAGTGAACTTCACCCTGTTGTAGCAAAAAAAGGGGGGAAACATAATGGCGCATCTTCCAAAAAGTATAATTATTATATAATTATAGCAAGTCAGGTGGCACCTACAAGTCGTAAAATAGTGCATGAACGCTCAGCGCAATGTTGTTTGCTGGAAGGCACATACCGGTACATGTACATGTTACAGATAGGTGTGATGGCTGGTCACGGGCAGGATGCCAGGTGTAGTGCTGAGCCTGCACTGCTGCTCTGCTCTGCACATGCCCCATCCTCTTTCTTCACTGACCATATATGTAGTATTATCATTAAGACATTATTTCTTCACTGACCTATGTAGTATTATCATTAAGACATTATTTCTTCACTGACCTATGTAGTATTATCATTAAGACATTATTTCTTCACTGACCTATGTAGTATTATCATTAAGACATTATTTCTTCACTGACCTATGTAGTATTATCATTAAGACATTATGCTAGAAGAAGAGTGAGAGTACATAACCACAGGAGTATGCAACTCTGCATACGGGGTCTGGCGCGGGGCTTTGCCTGCATTACGTAGCCACGGAATGTGTGCCATTGCGTCATTATTGATCTGCTACAGTTTCCAGCTTCGAAATCCGCTTTCCTTGGAGACTTTGGACGATGCTGTTGCTTTTGTGTGTGGTGATCCGTCACGCATAGGCGCTGCCTTTGAACTTACAGTGTTGCACGTGAGATTGTATAAGCTAAACCGTAGGAAAACTCAAATCCAGGCAGCTGGATCATCATTGTCTCAATGTAATGCAGCCAGCGCGCAGCAGACGGCACGCATAGCTCGGAGACTAGGAGTTGCACACTCTTGGGGTTATGCACTCTTGGTGATAGAGCTAGTTGTGATGTGGGATGAGTCATTTGTAGAAGGAAACTACGACTGTACGAGTGATAGCAAGTAAGACTGGAGACTTGGTTGGACAGTTGTCACTGTGTGACTGCTTTACATTATACTTCAAAGTACCGAAGTAGACGTTCCATTTGTATGCTGATGCCGATCCAAACCTCCATATTGATGTCAGTCCTTAAGAAGTTTAGCAGGTGAGAATGACATCGGACAGTCTTGATCACAGTTCGAAGCAATGGCAAATGGTCTCGACAAAGCACGCGCGCAGGTGACAAAAGCAAGGACATCATTCAATGTCAGTATAATTATGGATTCAGCATTTTTAAAACGATCTTTGGAGAAGAAATACAGGGTGAAGAGTACAAAATCATGTGCGTGGTCGAGTGTCCATACAAACTAGATTTGTGGTGCATCAGTGTACCTCAAACGTAGAGATGCGCATGTGCAATAGCTACAAGCAGGCATACCAAAACTGGAGAAAACTCACTTTGCATTATTACCCATCATTAAATTTTCCCGTCCCAACAATGGCCGGAGCAGCAGAAAATCAGTGCTTTTGCAGAGGCAGATTGTGCAGTTTTCATTTATGACAAGACCACTGCCAATCCTCACGCCATATGACCTGGAGGGTTCAGTTTCATGTACACTTGGTCGTCGAGGGGAGCCTGCAAGCTTTGGTAGAATTCACCACCTGTTTCTCTATCCGATTTGCCTGAGTTCAACTGTGTTTCATCACTGGCACTCCTGTTAGCATAGATGACTAAATTACTTGCTGGAGGAAGCTGTGAACTGGCAGTATGCTGTGCTGGGCTCTGTATGCCTTGATCAGCTGAATGCGCAGCACTGGTGCCTTCATTGAGTACACCAGCCTTGTCAACTGAGCAGCTGGTCATGAGCACTGATGCAGTGTTGGCGTATTCGACGTTGGAGACAACCTCAATGGCTGGCGTGGTGCCAGTACTACTACTGGCAACTGTGTGTCCACCATCTGTGAACTCATCAGTAGAACAATAATAGGCTTCGTTTTCACCAGAAGGTGCCAGCTGTGTCTCACTATGTGTGGTTGCCCAACCAGTCATCGTAACGTATGCATCGTCACCATCTGGGATCCCTGTAGATGTTTCTCCTACTCCTGCATACTCAGAAGGTGGTAGACACGTCATTGTTTGCAAGGCTGTGTAGGTGTCTCCTGTTTGTGTGCCCATGGGTGCGCAGTCATCCTGAGTTAGATGATCACAGGGACCTTAAACATAGTTGAACATTGGTGGCAAAATAACACACACACACACACACACACACACACACACACACACACACACACACACACACACACACACACACACACACACACACACATACACACGCACACACACACACACACACACACACACACACACACACACACACACACACACACACACACACACACACACACACACACAGAATAGTCAAAGAGGCCACAAGGAGACAGACATTTAAAAGATAGAACAGGAACAGATCATTTGTTGCAGTTTGTTTTTATTTTACTTCACCAGATACACAGGCATTCCTGCCTTCTAGACTCTCGGTAAAGGAAAATAAAGCATATTCTGCGAGGAAAATGATGTGAACATGAATTGACGATACTATTATGAGTGATGAAGATTCGATTGAATGGAGGGAGATGGATGCCGGCGGCGACCGCATCATCTAAGGCATTGGCCAAGCCTACAGCAGTGGGTAAGTCAACTAGCCATGCGATATCGAGCGAAGGCATTGGCCAAGCCAACAGCTATGGCTGAGTTGACTAGCCATGTGCATGATATTGAACTTGTCCATCGCATAAGCCGATTGCCTTGATGATAGTTCGGATAGGTAAGCCGCGTCCATAGTTTATCATTTTGTTTGTGCATGCTGAATGTTGTGCTGTGTATCCGGATGGTTGTTGTTCCTTTTTCAAGTGTACACAGCTCTAAGCTGTTGAATAGTTTAGAAGCTGTTTACATGACTGTATAATTATATAGCTGTTTACATTACTGTATATATTCACACAAAGATACCTAACCTATGAAAGATGAAGCAGATTAAAATCATACTTGGGCTGTTAGGTAGGTCGTCAACAACACATTGGTATGTCCATTGGTTGTCCATTGTTTTTGTACTACATTTCACGCTTTTTAGGGTTTTTTTTAGGTTTCTTCACATTTGCACCTTTTTCATTCTACGTGTATGGGTCACGTATTTCAGCGTTGGAATTTTTAGCTATTTTTCTTTACCCTGTTCTATCACCTTTCTGCTGAACACAATTCATTGCTCTTGTATCTTTCCTCTTAGCTGTGTTCCACCTGACGACTTGTGGATAACTTTCAAAATATTGCTGTTGAAGAAGCCCAAGCTTGTTCTCTTTCTACGCGTGATTGTGCGCGGGGTTCGCCGCTGCGTGTGCTACTACGCGCAGACCGAACGTGGAAGTGTGTTGGCTATTTTCTTGAACTCTCCTTGCAATCACAGCAAGAAACTGTTGCTCTGTTTTGTGTACGTGTGTGAGAGGGAGAGCATCGAAAGAGCCATCGTCAGGTCTACAACCCAATGATATAATTTGTCTCCTAGGAAAAATTGTACGGATAAGAATAAAAAATTAATGAATGATAATGTTTGGATGCACAGGAAGCGTGAGTTTCGAAGACCGAAGAAAATGTTGAACGGTCTCTGCTGGGATGACAGCTACACCGGAGCTCAGTGGTCAGAGCATTGCTGGCCTCAAGCGAAGGTCCATGGTTCAAGTACTGGGGTGACAGCCAATTTTTTCTTCAGAATTTTCCCGTTTGCATCTTTCCCTCGAACCAATACAATTAATAAGAATATTGTTTCAGTATTAGCAGTGCAGGGAGAGAGGGGGAAAGATAGAGATAGAGAAAGAGAGAAATATAAATGGAGGGAGAGAGATGGAGAGAAAGTGATAGAGATAGATAGAGATAGAGATACAATGTATTTCTCTCTCATATCTCTCTTTCTCTCTCTATCTCCATGACATAGAGATAGACAGAGAAAGAGATATTAATATGCATACCTGCATTTTCATCTTGCCTCTGGTGTTGTAGCGTGCTTGAACAATGGTCAGTGATAGTTACAGTCAATCTGGATATGTAACAACATTGTACATTGAAAACTGTAACAAATGCAAGCAGGGCATGAGCAAGGGTGCAGTAGTAATGGGCAAAAAAATAATTCACGGCTCGCGTGAGACTCGGCTGGAAACCGCTGGGCAAGAGACGTAGAAAAGAACATGATCCTGTTCATCTAATTCTGGAACTGTGGCTTCCGTATCTGTGTGTGTGGGGGGGGGGGGGAGGGGAGGGGGGGGGGCAGGGGCAGGGAAGGGTCAATGTTTTTTTTCAGATCTAGATTTCTGCGACAATAGTACTATGAGCGCTGGGTTGTGCTGTAAATGCGGCGGCTCTAGTGTGGTGATATGTAATTCTCCGCCAATGTAGTTTGGTGATACAAGTACACATGTTTGGCAACGAGTTAACTAAAATTTCTACTCACATTGCATGTTCTGGATCCCATTACTTCAGTACAATAATACTCCATGAAGAAAAGATTGGACTGATTGGCTTGGAAATCATGTTTTATGATGCCAAATGTTGCTATCAAGCCTGGGGTCATGTATCTCACCTTTTCCTTCGTCTACACACCAGAGTAATAGCACAAGTGATCATCAGCAGAACCAGCACTGTCATTCCTGCTCCTATTGCTATGGAAGTGAAGTCGCCAGAACTGGATGTGCTTGAATCTGAAACACGCATGGAAGTCAGGCAGTAGTATAAGCTCGAGGGCCGTTAAATATAGAGTTTGTGTTTGTGAGACACGTGGGTAAGAATCAACGAAGAAACTAGTGAGATCCAATCTATGGAAGAGTGCAGTGGAGTTTTGGCAAAGCCTGACATATGCAGCTGAATGCATGCTGGCATTGTTTTAGTATGTGTACTCACCAGTCCTGAGTAAAGTAGTTGAATTACCTTATTGGTTATCACATATGGGTTTTTAACAGGGCAGATACATGGGGTCTTATCTGCTGGGATTCTACAATGTTCCACACTATCTTCCGGACCCACTCAGGTTTGGGAACAATGTTGGAGAGGTTCTCCAGAGCGAAACTTCGCATTGATTCTCGCGTCCGGGCTTGAGAACTTTGTTTGCGAATGTTCGAGCGAATTTTGTGTTTGCATGACTTTCCCTCCAATGACGCACGCGTGCACGCGTGCTGTTTTGGAAACATGTGGTGAGTTTCGATCAGATCAAAGATGTTATTAGTTGCGAATGGCTGTACCCTGAGATGAGAGCTCTTTGACTACGTTGTCCATGGCCAGAGACTCACGGACAAATGAGTTGACTTGGGCCATAATCTGGCACATCAAACCAGATCCACCTGCATATCCAAAACACCCATCTCGACTGTACCTAACTCAGAGGAGCTGAGCAGTCAGGTGATCCGAGACGAAGTTTTACTTTCTATACATGTACAGGAGCAATACACACAGTACAGGAACATGGGCGTAGGAACCGGTCCAGCAGGCCCGGCGGTCGCCGGACCAATAATTTTTCGAATTTTTTTAACATTTCAACCTTGTTGAAGGCTTGTCGACTCTTGTACAGGTACCATGTTTTACATCGACAATGCGGTGTATCATCAGCATGCATATTCTTATTTCTCATATCATTCTGTAGCATTAAAATATGGCCTTTTAGGCCCAATTTTCCAAAAAATCCCCCCGCACCCCTCTCTCTCAATTTCGCCGCACCAATATTAAACTGCTTCCTACGGCCCTGATGAACATGGTATTGCTGGCCTTACCGGTATTTAGTGGTGGCTTTTGGGACACATTTGGACCTCCCACATCACTGTGCATGCTGTTGCTGGGTGTTTCACTGCTGCTACTGCTGGATCCTGTGAGGCTGGATCCTGTGAGGTTTGAATCCGGCAGATAGCTGGGCTGGGTTGTTGGCAGTATGATAAATGTATCTGCTTGTATTGTACTTGAGGAGGATGTTGGTGCACCGGTAGTTTGCACTGATGTTGTCACAGTAGTTGGTAAAACGGATGTTGACGGTGGTAGATCGTTGATGACTTGTATTGCACAGACACAGAACAAGTTGTAATTTTGAGAGCACAACCCAGTGGGATTCATTAGTCCGCCACCTCTATTACAAACTTAGACAAAATGGCATAAATTTACTTTAAAAATTAAAACTATGAATTCCGCTATTGTTGTCATTTTCATCCGAATCCGGTATGTGTGCAATAATAGATACGCTTTTGCTTTCAGGTCAGCAGTGTTAGGACACGATCCACACTGTTCACCAGTGCTGATCAGAGAGTGTTGAACAAAACAAAACAAAAGATAAGCCAGGTGAACTGCTAGTTGCCTCGTGAGAGATACAAAGTATTCTTTTAATTCCCGTAGCTATGCAAAAGACGTTACTTCAGTAACGTCTGTCGCTAGCCAGGGTCCACACAGCTTTAATTCCGTGTTTGTTTGTGCCGTCGGCATGCCTGGCGCTATCCCGTACCTGTCCCGTACCGTACCATCAAAGACAGCTGGCCACAATATTCAAATAGGGCTTTCAAATGCAAGATCATAACGTAAAGCAACTTGGAGGAATGAGTATGTATGCGAAGTGTATCGGGGGAATGCATGCAGGGCGATAGTGCGGGTTCGAATCCTAGGTTATGTCTTGAAAAAAAAATAGGAGAAATGAAGAATCTATAACATCCCTATGCTTTTTTTTGCCTAGGTCAACAAAGTGGTGGATGGTGTCGTAATACCCTCGAATGCAAAGAGAAAGTTTATTTCTTTCGCTCAGGGCCCTACACTATGCTTTTTTGCCTAGCTCATCATGCATGTTATTCGAACAGATGGAAACTTTTCACAATACAGTGATATAGCCGATCAGTTCGTTGTGGTATGGTTGGGCATTGTAGCCGTCATGGTCGACGTAAAACACGATTTATATACACAAGCTTGGGGAGCAAAAGTCTCTCTGTCCCATAAGCCGCCACATACCAGCTAAATACAAAACCATGCACTTCACACGAGCTGACTTGCACGCGTGGCCCTTTTCACGAACCCAGACAAAGGGATTGGTCTATTATAGCGCATGTACGAAGTCACTAGATTACACCCGCACCAGAGATGAAGGCAAAGGCTGTTGCCAACGAACGGCAAACGAAAAAGATGCCCGGCGCTATCCCGTACCTGTCCCATACCGTACCATCAAAGACAGCTGGCCACAATATTCAAACAGGGCTTTCAAATGCAAAATCATAACGTGAAGCAACTTGGAAGAATGAGTATGTATGGGAAGTGTATCGGGGGAGTGCATGGAGGGCGATAGTGCGGGTTCGAATCCCAGGTTATGTCTAAAAAAAAATAGGAGAAATGAAAAATTTATAACATCCCTATGCTTTTTTTGCCTAGGTCATCAAGGTGGTAGACGGTGTCGTATTACCCTCGAATGCAAAGAGAAAGTTTATTTCTTTATCTCAGGGCCCTACGCTATGCTTTTTTGCCTAGCCAATTAAATTAATGGAAAAAACAATTTCATCAGTTCTAATAACATGCATGATGAGCTAGGCAAAAAAGCATAGCGTAGGGCCCTGAGCTTCCAAGCTCTCTCGTAGCGAAGTAATGGTGGTCTAGCATTTGAATGTTTAGTCCAGCCTTGGCGCATTTGAGTCCTCGATGTCGCAATTCCTTGCAGATCAATGGAGCTGCAGAGCTGCTTCCATTCTGGCCTGGCCCGAGCTGCCTCTTGCAGCTGGTGGAGATCCCACAGGGTCTCCAGCTGTCCATGGCCCTTTGACTTCAAGTCTGATGACAGAGTTACGGTACTGGAGGGTCGCTCGGGGGCCTTTCCTCGCCAGTTGCAGATCTGAGTGGATAGATATCCGAATACCTGTATAATGAACTACACCGGCAGTTGTTTTCCCGGAGCAGCATTTTCCACTTCATAAGTAACAGTCCAGTGCATTGATCCCTGGTCACTGTGTAGTGGAGATCCCGGGACCAACTCCCTGCGAAGCCCCAGACTTAGTATTGCTATGTTGGTTGGGTGCATTGCGAGCAGCCAGAGTAAATGGTGCCGCATTTCCTCGAATATGTTAACTTTCAAATTAACTTGGAAACACGGTACCATTTGCCTTGGGGTTTGTTACAAATCCCAAGACAAGACCAAACAAGGGGTGTGACTTACAATCAAGTGCAATGTTTTACTGAAGTGAACACACTGTAACCATGGTGATGAAGGTCTCAAGATGGGGGTGCAATTTATGACTGGATGCAAACTACAATCGGGTATATACAGTGTTCACATTAGCTGTGTGTTAACCCCCCCCCCCCCGTGTTGAACAAAAGATTGGGTCAAGCAGGCAATATTTTCACATACACATGCTGCTAAGAGTCGCAATGGTGCGTATCTGTTAGTACTAGTATCTGTGTACAATTACGTGTATGTACACTCGTGTGTGTGTGTGTGTGTGTGTGTGTGTGTGTGTGTGTGTGTGTGTGTGTGTGTGTCTATACAGGGTATTACGAGACTCCAGTAGAGGCTCCAATACAAGGGCATTGTCACGGAACCAATCTGGCATCCGCCGCTTGTCCCGACCAACCACCTGCTCCGCCGCGTCAACAACAGCCGACTTCACGGTACTCCACTTACAGTCCACAGACGAGGCGCGGTCATACGTGGCTAAACGAGATTCAAGACTAGCACAGTACTGAGCACGTACAGTAGCCACACGCTCAGCCTCCTCTTCACTCATGAATGGCTTCCGATTGAATTGGTGAACAGCAAACTTCCGCGGCCTGGAACGTGCATCATGATGGTACCGTTGCTGCACAACGTCAGGTAGCCGGTATTTCATGCGGACAAGACTGCTCGCTACAACTCGCAACGCAGCCGATCAATCCCTGTGTGCCTTTTGTGAGGTCGCATCCAGCTTGGGTCTCACAGTGAGCATGACCAAGACCAAGCTTCTCGTTGCAGGTTTCGGAGTTTGCCCTGCTGATTGCTCTGATTTGGTCATTGGCAGTGATAGGGTTGAAGCAGTCACCTCATTCCCCTATCTTGGTTCCACCATCACTCCAGACTCGCGGTCGCAAGCGGACATTCGGAGCCGTCTAGCAAAGGGTGCAGGGGCCTTTGGTGGTCTTCGGCGCATCCTACATGACCGGGGCCTGAACCTCCCTACCAGGCGCCACTTGTATGTCGTTTGCGTACTGTCAACGGTTCTGTATGGTTCAGAATGCTGGGCGCCGTTGAAGGCAGATTTAGATAGAATGGACCAGTTTCACCATGCCAACATTCGCTCCATCCTTGGCGTATCGCGAGGCTGACAGTGGGAACAGCGCATCTCTTCACAGGAACTGCGAGCACAGTGGGGTGATCCCACACCATTGTCACGCATGGTGCAGCAGAGACGGTTGGAGTGGCTTGGGCACCTGGCTCGTCTTGATGACACCAGAGTACCGAAGCAGTTGCTGTTTGCCTGTCTCCCTCAGTCTCGGCCATTCTGTGGACCTCGTCGTCGCTGGAAGGACACCATTCACACGGACCTATCCGTGGCTGGAGTGCGTAACTGGTTTGAGTTGGCAAGCGATCGTGGAGAGTGGCGTGGAGTGGTGACAGCAGCAGGTGAGGACAAGGAACCTGCCCCGAAGAGCATCGAGTGCCCAACCTGCAACCGTCTGTTCCGCCGTAGTTCCGACATGGCCCGGCACAAGTGTTCAGCAATCCGTCAGCTCCCGGTATCGGAGCAGCCTGGATCAGTACAGTGTCCAACATGCAACCGATGGCTACGTAGCAGAGGAGGCTTTGCGGTGCATAAGTGTCGGCTAGGCGATGTCGACCAGCCGCCGGCCCCTGCCCCTGCTCCTCTTGTTGTTCCGGGTGTAACTTGCACCAACTGTCAGTGTTCATTTAAATCGGCTGCGGGTCTCAAGCGTCACCGTTGTGGAACCTGTCCAAAGCGCCCTACTGTGGCTGAACGCCAACAATTCAAGTTTCACTGCCAAGTTTGCCACAACCGACGGTTCCGGAGGCGGCAAGATCTGGAACGCCAGTTGCAGCATTGCCTTCCTCCCCCCTAACCTCTCTGACAGTACCTCCCATCTGGGAGCGGCGTGGCCAATCCTGGCAGCTGTCAATAGTAGTAGCAGTAGTGTGTGTGTGTGTGTGTGTGTGTGTGTGTGTGTGTGTGTGTGTGTGTGTGTGTGTGTGTGTGTGTGTGTGTGTGTGTGTGTGTGGTGTTTCCACTACTGTGTCAGCACTGCTCCCGGAGATTTCGGCAGTCCAGGGACCTGACGCGGCACCGGCGTGTATGCTCCTACCCCCCCCCCTCCCGCAATGGGACCATGCCCCCTTTACGGCAGTGGGTCAACAGGACAGCACAGGTGTGGTGTGTATACATGTGTATGCGTGTGTGTGTGTGTGTGTGAGAGTGTGTGTGTGTGTGTGTGTGTGTATGTGTATGTGTATGTATGTGTGTGTGTGTGTGAGTGTGTGTGAGAGAGAGAGAGAGTGTGTGTGTGTGTGTGTGTGAGAGTGTGTGTGTGTGTGTGTTTGTGTGTGTGTGTGTGTATTGTGTGTATACATGTACATGTGCGCGTGTGCGTGTGTGTGTGTAGGGGGGGGGGGGGCTTATTACCTGGTCGTTGACAAACAATAGGGAGTTTGGCCGAGCAATGAACATTATCCCATTTAGAGCCACGGGTATTGTAAAAAGGTTGATACCACATTGCTACGCACAGTTGTGTGAGTTGATCTGGTGGGCTTGGCTGACCTTTGCTCCAATTTGTGTACATTATTGTCTGGTTATCATCAACTGACATCCACTTGAACGATGGGTAGACCTCATGTGATTGAATGCCAATCCAGTTTGTTGTCTTACTTGGCTTAGTCTGGTTGATACACTGATTCTCAGCACCGTTACGTGGAATTGCTAACTTGCTGCCATTCCGAAAGCTCTTGCAATACTTCACGGCTTCACTAAAGTTTATAGTCTGGTCGACAAACATATATTCTATCCCGAGCCGACCACAAGACTTCCATTCTGTGCAAAGTCAATAGCAACACACAAACTGATGTAAACTAACCTCCAAGACCCAACTGAATTAGTTTTACTGGTACAATAGAGGTTTTCTAATTGTCCGCAAACTCCAACACAGCCATTTACAAATTTAGGAAACTTCACTTCTCAACTCCAAACTCCAAAAACGGTCTCTTCACTGCGATTAAAATTCAAATTTACATTACAACAAATCGCAGTGAAGAGACCGTTTTCGGAATTTGGAGTTGAGAAGTGAAGTTTCCTAAAAGTTACAATAGAGAGTTAGAGACCACAATTAATTAATTTATAGGATGTAGCATGACAATAATATTATTTATAGAGAGGGGGGGGGGGGAGATCATTACGTCATCCCAGCAGATGTGTGTAGAAGCCACGGTGACTAACTCGTACAACTTCCAGCCCTATACTTCATAAAGTACCGGGGCGGAACCAATTCCTTCGATATCATGGCATGAGGCTGGAAGCGGTACAGGTACTCTCGCCGTGATATTTTGTCAAGTTTTCAAAAATGTGCCATTGATTAGAAAACGAGTACAGTCCTACGTAGCTATGATCTTTGCTGTGGCTACGGTGCCATTGGTCCTGAAGTAACACAAGCAAAACTTGAGCAGTGAGAGTCTGCCCTCTGAGTTTAGTGTTTGAACTCGTTGAGGCCAGGAGTCTAGTATTGATAACGCGAGTTTTGGGTAAAATTGGATCTAGTACAACTCTGGCTAACCACAGTACAGTGTAGCTGGTCGATAGGCCCATAATGTCACTCACTAGTGTTATTTGTTTTCTGTGTCTGCAGTGGGTTCCAGACCCGGCATGAAGCCAGAGGGGGGGGGGGGGCTGTGCAGTCGGAACCAGGGAATATTATCACCAGGCTACTGCCAAGGACACCAACCAACATGTGTGTGTGTGTGTGTGTGTGTGTGTGTGGTGTAATCCCAGCACAAGTTGCTATGTCTAACATAGCTGTTCGCTATCATCGCTTCTGCGATGGGCATGTCTAAGGTGAGGTCTGAGGTGTGTGTGTGTTCTCGTCTCCCCAAGCGCATTCTGTTTGCCGAGGGACTCAACACAAGGCCCAGACATGGTCCCAAGAAAAGTTGGAGGGACATCGCCGCTGCTGATCTGAGTGCTCAGTGCGTGACAGGTGACTGGTGCGACTTGGCACAGGACAGACGAGACTGGCGCCTCATGTGCAATCGTCCCCGACCGGCTGTGGCAGGGACTTCCGTCGGCCCAACGATCTAACTCGCCACAGGAAATACTGCAACTCCTGATGCTATCATTGCACGGAGCAATGGGCATCCAAAGGTCCAAAGGTGTGTGTGACCACCTGGCTTGAGAGTTGCGAGTAGCACTCCACCACCACAGCCCGCTCCTGATCCTCTTCTCTGTG